TGTATAATCTGCCACAATGCTGCCACCGAGGGTTTCTTTCGGCCGACGCTCCAGGCGGGTAGTTCCTTGGGTTCCTTGCGACACGGCCCGAGGACCATGCACGCAGCAAGACACGAGAATAATTGTCACGCCGAATGTACCCTCTACTTGACTTGTCCGGTGGACGGTGTTTCCATCGTTCAAACTTAACGCGTCTGCTATCAACACGAACCCCGCTGACCCGCAGCATCACTGAGACTAGGACGGCGTTATCTTGCTGGCGGCTTTTCTCGACACCACCCTCGTCTGCGGAGGCTGTCCTGTACTCTTTGACGAGGATGTTGCTGAAAAGGATTCTTCTCAATGGCGGACGGAGTACGTCCCGCCCACCCACCCGGCTTGGCCAATGGACCCCGACTATGTTTCTCCAAACATGCGGCGTTACTGAACCGCGACATCGGCCATTGTCCGTCGAATCACAGCGAGTCGGAGCCACAGTGTCGATCAAGCAAGCACGGAATCCGTTTCTGTTCGGAGCATCGTCGGGGCATTTCAGGTTTCCGGCCGCGGGTGCGCGGCAAGCTCCATATTTTAAGGCCCGGTGATCATGCAACCCGAAGTGTTTGCGCCGTGGACTGGTGCTGTCAGAGCAGGATTGATCAGCGCCCCTCTTGTCCTTGGCCAGGGCTGTTTTTTTGGCGTCTTTCTGTTGTCGGCCGATGCACGACATAGTGTACACCGGTTGTTCGGAAAAGAAAAGGTCGAGGTTGTCTCTAAACTTTCGGCTTCGTGCGAGGCTTGCGTGAGTGTTGTCCATGCATGTCACTAAGTCCGCGACTCATCGCGCGCGCTTGTCTCGACGCTGTCTCGATCATGGCTCACAACCCTCTCACTTCTAATCTTGTGGCAATTTGAGCGACTCTCCCAGATAATATCGCGCAGACAAGCTCCTGTCCATCGGCCGGTCTCGAGTCAAGGCCTGCAGCTGGCCAGCAATGACTCAATGTTGCTAGGTAGAGCCTCTAGGGGTCGTCATCCAATCCAAGCTCCAAGCCAGACACGCTGTGTCGCAGAAGTTGCTGGCAGCCGCCGGAAAGCCAAGTATGAGACGACGAGGGACGGACGAATTCTAGCGTCCAAGCGGATGCGGGCAGCAGAAAAAAAATTGCGCGTTACATCGAAGGCCCCGGACTGACCGCACATTGCTGCTGCAGAGAGATGGCTCTTTGCGCCTAGATACTATCAGGCTGTTGACTGCAAACGACACAGCGTGCCTGGTTGAGGATAACAGGGCATCGAGATGGCATTGGGCAACGGGGCCGACCAAGAACTCTCCGCAACTATGGCCGCCTGGAAACCGCTTCTTGGAATTCTGGTTCTGAAGGCAGCGTCTCTCCGAGCACAACGAGGCCCACCACTAGCCAGCCTGGGCGACATGCACTGGCCCCCCGAGGACTTCGAGTCAGGCCTGTACAGAACAGACGACGCCGCATCTTGATTGGGACCTTGGGGAGGGGGGACGGCGTTCCAAGGCCTTCCGGAACGTTTTGATCACCATTCTCTTGAGCGAGTCGGGAAATCAAAGGAGCCAGGGGCACATAGCTGAAGGATTTCTTCTTGTTTTAAAGCCGTCTCTTTCACGACAGGAGCGCGAGTTCTATCCACATGCATTGATGGGAGCGCGAGCTTGTCCTGCCGCAACGTGGCCATACTGCTTCTTGGCCGGTTGGCTGAGTTCATGAGGTAGGGTCTGCTTCCCCACGAACCAGCGAGGCCATGCATTTCTCTGTACGTCGACTGAAGTCGTGCATTGCGTGCGCTTGAGCAGCCTTCCTTCGGACCTCAGCGCAGCTGTTCTGGCTTAACTTTGGTGTCAGCAGCGACGACAGGAGGCCAAAGTGCGCCCAACAACGGAGGGGGGGGGAATAAGTTGAATGCATAACAACCTTGTTGTCAGCAGACCTGGCGGCTCATCCGGTGCCTGAAGACTCTAGAAAAAAGGGACCAAAGCTCTGGCCGGGTGTTCGGTGGTTCAAGTTGGACAAAGAGCCTCTATATGGTGCAGGCAATGATTCAGAACAAAGTTCGACTCGGTCGGCCTCGCTGTCAAAGTCTATGATATGTAACCCAGCTGTTCCAGGACTTTGCCTTGTCGCAGATTCAACGGCCTCTCCGGGACAGTTGCTTATACTAATTACGACGCCGCAATGGCGAGTTCGGGATTTACCTTTTGAGTTGGAGGTTGGATTATACGCCATTGAATAAAACATCTCGATCGGCCATTTCACATCCAGTACCTAACGCACACAAGTATTCAGTGTCGTCAAAGCACCTCCTACTCCCCAATGACATAGGTGCAGCCCTCGCCGCCAATCCAGACCTCATGCACGCGGCCGGCATCGACATCAACACGGTCGCCAACACCATAGGTAACCTTCTCGGGCGTCTCATCCTTGGGGTACGTAATGGTCAGGTTGCCACGGAGAATCAGATGGGTTGTCAGACCGCGGTGCGAATGCGGGGGGTAGTGCGCGTTCCTGAGCTTTGGGCGTCAGTTCGTGCATCTCGGCTTCTTGGGGGAAGGGGGCAAACATCACGTACGGCCCATCGGTCCAGGTAAAGACGTGGGGAAATCCCCATGATTTGACCGCGGCCTCGCTGTCCCGCTGTGACACGGCCTTGTGGGACATGATGGCGGTGGGAGGACGATGCAAGGACGTTGAGCAGTTGCGGGTTACGTCACGGTTTCGATGTATCAAGTCCTGTGCTAAGCGGGGTGCTGCCTTGATCAGGTCTGAGGGTCACAGCCGGCAGTTCCGACCAGCGAGTTGGGATATCGGCACTGGTCAAAAGCGGGATTGGCGAATGGCTGGTAAACGTCGGTGCGTACGGTTCAGAGGAGGCGTGGTCCGTCGTTGAACAGTTTGCAGAAGGCGGGTCGATGCTGAACGTCGTCGACTTGGCTGGATGGACGTCCGTGAGAGTTGACTGCAGCGCGCAGGCTCTCGAGTGTTCGACCCCACTTGCCGCTCCGAGTGCCCCGATGCCGTGTGGCGACTTGCCATGGCGGTGGTATCCGGGAGGCGCAGCAGAGGGCCGCCGAGCGATGTCCCACAACACACAGAACACGGAGGTTCGTGTTGGGAGGAGCATGGGGGAGCACCGGTCCTCGCCTGCCTTTAGCGCGGTCACGAAGAGCACGCACAGCACTCTCGAGGCACCGAGGTGGGCAAACAATGGAAGCAGCCGCTCCAAGTGGAGATTTCCCCCAGTGGGAAAGCTTGCTTTGTGGACTGCTTTTGTTCGGCCTCTCCCACCTTAACCACCCCCCTTTTGGCCGTCGTTGGCTGCCTAGCACCTAGCAGTCCCCCTCGACCTTAGCATGCCCATGATATCACTTTTGATGGGGATCGCCCCCCATGCGAAGCGGCAAGTAGCACTGACGCTTTCTCACCCCGCTGTCTACCCGTTTTAACCGTACGGAATGCTATGTTTAGCCCAGATGTTGGATTTTCGAGACCCCCGAGACGTCGACAGGGGGCAAGCCCAGCGACGGGTCTTGACCATCAGACGTCTGTCATGTCACCGATGACAGCTCGAGATTCCGCCCTGCCATGGACGGACAGGTTGACAAGGCGACAGCTTCACAGGGCACTTCACGGGGCAGACGGGCTGAGCAGACCGATGTGGACTTTGCGTCTGTACGCATGCCCTAGGAATGCGACGCTTGCTGGTGTTTATCCAATGGCTCAGGGGAGAGGTGCCCCGTAAGACAGCTTAACACGGCAGGGCAGAACGGTGTTTGGGGGCCAAAATCAGCCCTCAGCGGGTGGAATGCTTTCCCAGTGTGACGCTCCACGTCGCGATGCAGAGAGGCTGCAGAAAAGACGGGCAGGGCACGCAGACGCAGACTCCGCCCCCAAACAGTGTTCCCTTCATTGCATCCACCGTCAGCATTCATGTCGTCAACGGATGCCCAAGATGACGCCGGGGGGCCTCGTCGTCGGCGGGGATTGTCGCCTATGGGGGAGGAAAATATGCGCCATGCGCGCCCCGTCACCGAATATCAATTCCCCAAGTCAAGGGAGACCGAGAGACGGGGTTGCTTTAGGCAGCGACGTGATAGGGAAAGAAAAAACATAACGAAAACAAGACGAGATGCAAAGGGACCTCCAACGACCAGAACTTGGAATCCGAGCAGGCCGTCCCCGTTCACCCCATCGCCCCATCGCCCTATCCGCCCGCTCTTTCGTACCTTACCGAGTCTCTTTACAGCAGCCTGGAATGTCTCAACGGTAAGGAACAGCACGCCAAAGAGCAGTTGGGTCCACCTAAGGCAGGGATCCGAACCATCGGGGCAGTGCTGCGCCCTTTCCCATTGGTCACTTGCATCGATTGGCACACCTTCGGACGAGGCTGTCCCCTCCCAAACCCTCCCGTCCGGTTCACCCCCCATGTCCTCAGCTATGCTGACATGCATATCCACGCTTCCCACTCTTGTCGAAATTACCCTTTGGCGGGTGTTCGTCGAATGCCTTCGTCTTCAACCCTCGACACTCCGTCCTAGAGGTTGCCTTTTCTTGCCTGTAGACTCTGTATTTTTCCACTTTCGCTCCTTCATAGTAGTCAAATGCCGCTCTCTCCAATGGGCTGATGACCCTGTCCCCGAATCTGCGAAGCCGTACCACTCTGTCTTTTAGCACCAGAGCAGGCTATTTTGTAGCGACTCGTCATCCTCCCTCCGCCGTCAATCGACTAGCTACACGCCGGACCTAGTCAACAGGCGCGTGAGGGAACCGAGTAGAAGCTGAGGTCAGGAGGCAGGCTTCTTAGCCGCTGCAATTAGACCAACATGTGTCTCTCTGTACGTTCTCCATCGAATCCTGTGCTTAGGGGGGGAAAGCGCTCGATGCAAGGCTCCGAACTCCTACGGCCTGCAGCGTTCGATGCGTCTCCTCTGCAGCCCTCACCACGCAGCTTTCTCGCTCGCATACAGCTCTCGTACTGCAGAGGCCTAACAAATGTTCCAGTTCTTGCGCCGCAAGGCTCCGGGCGACGAGACGACGCGGAGGAAGCGAACCCTCACGATGCCCCTGTGGTCCTCATCCAACAAGACCTCGGCCAACACTCTCAGGAAAATGGTTGGCCTCACCACCATCCTAGCACCAACGCACGACGGATTCCACTTCAAACCCGCTCAGCCGATGCCCCTAATCAACATCATCAACGTGGACGGCGCAACCGACCCTTCCTCTTCCTCGTCCGCCTCCGGCCCGAAAGACGCACCCGCGGTCTCGACCCCCGACGAGATCCTGCTCAGCTTCGCCATCCAGACCCGACTCAAGAAGATCTTTGACGACCTGCGCTCGCGCCGCTCCTCGTTATCCCGCGACCCCTTCGTGACCCGCGATCAGCTGCTCGTGTTCCTCGAAAACACCCAGGGCGAGACCGACGTCGAGGATGTCCTGCCCGAAGAGAAGGAAAGATACAACTTTGGCGAGTTTCTCGAGACGTGGTGGAGGCATTACGGATGGGATGCGGTTCGACCTCTGAGGAGTGAGGACAAGGACTTGAGCCGGCCGATCACAAACTACTTTATCAGCAGCAGCCACAACACGTACCTGGAGGGCAACCAGCTTGCCTCCAAAAGCTCACCCGAGGCTTACAAGACGGTTTGCTCATTCTATATTGGCACTAGCTGGGAACCGGACCGCTAATTGGACTCTAGGTTCTCCGCCGCGGATGCCGGTGTATCGAAATCGATGTCTGGAACGGAGACACCCCGATCACGACCCAGGAGGGCACCAGGCCTGACCATTCGAGGAACCTGTCCGGCTCCTCCCTGCCCAATGTAGCGGCGAGCGTCAAGGAGACGGTCGAGGATATTCTCACCGATCGCAACGGCCACGGCAACGGACACAGCAGGAACACAAGCAGCGCCAGCAGATCTCTCAACCCCCGCGATAGCGCCACGCTGCTGGGACCCAGCGAGTCCACGGAATCCCTGGGCGCCACTCTTCGTCCTCAGTCTGCGAGCAAGAACCGCCTACCGTATCCCAGAGACGAGCCCATCGTCACCCATGGCTGGACCCTGACTACCCCGTGTGGCTTCCGGGAGGTGTGCAGGGCCGTCCGCGAGTCCGCCTTTGAGACCAACGAGCTGCCCATCATAGTCAGCCTCGAGGTCCATGCCGACAAGGAGCAGCAGGAGGCCATGGTCAAGATCATGAAGCAAGAGTGGGAGGGCATGTTGCTCGACAAGTCTTGGGAGGGCATTGACCCCCGTTTCCGTCTTCCCAAGCTCGAGGAACTGAAGCGCAAGATCCTCGTCAAGGTGAAGAAGGCTCCTAACAAGATCGAAGTGCCTACAAGCACGGCGGCGCTATCGCATGTCTTCGCCAATGACGAGGACGCCTCGGGCTCCGACGACGAGCGGAACAAGGAAGTACCGAAAGCACCAAACACACCCAAGATCGACGCTCCTGTCAAGGTCAACAGCGGAAACGAGCCGCCCAAGAGCACCAAAGTGGCCATTTGCCAGGCGCTTAGCGGCCTGGCCATCTATACACACAGCGAACACTTCAAGAGTTTCGAGACGCCAGCGGCCAAGAAGCCGAGCCACATCTTCTCGATAAGCGAGAGCAGGATCCTCGAGTTACACACGACCAAGGCTCGCGAGATGTTCACTCACAACAAGAACTTCTTCATGCGGGCCTTCCCCAACGGCGCGCGCGTGGACAGCTCCAACCCCGACCCCAGCCTATTCTGGCGCAAGGGCGTGCAGATGGTCGCCCTCAACTGGCAGTACCTCGACGAGGGCATGATGCTCAACGAGGGCATGTTCGCCGACGAGGAGGGATGGGTCCTCAAGCCCATCGGCTACCGAAGCTCTGACAAGGACACCATCACCGAGGTTGACGCCGCGCCGCAAGGTGACCTGGAGCTTACCGTCACCATCATAGCCGGCCAGCACATCTGGACGGCCAGCGACTCCGCCAGCGACAGCAGCCGTGCCAAGCACCTCCGACCCTTTGTGAAGTGTGAGCTTCACGTCGAGATCGGGGCTGTGAACGGCAAGGCGGCCGACGAAGACGACTTCAAGCTCAAGACAAGCGCGAAGAAGACGGACCACCCCGAGTGGGACAACGGCGCCCGGCTCAAGTTTCCCAAGATCTCGAGGGTGGTGGAAGAGTTGAGTTTCCTCAGGTAAGAACATTTTTCTCTCGGATTCATCCGTGCCCTCCCCACCGGCATATGGCAGTCGCACGTCTTCAAGGCATGTGCCTTGGAAGGATATTGAATACAATACGCGGCTCCGCGCCTACCCTTCCGCACGGCGTGCCCGAGCCTCTCGCAGACCAGCTCCGGCGGTGTGGTGCTCTCGGGCAGCGATGGCATCCGGCTCCCGAATGGCCTGATCTGTCCATAAACGACGTGCTGCGACCCGTCACGCTCGCGTCATGGACGCAGAAGATGCCGTGTAACAAGGGAATTGTCGTCGTTCCATGCAGTGCCACCACCCTATCCTGTATAGGCCCGTCGATGCTTATCTGCCAAGGCGGGCCGCCGCCTTTGACAGGCCGGGCCGCTGCACACTGCAACGACCCTGCCGTTTTCTTTGCATCTGCGGGAAACGGCTCACAGAAAACACGAAGGGCATATATCGGAACTGGTGGCTAATGTGTACCGTTTCTAGGTTCAAGGTCGAAGACGACCCGCTCGTCGGCGGAGACGAGCTGCTGTCGTGGGCGTGCATCCGACTCGACCGTCTGCGTCCAGGCTTCCGCTTCATCAGGCTCATGGACACCAAAAACCGACCGATCGAGGGCGGCAAGCTGCTCGTCAAGATCGACAAGGCGGTGCGGTGAGGGGAGTCGCGTGTGACGATTACAGAGAAATGAAGAAGCCGTGACGACGAGACTGAGAAGCTCTACTGTACCTCGAGTCGGACATGACGATCCAGGAGCAGAAGGTGGGGGGGGTTTCTTCTTGGGCGGCGAAAGCATGGGCACTCTTGGCCTTTACTTTTATTTCTTTTCGGGGGGAGCATTCTCTTTTTGGTTTCTTTTCTGCTGTTCACGCTCGCGCATTCTTTTCCTTTGGGCAATTTGCAGACAGCTCGATACCTTGGGGGGAAGAAAGGAACAAAAATTCAGGAGCACAGGAGGCGTTTTTGTTACGGAGCGGCGTTTTTTCATCCGGAAGCATCTTCCTTTCTCTCTCTCTCTCTCTCTCTCTCTCTCTCTCTCTCTCTCTCTCTCTCTCTCTCTCTCTCTCGGTCGGGCGCGATACCTAATTCTCTTACTCGAATCTCATCCTTTTCTCCCACTTCTTTTTGTTTCTTTTCCTTCCTTGTTTATTGTTTTCCTTTTGTCAGGCCAAACACTCGCACGGTGGAAAGGGGGGGGAGACGGACATGGGTTTCGTGTCTCGGGGAGTTTATTTTGGAGAGACTGGGTAGGCCGCTGCAGCGAGCGGCCGGCGGCGGCGGCGGGCTCATGTACCCGTCCCTCGCCAATTCGTTATTTTTAGGGAGATCGACTCGGCGGGATCGGGAAGGGGAGAGAGACAGTCAGTCATGGAAGAGAGAGAGAGAGAGAGAGAGAGAGAGAGAGTCATGGTCGAAATTTTCTTTGGGGGCCGGTGGCTGCGAGAGAAGAAAGCTGTCACGGGGGGGCACAAAAGAGACGGGATCAAGAGACAGCGAGATTGCGCATGAGAGACACGAGGAGGGGGTGGAGAGCAAAAGAAAAGAAGAACAAACGGGATGGACAGCACCACATAGACACACAAACACAGGAGGAACCCGTGGGGTCCGGTCTTGTCGTCTTGACGCAAAGGCAAGCGTACCCCAGGGAAACCACACTTCGCAAGAGGTAGATAGGAAGAAACAATAATCAAGGAACCAGCGTTGGCTCTCCTCGCCCTCCTCACCCCCTCAACGCATCCATCTTTTCCTGCTTTTGGGGGCCGGAGATCCAAAACCATGTCTCAAGATCTCTCTGTCTCTCTCTCTCTCGTTTGTCGTCGTCGAGCGCCTGGCCTTGATCTCCTCGCCTGAAATCGGTCTCAGTCTAGTGGGACGCGGCCGAGGCAAATCTCATGGGGCCGCCGCCACGCCGGAGCCCAAAGCCCATGTTTTCTCAAGTCTTGGGGCCGGGCGCAGAGACTTCTTTTTGTGTGTGTTTGTGTGTGTCTCGACCACCTCGACACGCCGCAAATAAAAAAAGAAATAAAAAAAAAGTCGAGGAATGCAGAGAAAACGGACGGGTAGCCGCGGGTCTCGCTCGGGTGGGCGGGATCGACAGACGCAGCTGCGGAGGAGGAGGAGGAGGAGGAGGAGGAGGAAATGATGCGTCGCCTGTCGCATCATCGTTTCTTCACTGGGCGCTCCTCTCCCCCTTCGCGGCCATCAGGGTCGGTCGCCGCGCTGGCCCGCCCATCCGTTGTGGAATGCAAAATGTGCTTATTCCACCCGGCTTCGCGTCGCACCTGGGCACACATGCTTCTGTCGTCGTGTGATGCCCGGGGAACCACAGCCCGGAGCAGCCGGGCAACGGAGCCTCCCTCCGCCATCGGGGGCCACAGCGTCATTGTCGTGCCCCGTCGCCCTCTGCAGCAGACCTGCGTTCCGAGTTGGCGGACGCGTGCACGAGTTGCCCTCACTCTCCAGCGCCGACTCAAGGCGAACACGGCCTCGTTTGGTGCTACGACGAGGATGTACGTTGCGCCCCCATTCCAGGCCATCTCCCGATCTCTTGCCTAGGAGGAGGAACCTGCAAATGAGCAGTCACATTCGCAAAGGCACGGTTCTAGATTCCTCCTCCCACTTCCGAGCCTGCTGGCCGATCGTCTGCGAATATGTGGCGCTCCTGCGAGCCCGCAGCCGGCAGCCCACAGGTTCATCACACGACGCTGCAGCCCTGCCCGGTTGCTACAGCTTGGCACCAAGAGATGCACGATTGGCAAGCCGGCAGCCTCGATACCTAACCCGGCAGCACCAGTTGAGGGCTGCAGGTTCGGCATTAGCCATGGATGCCACCGAAAAGGACGGGCGATGCCAGGCGGGAGCGTGTCGATCCCAGGACGTCCAAAACCGGGGTGTGTTTGTGGACGGTGTAGCCACAGGTACCGTAAGTCCAGCGTGGCCGTTGACTGTGGGACGGAACACGTCCTCGGAGAAGAAAGCAAGGGTTGAGACTGGCTAATGGGCCCTCCTCGCTGCTTGTATGTGAGACGGCAAGAAGAAATTATGGCCGTCATGTGTGCTTGTAGTGCCGGCAAAGAGGCTGCCTGGTGCGGCCCGACAGCAGACAACCTGTCAGTTATCACCGAGATTCGATGTTCCGATACAGCTAGTCCAATTGTAGAGAATCCCCCGAGAACGAGAAGCCACAAACGCAGGCTTTCCAAGTTGGATACTGCGTCTCGCAGCCCTTGGGGCTCCGCATTGTCCGTATAAAGTGGTAGCTCAGGCGGAGTCACACGCTTCCTCCTGTAACCGACGCGCACAAAGGCCGACCAAATAGAGTTGACAGGTAATATACGGCGGGTTGAGATGGGCGATGTGTGGTTACCTTGCGGTGCGGGAACTAGGACGGTGTAACAAGGTCGCATCGACAGAGATGGCTAGCCTGTAGACACTGAGTATCGGGGGTCCTCTGTGCATGACAGTCATCCAGAGTCCCGTATGCAAAGGACAGGGATTTCGGATGCTGAGACATCCGTTTATTCTGTCATTTCGAACCGTCGTTTGGCGGGGTTGCCATCGGGATTTGAACTCTGGGTCCAAACATCTCGGTAAAGATCATCCGAGTCGGAGGCGGTCAAGATGCAGCAGCCCGCTTCTGTCTCTCGGCTGTATGAATGACCATGTGGTACAGCAACCGGAACGCTAAAGGACGGTTCCGACAGTCTGGTCGACTAGCCAGGTATGCCTGTCGTTGGCAAAGAAGCAACCGAGATTCTGGTGTCAAACATGGAGATGATCAGGAGACCGAAGGACAGATCGATCGTGGATCAGATGGAGCTTCGAAACGGGATCCGCCTGAGACTTGGACCTCCATGGCCAAGGCACAAGTCGTCTCCTGTTGTCTTGCGCAGGAGAGGAGGGAGCTGCTGTCTGCTCCAAAGCCAGCCTCGACTTATCGGGCTTGCAGGAGTGACGCGTCGACCAGGCGGTACCCGGGAAAATGGCTGACCCGAGAACACGAAATAGCCGCATTCTTTGTCAAAGATACTGGCGTTTGACGTTTGGGGCTTGATGAAACCTGCCCTTCCCTTCAAAGCTGGGGGTACACAACATCACGTCTTCGTGGGGGTGGTTGCATGTGTGCCAGCATCCTCATTGCAAGAGGACAGTTGTCGACAATGAAAAGAGCTGCAAACAACATGCTTACACCGTGCTGAATGATGCTCCCTGACCAGTGGTGGATGGGCTCGGCATGCGACATATGTGCAAGCGAATACCTCAGGGCAAGGGAGGAGGCTTGGGTCACTGCTAAACCAGGTTGGACGTATCCGACGAGATCCGGTCAGTGTCGGCTGACACGAGCCTTGCCAAGCAGAGAGCCTCTTGAGACTTGCAAGATCTCCCCGTCATCGTGATTCGGTGGTCAGTCGATTACCCATAGGTTCCTTGAGGAGCAGCATACCAAACAAAAGCCGCCAGCTCATCGACTTGGCGATCATGGCGGAAACCGGGCGTTGGGTGGTGTAGACTCGTAGCCAGGCGATGTGGCTAATGTGACATATCGTTTTGTCGAACAAAGCCTCAACGAAATCAGCTGTCGTGGCCAGTACATCGGACTTGCTCGGGTTTTTTTTGTCAAAAAACCTGATCGGCCGTGCATCTCATGTGCCAAGTGACAGGTCATATCGGCAGGTTTGCATGCTTGACGTGCACACACTCGATGCGTATTGGAGCGCTCAGAAGCCCTCCTGCCGCTCATTGGATGGCCCTACATACCGGCGCCTGCACCAGTATGCGGACTTGTCAGGAGGCGCTGATTGGAAGGCGCAGGGCGTCGGTACCTCGGTTAGTGACCGCAATTCGTCGTCGGTGTGGTTGGAGGCTCAGGTCGCGGCCCACTAGCGTTGGTCAAAAGTGACAACGATGTGATTTTGCTGAGAATAATTGATATGTCAGTTTGCCTGGCAGGCATATGAAACCATGTGGTATGAGACATGGGATTTCTGATGGCGCTCTTGGCTCGGTACAAGGAGAATGTCGATGGAGATTTCGGTGACGGACGGATCGAAAACTGGGATCCAGACCCGGTCGACGACAGTCGGTGAGCCTGCCCACGCCCTGATTCGATATCGCCGCCTTGAGGCTGTCGTCTAAGGCGAAGGCGCACACAGCCGGCAGGATCCCTCGGAGAGCGGGAGAAGCCGCGACTCCATGAATCATCGACCAATCCATGGATTTCGTCCCTGGTTGATTGGGCCTAGCACAACCATACCCGGACCGATGAGGCGATCAGCGCCATTGCTTCAGAAGGACGGCGGGGCACACGCGAGAACAGCCGGGATTGCACCAGGTGCCCCCAAAAACGAAAGACTTCCGAGTCCTCAGGCGGAGGTTCTATTGTACGGCGGACAGCAAAGCGGTCGAGAAGGAACAATGTGACGTCGCATCGTGGGCCGAATTGGCAAATACGTCAACCTCGTGGGCGTCGCTCTGACAAGGAGGGGGTTGTGATACACAGCCATCGGCGTCTGGCCGTGTCGTGTAGCGTCCCCGTCTCGTGGCGGCAAAGATACATAGCGCGTGCGCAACGTAGATCGCGGCCGGTGACAGCTGATACTACACAACGTGGGCGGTCGGCGGTGCGACCACCTCGATCCAGCACTTTGGGATGAGGCTGGGCTTCTGTCCTTTGCAGTAGGGAGTGCGCCGTGGCCAGCGAAACAGGCCGGCATGCGGCTGGCTATTAGAGGGGTCTTCTTTTTTCTCTCTCGATTGTTGGCGGTTCCTGTAATTCAGTCCATCCGAGCCAGGGCCTCACGCAGGATGACTGGTATCCCGCCAGCTTCAAACGCACCGGTCTGCGAACGAGCAGGCCGGCCGGTGACTGCTCAGGCACGCCCAGAAAATCTCTCACGGAAGGACTTTCGTCGCCGTCGAGCCGTGCCGCAGGTGTATGGTGGTTCATGTTGCTTCCCAGGCGTGGCCGCGAGCAATGTGGACAGGTCCCCCAGCACACCGTTACCCTCTATGCGGAAAGAGCTCATGGCCCTGCTCGATCGATGCGTGACCGAGTTGTTGCAGAATGGCACGCTAAAGGACCCATGGTTGGGAAGAGAGGGAATATGAGAAAAAGCAATTCCGAGCAAGGGAACCGTGGAGCAGGGGCTGAGAAAAGAAAGCGGATGGCAACACTAAGTGGAGACTATTTTTTTTTTTTTGGGGGGGGGGGGGGGGGGGGGGGGGGGGTTGAACCAAACGCGAACTTGGACTCGCCAGGGAAAAGAAACCATGGTGGATTTGCATCGTCCATCGCAAGGACAGGAAAGAAACCCCCCCAAAACTCGAAAAGCAGCGCAGGAGGGGTGAGGCGGTGGTTGTTGTCGGGAGTTTGCAATATGTGTGTGTATGTGAAGCCTGCTTTGGGGGTTCCCTAATCGTACGTTTGCACGGTGGGAAGGAGTGGAAGGTGTTTGAGCAGAGGGACAGAAAGGAAGTTCCATTAGAGGAAAAAAAAATAAGAAAAAAAGGTGAAGTGAATGAGTGGGCGGGGGATGGGATGGCGTTGATGTTTGCTCGAGGTCTTGGATCCAGCCATCGGAGATCCACTGTTTGTGTACTGCGTATGCTTCTGTGTGTCTGTTTCCTCTTACATGGAACCAGATGGGAACCCACAACGAGAGCAACCAGCACCTGACACAAGGAACGTCTTCCCGCCGTATCTCACTCATCAGGGTCACTCGACCCCGGATCGTGAGGTACCTTGCCTGCTTCAAGCACTCTTGGGTGGTACGTACACTTGTAATACCCGACGTGGGCCTGCGAGATACGATGCGATGCAGGAGCAAAGGCGCATGGGAGAAGGAGAGTGTGTGTGCGTGTGCGTGTGCGTGTGCGTGGAGGTGGATGCGGTGGATATGCTGTGTGTACTTTTGCTTCCCTCCCCTCTCTACTCATATTTCGACGCCGTTGGTTGTACCTCGCAATGTCACTCACCCCCGATGTATGTATTCCTTGCCCTGGCGCAAAAAGAAGCATGGAATCAGCTCCTTCTGTGCTTCGTCTTCATTGCCGCGGCCCCTCTCTCGCATCCCTCTCCCTTTTGTTTTTCTCCGGCGGATATTGCCTCGCAAGAATCAAAGCGACCGGCATGCGAAGCAGTCGCCATGGGTGTACCGGTATATCGAGCCGTCTTTCATGTCAGAAACGAGCTGAGGTGAGCCGAGCTGCGTGCCAGCTGCACCCCTTCCAGCCCAGGCGCCTGGCGCCTGGTCTGACCGTTTGTGCTGACAGGTGAAACGTCCCTTCGATGACAGAAAGAGGACCAGAATAACGATACATAGGCGAGGCGCAGTACGTATTGGGCAAGGAAGGGAGGGCCCCTCGGGGGTACGACGGGCTGAGGTAAGGTGTCGATGTTCAGCTCAAACCAATGAGCCCAAGCGGGTAACTCTTTGAGAGATCATGTATTACACAGCATGACGGAGCACGCGGTATCTTTCAGAGAAGTGACAGAACCAAAAAGGAACGCATCGATCAAGGCGACACAATTGGATGCGCGACGATGGGTTCATGTGCGAAGTGGGTATCAGATCTGGGAACATCTTAGCCTGGCACCAGGGGGGGGGGGGGGGGGGGGGGGGGGGGGGGGGGGGGGGGGGGGGGGGGGGGGCAGGTGGAATGGTAGGGGAGGGGAGGAGAAAGGGGTGGGCCAGAGATGCGCACCCGCGCATCATCAGCCCGCCATCGAGAGCGGTTGCAAGATCCATAGGGATGCTGGTTCAACCATCACAACCGCCCCCGGCGAGGAGGTGCGTTGGTGTGAGTGCGAATGTGACTGAGATTGGTTTGAAAATGGCGAGTTGTGAGCAAGAGGAGGAGACAAAAGGGCGTAGCAGTCGAGAGTTTGCGTGTGCTTGGGGTGTAGACGAAACCACCCAATCGGGCTGTCGCCGGCCGCAACCACGGTGAGTACGACAGCGCCAGCCGCGATAAAGTCCCCCCTTTCCTCCTCCCGGGGCCCCGGAAGGGCGTCCCTCAGCCCCCGTGTGGCCAATAGGGCCATCCGACGTTGACGAGGCTGGGATCGCAGTGCCTTGTTTGATTTGCTTTCCTCGTCCCAAACCCTATTTTGTCAATGTCCAGCTCGTCCGACGGCTCATAAGAAATGGTAACTCGAGATATTTCAATCAGGCTCAAACCGACCTGCCAATTTCTCCCCCGATCCGCCCCTCCTGAATAAGCGCATTGACTTCCCGGAAAGCAAACAATAACGACGATCGGTCTTCCGATGGTAAGGAAGCACATCCTGCCGCCGTCGCCATTTAGCATGTAGACAGAATTGGATAGTACCTTCTCGTCCTTGACGACGGGGACCGTCGCCTCAATCGCCCGGCACGCCGTAGTCCAAGGTAGTCTCGACTCTCGGACGCGGCGCTGGGTGCTGTCAGTCGCTCAAAGCAAGCATCTTCCTCGTTTCCCCATTGCCGTCTCAACTTTTCCGATCGCCATATGTCGCCTCTCATTGGATCTCTCCTCGCAGTAGTCCGAGTCCAGAAAGCGGCCCTAAGCCATCGCTATTACGTGCAGCGACGCCAACGACGTGCGAACCGGAGATGCTGTAAACTCAAAATGGTGCGCCGCTGCTAGTCCTGCGTCGCTATCTTGCTCGCATCGCAACTACGAATGTAACGACGTGCGCACGATATGAAGGGAAAAGGCAAACACACCCCAGCCTTGGGCAAGCGTCGTTCGCCTTTCGGCCTCTTCCCCCCCCTCCTTCATCCTGTCTGTCTGCCGAGTCAACGTGATGTTCGGGTTGCCAAGTATTGCACTTCCGCCATCAACGTTTCGTCATTCACCGCTGGAGCTGACTTGGTCTTCTGATCTCCTCTTCAAAAGCCTCTGCGCGCGAAAAGGAAAGTGCAGAAGAAGAAGAACGGCATCCGAGCATGGGGGCGGCGCCGTTTGAGCCTCCCACGTCGATTCGGGGAGAGAGGAGGCTACACCAGTTCTGCAGGGTTCGTTGGCCGCCGGCTGGACGTAGTCCAAGTACATAGTATGTAGGGATCCTTGGGCTCATGACATCGGTAGCAAGTCTGCAATGTACGTACAGGCACGCCCTCTCCGCCCTTACGTGCGTACCAGAGCTGTGGGAGGAACCTCGCGATCCTTCCATGCCTGGTGAACAATCACCACGGCTTTGCCGCAAAAGTCGCAGCCAGAAGAAATCCCCCGGGCGAATCCTGGGGCAGATCGAACAGAGCTCTGGAACATCCACTGGTCTGGGTTCTTCTTCTGCTCGCTCCCTGCCCGACCCCTGCTGCAGTAGCCTTTCGATCGACTGCCTACCAGGGGCCAATGAGCGGCCCAGGGGCATGGGGATCGGATTGGAAAAGGGGTGGGGGGGGGGGTTGATGGGTGTACGTTAGAGGAGGGATCGAACGGAATGGGGTACCGGTACCTACGTAGACGGGCATCATAGCGCTGGCCTCACTTTGCTTTCCACTGCTTCCGCGTTGCTTTGCCTTGTGTGCCCGTTCCAACAAAGAAGAACCGAACGGACTCAACCCCGGAAGCACCGCCGCCAGCCGCGAAGTTGCAACGTGCCTCAACAAGCCGGCCCTCGCCAAAAACTGCCGTGTACCGCCCTCAGACTCGGGCGCTGACTTGGGCTTAAGCTGGGTCAACTCTGTCTCACCTCGACAAGAAACAAAATGTGAAATAAGATAAAAAAAAATGAAATAAAAATCCCGACGACAAGGCATAGCGCGCCGTCTTACTCACACAAATCCCCGAATCCCCAAAAGCCAGGAAACACCTGCCAAGACTAAGAAACCATCCGGCGAGAAAGAAAAGAGAGACATAGTTGCGATGCATGTACACCCACTCCCTCACACACACACATACACACATACATACCTAGGTACGCTGGCTCCCGATGAACAATTCTTCAGCCATCACCCGAGGCCTGGCCCACCCCACCCTTCGAAGAGAGTCGTCCAGGATACGTTCCCCCATTGTCCATCCTTGCCAGGCAGGTCGATGTAGTAGTTAGTATACGGGATCCTGGTAACTTAGTTCACGCCACCATCGTCCATCGCTGAACTGCCACTGATACGCCTCCGGGGGTCTCTGCTAGTCCCGCACCAGAATGTGATATGTGCCGTCTGCACTGTACCGGCCTACCGACCTGCTTTTTTTTTTTGGTTTCTTTTGCTTGCTACTGTTGTTGCTGTTGGTGGCCTTCCGCCGGTTGTTCGCCGATTAATTATTATCAGATGGCACTGCCATATTTTCTTCTTGCACTAGTAACAAGAGCAGGGACTTGGAACATCCGCTCCCGCTTGAGCTCTACTCCCTCGCACTGCCTACCTGGTCCTTGCCAGATTTGCCCGCCCAACTAGCCCAGTGCTTTGTCCTCGTCGTGCAAGTTCAAAGGGAACACCAAAGTATAAGAGTCCACGGGTGCCGCCTTGAGCTTTGCCTCGTCCAGATCACCATCAACGCACATCAACAAGAGTCCAAAGCCTCGTTTGAAGCACCACGTTCGCACCCCAACTTGAAAAGCTCCGGAACCCCCCACCACAGCCACACAACTCGAGAACCGGATCTTCTAACTACCCAACAACCATCTTCACTCCTACATCCCGCCACCATGGTCTGCTCAACGCAATATCAGGTCGACAAGGCCGCTTCCCGAACCCAGCAGAAGCCATCGTCGTCGTCCAAGAGCGGTTTGAAACAGGTGAGTGTGCATGGCTGCACTCCACTTCCACACATGGCAAAAAAACCACCAAAAAAAACTAACCTTTGTGGCAGCATCTTCTCCCAGGCATTCGATGCCCTACGTGCCATGCCTCAGGTAAAGAGGTGTGGGTACTACCCGGAAAAGAGTGCGGCTACTGCGGCACCCCCTGCGGCTAAGCCAGTTCATGTGAGTTTCTTCAACTTCTTGCTACGGCATATTGGGTTGTGGCGGTGAGGCTGACTCCTTGAAGAGGCCCAAATTCCCCTGATCAGGAGTCATGTTGCTTGGACAGCGATACGAGAACGGGAACCACTAAAACTATAACGATACCCTGGGACAACGGCGAACGGCGACACACGAGAGCTAGAGAATGAGGGGTTGCGGGCAAGACAACAGAGGGTCTGCTCGACTAGGAGGATTCCATTTTCATTATTTTTTCCTTTGTGAGGGAATGGGGAAAAAGGGGGCAGATCAAAACAACTGGGTGGGCCAATCTGGGTACTGGCCCTGTAATGTTAACGAGCCATGTCTGTCCGATTTTCAGATCGGTTTGCGCAACTGGAGGGGTAGAATCGGGCGGGACGACAAACAGAAAACAACATGGCATACCACAACCGGCGCCTGGGACTTGAAGTTTGGGGAGGAGTTAGGAACTGTAATGATAGCCATCTGGTGATGGTTGCTTTCGGATTTACAGTATAGAGACGTACAACAACAAGAATAAGTTCCGTGTTCGCCCCGAAGGCCATTCGTCGCTTGTTTGACCCTTGGAGGCCGGTGGTCGACGTAGGTGTGCGGAGAAGGATACGACTGCGGTAACCCCCCATGTGCGCAGACTCCCCCCCTCCTCATCGATCTCGGAACCACTGATGGCGTGGATGCAGGCCAACAAGTGCATGGCGAACATTGGATCGGAGCACACCGCGCGGCTCCGATCGCGACACGGTCGGGAGGAGCACAGGAGGTGCTTTGCTCGGAGATAGGGCCGGAAGTGTTGGATTGGTTGCTGTCGAGCCCGCATCTGCGACGATTTGGCTGCAATGCCTGCTGCAGCTGCATGGGTGGAGGCCGACCCCCTGAAGGGTCTATCGGTCAAGATCGAGGTGGCATCGCGGTTAGGAAGGGGAAAGAGACGATGGGTGGAAAAGCAACGAGGTCTGTTGTATCCTGCCTAGTGCGGAGAGCGTGGTATCATGTGGTAGCCTCGACCCCGACTTGACTTTTGAATCTTGATGACATGGCGCCGGGCAGAAACCTGACAGTTGGCCGTGTCAATGGAATTTCCGGATTTGGCACAAAGTTGCGAGCTGCAGGCACTGCGGGACCTTGAATCATCACAAGTCGTTCCGCAGGGCGGCGCAGGTCCCGGGAACTACTATGAATTTGCATGCATCTGGTTATGGCTGTAGCGGCGACCGACGGACATGACGCCTTCAACAGGGAGGCGATCTCGGTACGGAGTATCGCGGCCGAAAACAGCGGTGGTGCACGGCAACCGTCGGCCTGTGTATGTCGAGATGTTTACAATCAGTCCAATCGGTCCCGGTTCTACGGTTCCACTGACAGCCACTGCTGGAGCTCGGAGCTGGGCCTGGCTCGTTACACCAAACGGTCTGCAGGGTACGTGAGGGAGTCGACGTCTTACGACGCTCCACTATGTAGGAAACGCCTGTGCAGAACGCGCGTGCGAAAGAGAGAGAGAGAGAGAGAGAGAGAGAGAGAGAGAGAGAGAGAGAGAGAGAGAGAGAGTGTGTGTGTGTGTGTGTGTGTGTGTGTGAGTGAGAGTGTGTGAGTGTGTGAGAGTGTGTGAGAGTGTGTGAGAGTCCAGCGGCTAATACACCCAGTGTGAAAGGACGAGGCTTGGCTTGTTCACCGTTAGTTTCGGAGGGATGTGGAAGACGTGGGCTGTGTGGTAGCCTGGCAGAAGGAACAGCGGGGAGCAAGTGTGGAAGGGCAGAGAGAAAAAGGAAAGGAAAAAGCAAAGTTTGATTGAAGCTGCCATGCGCAGAATTTGAGAATTGACAACTTCTGCGACCCATGGCATCTTTCATCAGCAAGCGCAGGTGATGCAGAAGGAAACTGCAGCCCGGGGGGGATGTCGAGCCCGCCGATTGGCCCAGGGCCGCGCGCTGCTCTCTACCTAAGCTACCACATGCTTCTTCTTCACCGTGTTCCTCCCATCTCAGCCCATGAAGCAAGCAAGCACTCACTCACTCATTCATCGCAAGCAGGTGCCCCATGGCCAAGGAGAGCCTTGCCCTCTTGGCATCCTCCTCTGCTGCGAACCCTCCCACGGGGTTTGGGGGGCCTAGCTTTGGCGAGTTAAGACACGTTCGTTCCATCTCTGAGACGAGGGCTGGCCTGCCAATGTCAAGCCCCTTGTGCGAGAAACCTGGGCTCCCCCCGGCTGAGCGTGCCTTGAAAGCGCTGCGCAGGTCAAGTCTTGAAGCGAGAAGTGAAATCCACAAACAGGTTGAAGCCTCGACCATACTGCACCTAGTGTAATGCAGGGCCCTGCCAATTACTTTAATTCAATCCCCTCTCACCCCGTTCGATGGAAACAGCGGCCGTACTGCCTGCCGGGCAGGTACCCTCGGGGGCACTGCCCAAACCAAACTTTATTGTTCGGATTGTTCGGTTTCGCCGCACAACATCGCGTGGCTGGACAGACGGGCCCTTTACGGGACCCGAGCGACACTCGCCCATCCGGGGTGAGAGACGTGAGTGACATCAAGCTGGCTCTTACAGTCAGTTGTGGAAAAGCGGTAGGTAGGCCTGCGAAAAGCAACTGGCGGTACCCGACGCCGGGGACGACTCCTGAGTCGTGGCGTCTGTTTACTCACTCGTCTCACCTTGCTTTTCGAGAGCCATGGCCACTTCAGCCCTGTCCGGCTTAATGCTAGATGCTGCAACTGAGGCTCAAGCAATCAACAGCATGTTTCAAGTCTCATCGAAATGCCTATCTTGGCACTGCAGCATGTCGCCCCTTGTCACTCGTGCTCAGCGTCGATGGCCTTCCGTCTTCCCTGGTCCGTTCCGGGATCTTGTCCGGCATCATCAAATCTTGGTTGATTACCAGCACACCGCGACGATCCAGATCAGATCGCAGGGCTGTGGCATACGATTGTCAACGTCGCTAGCTTTCTTCCCTCGAGGCATTCCTTCTTCCTGTCTCAACCGCCTCATGTTTGCCAATGCGGGTCGCGGGCTCCACTGAGGAGAAACAGTTGCGAGCCCGGCCGACATGACCTGGGGTTGCGACTCGAGGCATATACCGGTAGCTTCTATAGGGGGCTGCGCAAAGTGTTCAAGTTTAGACTCTGGATGCGTGCACACGCGCACCGCGTACCGTCAAGCCCTCTCTTCTCAGCATGAACCGGCACCTGCCAGCCAGCCAACCACGGCTGGGGGGAATCCAACGGCGCCGGTTTCCCATCGGGGAAGTCTTGACCTGTCTTGGTTTGGTGTCCCAAACAACCCCGCAAAAACACCCGGGGATAAGCGAGTGCCAGCTCGAAAAGGTAGGTACCTCGTCATACGCAACTCTGCGCGACAGTACCTTTGCTCAATCGCCAGGGTCCAATTGCCGTGCCCGCCGTTCACTGTTTCTTGCCCTGCCCACTCGCGGCTTGTCCCCCCCCCTAGAGTCCCGTCGAGCCCGACCGCGCGCTTCACGGTGTTGTCGTCCTAAACAAACCCCCCCGCCACTTCCCGGTGCCCAATGCCCCTGGTGCCGCTGTCATCGCAAGACCTGCGCCAAAGAGTTTCTACAGCCATCACCAATTCAACTCAATAACGCACATCGGCCCCGTCCCCCCTTCCTACATCCCGCCCGCCTGCCGCCGTATGTAACATGAACGGCATCGACATCCTTTGCGATGCCGCCGGCTCTGACATGCTTAACCCACTCTACTCCCCGCCGGACCTCCCGAAAGAGCCCGCCCAACCTCCACCTCAACACCTCGGGAAGCGCAAGCTGAGCACCTCCGAAGCCTCACCATCCGCGACACACGTCTGCCACATATGCAGGAGAGTCTACGAGCGAGCCGACCATCTGACACGGCACCTGCGTTCCCACGAGAACGCCCGCCCCTACCAATGCTCCCGATGTCCCAAACGCTTCAACCGGGCTGACCTCCTCACCCGCCACGAGACCACTCACGACCGCGACAACACAGGCAAGGGCAGGACCTTCATACGGAGAAGCGACCGCGCCGCCGAGGCATGCCTGAACTGTGCCGCTTCCAAGTCGAAATGCGAGGTAAACACCGCCTGGACCACGCCGTATCCTGATGACAATACTGACGCCCAACCCTAGGACGCCAAGCCGTGCTCTCGCTGTCGCTCCAAGAACCTGCCATGCGAAGTTCCCTCGAAGCGCACACATCCGAACCGATCATCCATCGACGGCATCTCAACGCCCTCTGAAACATCTACGATGCATCAGAGCCTCGACATGAACGGCGGCATGGGCTCCGGCTCGACGTACGCCGGCTCCAAGATGGCACTCATGCCCCCGCATCCCGACATGACCCACGAAATAGATGCATCCTCGTTCATGGGTGATGGCTTTCCGAACCCCGTCATCGACCTGATCATGGACGACATCAGCAACTTCAACCCGGTACACAACTACTTCCAGGACATGGACTTTTCCTCGTGGGACCTAAACTTCGACGCCATAACCATTCCGCAACCCGAGATGAACCAGACTCCCGAGTCCACCACGACGAGCCGGTCAAAGTCGAATACGCGGAACGCTTCGAAGGCACACGCCGCCTTCAAACGGTCGCCCTGGCTGTGGGAGCCAGGCCCGCAGGACTACGCTCTTCAGTACGCGTCTCCTCAAGACAAGGAGCGGCTCACCCTGGACGACGGCACCTTTACGAACTCCCCTGCTTTTGACAAACTTATCAGTACTCCGGGGACCAAGCTCAAAATGACCCCTTCGTCGAGAGACAGCATCCTGGCCATGGTGGTGGCTAGCACGGTGCAAAAGGGCGCACGTCCACGCACCCCGTCCTTCCCGTCTTTGGATCTCCTGAACTACCTCGTTCAGGCTCACTTTATTCATGACGAGCACCAGAGCGATAGCTGGATTCATCTGGCGACTTTTGATGCCACAAAGGCGATACCTGAGCTGGTCGCCGGCATCCTGTCGAGTGGTGCGACGTACATTTCCATCCCGGCGGTCTGGCAGTTCGGATTCTCACTCCACGAAGTTCTGCGACTCGGGCTGGCGGATTTGGTACGTGATCTTGGGCTTGCTTTCAGCTTCGGCCAACAGCAAGGCAATTGATTCCTGATACGTGGAGAGAGAGAGTTGCTGATACAGCGCGCAGTTCGAAGGTTCGAATACCTTCACAAGAGACCTCGAAGCGCTCCAGGCCTTCATGCTCAATCTGGACATAGGTATCTGGAGCGGGTTCAAGAGGAAAATGGAGATAGCAGAAAGCTTCTTGCAACCTCCCATGACCATGCTCAGGCGCGCAGGGAACTTCTCGGCCCCACCAGACTCACCAGCAATGATTCCGACGCTCGCAGACCCTCCCGACGTGCTGGACTCCAAGTGGCGCAAGTTTGCCAAACGCGAATCCTACAAACGGCTTGTTCTGCACATCTTCTTCCACGACATACAAACATCCATTGGGTTTTGCAAGAATCCGTTGATGTCGTACACCGAGCTCAATTTCAGCCTTCCGGCCTCCCGTGATCTGTGGCGAGCCCGATCTGCGGAGCAATGGAGAAGCCTGTACCTGGCGAAAATCAATGCTGCACCTGACCGCGTTATCCCTCGGGTGTCGGAGATCATGCACTGCACCGAAATTCTTGACGAGTTTGAGCAGCTGGTCGACACGGAACTCTGCTACATGGCCCTCCTGCATGGATACTGGGGCCAGATATCGGCATATCGCGAGGCAATCAAATTCTACGCGGACGGGATCTCGAACAGGAGAAACGCAACCCACCGCCTCTGGCTCAAAACACAGTATCAAGAGCTGTACCGTGATCTCAATGACTTTTCGACCATGATTCTCACATCCAAACGACCGACGGCGCAGCTTGCTGTTATGTCGGAGGTGCTCATGATGCTCCTCCACGTCTCCTCTGACGTCCTGCACACATTTGCGGGCAAGGCGGGCGAAGACGAGGCTCGCAGGGTTTCCAGCAGCCTGGAAGAAAGCTGGGTGAAAACATCCGAAGCCCGCTACGCCATCTGGCATGCTGGCCAGATCATTCACCACGCGCGACAGCTCCCGCCTGCCTCTCTGCGCGAGTTCAACGCCATCGCAGTATACTATGCCTCTCTCACTCTCTGGGCATACGGATTGCTCTCCTGCTCGTCACCCAGACAAGGCTCGGATCAGGAGACGGGCAACGGCACTGGTGGCAAGCCCAATTCTGCATACATCCTCATGGACTCGGAAGAGAACCGCGAGACGAGGGCGTTCTTGCAGCTCGACCGCGGCTTGCCTGGCCTGACACTCAACGGGAACCCGGCCGATGGCGTTGAGTCGCTGTCGAATCCGAGCGTGGCGCTGTCCGTTGCGAGGGACATCTTGCGGCACAACTTCCCTGTTGTCTCGGAGCCGCTGCCGCCCCTAGTTGAGAGCCTGAGGAGTCTTCTACAAGACTTGGGCTCTGGGGCGGCGGGGAGGCCGTCTCGGGCGGCGAGCGAAGACTACTCCCATACCTGACTGCATTGTTCACGTCTGGGTTCTCGTTTCTGTATTGTAATGTACATATTATCGGTCGGGTTCGCGAAAGGGATGGCCATGAGGAGCATGTAACTGCGACCCACAATGCGGGTCAGGAGTCTTACGAACCTATGTGTCAAGGCACAAGTGGGCATGATAACAACGCAGTGATTTTGTCTTGTTTTTTCCAGCTACAATGATGTTGGATCGGCTCGTTACCATTCGTCTGTCGGGAAAAACTAGTCAATAAGGAGCCACTGACGTGGAAGAATCTGGGCCTGGATTGGAGGCCCATGAGAAACGGGCTGTCGCTCTCGAGAGGAAAGTCCATTCTGTAGACTGGGTTGGACGATGCCCCGAACGGGTCTTTTCCTACAGGTAGACAGACAGAGATCATCCCCAGCACTAGCCTCACTCACCCTTGGCCTTGCGACGATTCGCGAGAGCATTGCTAAGCTATATACGTAGATGACTTTCTGGCTTATTCTCGCGTCAACATGGAGAGCAGATGTACTGTTCGTCTCCAGGGAAGAGAAGCTGACGATGATGGCCTGAGGGTGGTCCTTGGCAGCACTGGCCGCCATGACATCCGAGTCGCCCAAGGTACCTCGTTACAAGACGGGGTGCTCTGCTTTGCCTCGTTCTTTTCGGAGACTTTGGAGTCGTGTCATTGACAAACCGACATCGAGGGGCTGGACGGGATTGAGTTTGTCGATTGCGGGCGACATTTCCGAGCCATGACCTTCCTGGACCCCATACCAGAACTTAACTGCGCCAGGGCAAAAGGAAAAGCGAGGCGGATGTCGTTCGTTGAATGATGATTCGCGCCTGGTCTCTTCCCGATGGCTTTCGTCCCGACAGCCATGCTACGTATACATAATAGCATTCGTACAACGGCGCCCGTCGCGCTGTTGTTGATGTTGCTGTTGAGTTTGTGTTTGGCGGGTGGAGTGGGTGGCATCGAACCAAGTAGTCGGCATCAGAGCCAATTTCACAGGCATTGACAGGGCGATAAGAACCACACTTGGGCGCCCAGCGCAGAATTCTGCGGTGGCAGGATGCCCGCGGACCAGAGCTCGTTTTTTGCTGTTTCCAATGCCCCCTTTTCCCATCGTCAACCAATTCACAGCTACCACGTAGATGATGGCCCCGACGGATGACCCGCCTCGATGCCGATCTCCGCTATAAAATCGCCGAAACCAACAACCCCTGTCAGTGGGGTCATCGATGCCGCCCAGGACCCCCGGACTTATGCGGGGGGGGCACTGCTGGAGGTGCGCTTGGCCGCCTGGAACCGCCTCCGAAGGAAATCATCACAGATCCGGGCCGCGGCTCCCATCGCCCACCACCACCGCCACCACCACCCACGCCTTCATTTGCTCGCCTTTCTCCCTCACCCTCACCCTCATCTCACCGACTCCCAATCCCCATCGCTCTCTCACACACTCACGCACGCACGGCATCGCTCGGGCCAATCTCATACCACAGCTCTTCTTCTCTCATTTCCCTCGACCCTTCAACCCTCATCCCATGACGCGCATCTCCTCACGAGACCAGGAAGTCTAAAGCCCAATCCCGTCCATTTGATACAGTTAACCTGAATCGCTCCTGTTTCTCCTTTCGACTCCCTCGACCGCCTTACCTCACGCACCACGCACGCACTTTCCTCCCAACCTTCCCCTCATATACCCGCACTCTCTCTCAACCTTCTCCATCCTTTACATCAACCGTCCATCAACATCTTCATCCTCATCACCAGTTATACCCAGAGATACCCCATACAATATACCCATTCCCGCCCTCCCTTTATTTTATTTTATACCCCACGCTACATAATCACCGTCCGAAACCATGGAGGCCATACGCCAGAGAATCCAGATCCCCGACTCGATCAAGCAGCTCCCAGACCAGCTCAAGCCAAAGTCGCCCAAGGCCCTCGACAAGGGCGCCGACTCCATCCCCACCTCCCTCACGCCCACGCCCGTGTCGCCCCCCCTCGCCACGCCGTCCCACGGCGACCTCGGCGCCGTGCTGACTATTGCCTGCGCGACGCCCATCGCCGTGAAGCCCACGACGGTCCTCGCCACCGTCCTCAACCCGGCCACCTACCCGACCTGGAACACGTTTGTGCCGCGCGCCACCATCTCACGCCCCTCGGGCCTCGCCGTCCCGCCCATGCTCGCGGGCGAGACCTCCATCGCCAAGCTCCAGCCGGGCGAGCTCCTCCTCGAGGGCACCCACGTCACCTTTGAGGTGCACATGACGCTCGACCCGGCCAAGACGACGACCAAGCAGGCGCTCGTCGTCACCAAGCTCGAGGAGTTCACGCGCGCCGCCGCCTCGGCCAACGGCGAGGCCCACCGCGGCCGCAAGGGCTACCGCGTCTGCTGGAAGACGGGCGGCCTCGTGCCGCCCTTTGTCCTCAAGTCGGAGCGCGTCCAGGAGTTCCTCGAGACCGAGGACGGCAACGGCACCGAGTACCGCTGCTGGGAGACCTTTTACGGCCCGCTCGCCCAGGTCCTGCGCTTCACCATGGTCAGCCAGCTCGAGACGGGCTTCGCCGCCTGGATGGACGGCCTCAAGAACCACCTCGAGGGGAGGACCGCCCCGGATCCCGCCGCTGCTGCTGCCGCCGCCGCTGCTGTAGCCGCCCCGGCCACCACCCCGGCGGCCACTCCGGCCCCCGCGCCTGCCGTCGCTGCCGCCTCGTGATCCACGCGCGCGCGCGCGTGTGCTGGCCGGGCCTTTGTGCGTGTGTGTGTGTGTGTGTGTGTGTGTGTGTGTTCTCACATGTGTCTGTATTGTCTTTTCTTTTGTTTTTCAAAGGGTTGTCATTTGCACACACGAAAATGAAAGTGGTCAAAAACAAAAACGAGAGAAAAAGTCTGCAACGAGGGCCGGGCGGGAGGGAGACGGAAGGATGGTCGCGTTTCCTTAGGAGGGGGAAGGGTTCTATGTATGCAAAGTAGCTTGATACCTGTCCATAACCGGCAACAAGGAGTATTTGACATTTCGCCCGCCGGTAGAAAAAAAAACCCCCATACGACTGAGAGAGACAGCGAGACAGAGAGGACACAAGAAGAATTCCCAAAAGGGGCGGGGGTGGCCGTGCCGCACAGCCCGCCCCGGTCTGCCCCAAACGCTTCGTCAAACCGTCCCCGCCCATCGTGGAACCCCACCCCGCGCGCAGAGAATTGCCTTTTCCCCCTCCCCCCTTCCCTTTTCCCAAAAACATCGGACGACGGAATCTCCCGCGCTCATAGCTGGTTGACGATCTGGGGCTCAAAGTAGACGGACATGACGCCGCCCACGGTGAGCTTCTCCTTGACAAAGGCCTTGAGGGCGCCGTGGGCGGCGCACTCGTCGTCGTAGTACTTCATGTCATCGAGCGAGGCGAACTCGGTCTTTGCGACGACGGTGAAGCCCTGGGTGCGCGGGTCGTCGGCGGCGGGGCCGACGACCATGGAGAGGATGTAGGGCTTTCCGTCCTGCGGGGCGCGGTGGTCAGCTTTCGTCGTGTTTTGGGGGTTGTCAATTGCAATGTGTTTTGCATCAGCGATCCAGCGGGGGGTGGTTGATGGCGACGGTGGGGCCGGACCCGGGGACTCGGGAACCCGAGAGACGGACGCTCTGGGCCGGGCGTCGAATCCCTCGGGCCTAACTCCTCCACCCGCCCAGGCAAGTGCCAATGTATAAAGGGAACGGTCGCCACGGGGACGTACCTTCTTCTGCGAGCTTCCGAGGACCTTGTACTGCTCAATCAGCTGCTGCTTCTGCCCCTCGTCGGCAATCTTGAACATGGTGACGCGGTGGATCCGGCCCGCCATTTCGTCAATGTATCTCTGGACGCCCAGTTCCTTTCCTACGAACAGGACCTCGCGTCGTCGGGGGGTGCCGTCCGTGAACGTCCGGCGGTGGCGGTGGCGGTGGCGGTCGGGGGGCCGAGGGGCGCGGGTCGTTGCCGATGAGCGCGGGGAGCCGAGGCCGGAGGATGGGGATAGCGGGGTGACGAGGCGGTGGAGGTGGTGGTGGTGGTGGTGGTTTCGAAGTCGAAGGAGGGGCAGTAGCGGGAGGGTAGTCGAGGACAGCAGCGGGGGTTCGGGGGCATAAGTAGTCGGTTTCTTGGGAGGACAGCAGACGAGGAGAGCAGAAGCAGGAGAAGGGGGAAAAAGAAACGACGGAGCGGTGGGAGCTAGCGGGGAGTTTATGTTCGGATACTCCAATCGGGGGGGGGGTGCATTTGTCTCGCGCGCTCGTTCTTCGAAATCAGTAAGCTGGCGGCCGTGTGTACTGTCTTGCCATGCGGGCGGTCGGCTGGAGACGGAGCGTGCAGGGCGGGAGCTCTGGCTTTCCGCTGTGTTGCTGCTGCTGCACTCGGATGGGGGCGGTATCTGGGCTTCCTGCAGGAGCTCCGCCAGGTGCCTTGGCGAGGGTACCTGGACAGAAACAGACGCCCCTTCCCCCGATCTCACTTACACAACCGCGGGCTCCACTTCGGCCTCCACCTCCAGTGGCACTTGGCCCCCCCCTTCGTGTTTCTTTCCTCGACGGGGCGGTTTGGGGAAACGACGACGACGACGACGACGACGACGACCGCGGACTCACATGACGCCCTTCTCGTCCTTTCCCTCTGTCTTTACGGGACTGAGAACGGAGAGCCTCGCATACCCACGCCTGCCCGGAACGAAGAATACCTGGCCCCGGAATCTCTTGCACCTCACAATGGGCAGGAACAGGGCCGCGGACCCCCGAAACCCCTCTGTCCCCCCAAACCCCCTAGCCCCGCCGGGCCGTGGGAGGGCCATCGTCCGAAGCTTGTCAGCGCTCGAGGCGGCCACCTAGCTTGGCTTCATACATATCAAAGCCGCCGTGCAGCGCGCGGCAGGAACCCCCCGAACCACATCTCAGCAAGCCCCGTTGCCCGCAGGCCTGGCGCGCGTTTTCTTCTTCTTTTTCTTTGAGACGGTCTCTCATCTCACATGCCAGCATTGTCCCCCACCAATGCCTCCCCCCCTCCCAGGCCCGGACAGTTGCTACCAGGACAGCCAGAAAGCTCTGCACAAAGCCTGACGTCTAGCGAGTTAGTTGTGCGTCCTCGAACACAGCTTCCCCTCAAGCAAGCCCGAGTCAGCCCGCCGCCTTCCTTCTCCCTCTCTCACCACGCGGTTTTCCACCCACGACATTCTCTATCCTCATCTTGTTCCCACCCCAAAATCGCCAATGCCAGAGTGCCCGCCGCAGTCGTCTAGATACCAAAGACCGGACGTGAAAACTAACAAGACGAGCCTGGGTAAACGAAAAACCACAGGCAGGCACCGCCCCGGACTTGTTCCCATCGGCCCTCTCCCCTCCCCCCGCAGCCAGCCCCGCGGCGCCCACGGTGGGGCCGTGGCTCTCAAGGCTTCTAGTGTGCGGATGTAGCGTGCCTCTCACCCTTCTGCGCGCCCTTCCTGTACCGTACCTATCCCCCTTCCCCCTCCATCACCCCTCGTCCCCCACACACACACACACACACACACACACACACACACACACACACACACACACACACACCAAAAGAAATGTCCAACCAATCACCAATTTCTCCGTCTCGTCTCACACTCTATAGGACTCTCGTCTGGATCCTGGGCGCGCGGGAGCCAGCTCTTGTGTACAACCTCACCTGATGAGCGTGGCCGCAACCGCTCCTCCTCTTCGCCAGAATCAAGACACTTACACCACTCCCTCACAGGATGGTGGAATGCTCGACGAAACAAGCCTTGAGAAACATCACGGCTTGCAGCCTGCCAAGTCCACAACCGCCAATATTGGCCGCCGCGCCCACCACCAACAACAACCCCTGAGTAGCACCGGCCGAGCCCCCGGTGGCTTACACCACTCGCAGCAGGACAAGACATTCAAAAGGTCCAGACACACACACCACATCACCCACAAGTGCAAGGTCCCGAGGCACGGAGAGCTTCAGGTTAGGCCGTCTGGTATTATTCCGTCCCTTCATCGAGGTCGTCTCCCCCATCTCCACGCCGCAATGGCCGGCGGGCGTCTCCGTCTACGACTGAGTTGGCAAAGATTTGCCCTTCTAAGTGATATCATCCTCCTCCCGCCTGCTCCAACATCAAGAGCGATGGCCGACCTCTCACCGCCTACCGTCCTTTCGACGCCAAGCCTCTCCTGCGTGTGACATCCAAACGTCTGGAGTCTTCCTGTAGGCCGCCGGCCAAGCCCAGGTCTGGTATCTTTGTTCCTCCTCCCAACGGGCAATCATCCCATGACAAACGGTGTGGCCGAGCCAATGCCCGGAAGCAGTTCCTGTCCCCGAGCCCAGTCCCGCTGGGGTTCCCTTTACCTAAACGCCAAATCCGTCCTTGCATCATCACCAGCCCTTGGTGATCCAGGTGACCGATCCTGTTCCCCCGCCCTTCCACCAGCTTGTCGGCAAACGCTTCCATCGTCACGGCATAGGCGAGCCGGGTGAGAGACCCTCCATCCGCCGGACGACCACTTGCATCTTCTCAATCAGCTCCGGCATCCGATACGGCTTGACGAGCACGTCGTCGCACCCCGCGTTCTTGGCGTCTTGCATCTGTTCTGGCCTCGCGTTGGCGCTGACGGCGATGATGGGGATTCTCCCACCACTGGCGCAAAACACCCTCCCCTCGCGCTCCAGCTCGCGGATCCGTCGTGTGCACGTCAGACCGTCCTGCACCGGCATCTCAATGTCCATGAGGATCAGGTTGATGGCCAGGGGAGGCGCCTCAGCGCCCGAGGTATTGTGGCTAAAGTACTCCTGCTCCCCCTGGTGTTGCAGGGCCATGGACTGCATCAGTATCTCCAACGCCTCGATCCCGTGGTTGGCCACGTCGACGGTGAACCCCCTATCCTGCAGACCCCGGCGGGTGATTTGCTGGTTAATCAGGTTATCCTCCACGATTAGGATACCATCGAGCCGGGGGTCGTGGCTCGGGCGTTTTCGCCGCGAGCCAGGTGTTCTTTGATCGTTCGTGGGGGCTCTGACCCGGGGGACGGTGAGTGGGGTGCTGGCTGCAGTGGCCAGAGTCGCCATCCTGACAGCCGCGGCCGCAGACTCGGCTTCCTTCCGTGACGCTTCGGTCGGCACGTATGCCTCGATGAAGAAGGCGAATGTGGAACCCACCCCTGGTAAGCTGGACACGCCGATGGCCCCCTTCTGCAGCTCCGTCAAGCGCCGCGAAATGAACAGCCCGAGTCCTGACCCGCCATACTTGACATGCGTCCGCGAGCTCGCCTGCACAAATCGGTTGAAGAGGTTGGACTTCTCGTCTTCGGACAGACCCTGGCCGGTGTCCTTGACCTCGAACATGATGTACACCGGGTCTCTGCGACCATCGAGGGCAGGCTGTTCATACTCCAGCTCCTCCTTGCAGGATCGGGGGATGAACGTTACCGGGGACGTCTCGTCGGTCGGCCGTTCCCGGGACGCTTTCATGCAGACCGAGACGTTCCGGATTGAGCCGGATTTCGTGAACTTGAGAGCGTTGGTGAGCAGGTTGATGAGCACCTGCTTGACGCGAGACGGATCGAGGTCGAGATAGACGTGGCCCAACTCCTTGTAGGACTTGTCGACAGTCATCTTCAGGTCAATATCCACACGGCGCGCCTCGACGTCGAACATCTTGATGGCCTCTTCTCCAATCTGCACCGGGTTGACTGTGCAGGGAGTGACGGCCAGGAGCTTCGAGTCCAACTTGGACATGGTCAGGATGTCGTCCACGATCCGCTTCTGATGCTGCGCACAGGCAACAATGGTCTCGGCGTTCTCGATGCTGTCCGAGAGGAGCTGCTTCACATCAAAGTGCTTGTCGCTGCTCTCGTCGGGCGTTTTGTGGACCATCGGACTGAGCGGCCGGTTGACGAGCTCCTCGCATCTCGCAAGAGAGGCAATGATGGCGTCGGAGCAATGGACGATGGCGCTGAGCGGGTTTCGCATCTCGTGGGACGTCATGTCGATGAAGTTGTCCTGCTGCCGCTTCGAGTCAATCGCTTCCTCGGTTCGCTGGGTCTCCAATTCGAGCTGCCACTTCTGTAACGAGACGTCGCTGACACATCCAGTGAATGATTGAACAATGCCATCCGAATTGCACACCGGCATCAATGTGGCGTTTACCCATCGCGGCGCTGTGATCTGGTTCCCCCCCGCGTCTTCGGCCGTCCAGGTGGTTTTCAGACGGATCTCGGCCGTCTGGGGCTTCTTCTCAGACACGAGCCGGGTGACGCTCTCGCTTAGATTTGGTAGGTCGTCTTGGACGACCGACACCTCCCACGGCCGCACCTCATGCTCCATGGGATCCACCTTGCTTATGCCGCACAGTTCGAAGAAGACGTTGTTTGCGCCCAGAAGACGTCCTCCGGTATCCATGTCGAACATTCCGACGGTGGCAAGCTCGGCCATTCTCTTCAGGTTCTCCGCTTGTTGGGCTCGTCGGGTCGCTTCGTCGGCTGTCCGCTTGTGGGCAGTGACATCCGTAAGACAGGTAAAGGTTCGGATGATGGTTCCGTCCGTAGCTCGTTCCGCCTTGGCCTGGGCCATGACGTATCTCTCCATCTTGTCGTCCAGGTCGCTATACAAGTCGGCTTTGAAAGGGGATCTCCGTGTTAACATGTTATTCGTGTGTTCGGTCCCTCGCACACGGAACTCGAATTCGACCTCATCTTTTGTTTGCAGCTCTTTGTACGCCTCACGAATCTTCGCTCGGTCCTCTTCCAACACGCAGGAGAAAGAACCTCCGTCCTTCGCCGTCGAATCGGGGTATCCTGTTATGCGGTACCAAAGGCCGTTCGCAAAGGTGATGTTTCCTTGGTGGTCACCAATCGAGAAGCCGTTGGGGATGAAGTCGGAAACTGTCTGGAATAGCCGTGTGTACTCCGTTGCCTCCTTTGTCTGATACGCCAGCTTCTCTTTCAACATGGCCTGGTCGTAAGCAGCTTGTTCCGCAGCATTTCTTCCGCGGCGCCTTTCCTCCTCCAGCAAGACCGTACATGCCAGCGAGGTTGCAAGCTTCTGTGCAAGAAGCTGTATGTAGAGTGTATAGGCATCATCATAAGGCCGTCGGGGGTTGAGGCCCAGCACCAAAAGCCCCATGACCTCCTCCTCCTTGGTGGGCCGGATAGGCAGGACGATGGCGGCCTTGCAAGGGTCGCCGAAACCACGCCACTGCAAGCCGGTCAGCAGTTCTATCGGTAAACTGCCGTCGGATGTGCTGATTATCAAAGGTTCCTCGTTGCGTAGTGCAGCTCGGAACTGCGGCGCCAGACCTGCGTCGGTTTCTTTTAGTCGAAGGGTTTGAGGCATGATTGGGTGATCTGCCGGGACCCCGAGAGCGCCCTCCAGACGGCAAACGTAATTACACTCGTGTCGTGGCTCGCTTCCGGAATCTGGCGAGCCATCGCACCCGATCGAGTACAGCATGGCGAGCGGTATATCGTACGCAGGATCGCATTCCGAAAGCTCTTCAATCAGCTTGCTCCAGTACGACTTGACGTCCTTGGCAGTACCCAACTCCTCGCCCATGTCCACCAACATCTGGATCCGTCGGCGGAAAAGGTGGTACAGAGTCGTGTCTGATATCAGGTGGATGAAGCCGAGGCACTCGTCGTTGTGCATAACGGGAACAATGGACCATTTCAGGTACGTCTCCAGGGGCGGACCGTCGCGCTGTTCAACGAAAAATCGAAACACCTCCTCGTTGTTCGCCCGCCGACCCTGCCCAGGGTTCTCCATCATATCTCTGAGTTGGTCTGCGATCTCAGGGAACACCTCGGTCACGGAGCGGCCCATCAGGTCGGGGTGCCGAGCTCCAATCATCTCTCCATACGCCTCGTTGTAGACTGTGGTGAACTTGTCGCCCCAGTAGATGGCTGTGGGCTGAGAGTTACACAAGATCTGGCTGTACGAGTGTTGAAGCAGTGACGGCCATCGGTCCATAGGCCCGAGGGGCGTTGCATCCCAGTCGACACTATCGACCATGTCGAGGAAAGGCTCCTGGTCCGGCATGAACTCTGGCAGAACCAAGGGCGGCTCAGTAGTGGCTCGAACGATTCGGGGGTGAGACAGGATATCCTCTTCGGAGGGGTCTGGCGAGGATGCGGATGGGACAGTAAAAGTCTGCGAGTGCAGTATCCCGCTACTAGGTTCTCTTCCTCCCGACGTGTCGAGGCGTACCTTCCTAGGCGGCTCTGGCGAGGTGGGGAAGTCGTTGGAACTCACAACCACCCACTTGGAAAGCACGGGGTTCCGAGTCCAAAAGTGGTTGTTGTACAGGAAAGACTGCGACGGGTTGACGTCCTGGGCGGTGATCCAGTCCCAGAACCTCGTGTGATCGCGGCTTGAGATGGACGCGAGTACCTCGTAGAGGGCTGGTTTGCTGGCGAGCGCCGGGTTGCTGTAGACGACCTCCGCGTCGGCAGAGTCCTTGAGCAAGGCTGGGACCGCCACGACGAAGCTCGGTCGCGGGTCGGACTCGAGCAGGTCGACGACGCCCACACCGAGGAGCGGGGGGGATGCATGGCGGCGGGCAGGGTGCGAGTCGTCCACTCAGCCAAGGGATCGGCAGGTCTTGTTGTCAGTATCTGTGTCTTCTCTCATCATCAACCAATGGCCGTTTGGGAATAGGATCAGGATCCTGCAGTCAGACCAGGCGCGACACCTGGGCGCTGTGCTCTTCCTGTGGTTTCCTCCTTGAGAAATCAAAAAGGAGCTGGGGGAATCAGGTCGGACCCGCCGAAGAAGGTAACCTTTGAGTCAACAGGCGCGCGTGCTGACCAAGGGCAAAGCAAGGTGAGAGTGATGCTTGGGGGGGTTGCGATGCAGCAGAAGTAGATGCGGAAGGAGGGGCGCAAGGTGAGTGGCCGAGAGAGAGAAAAAGCGTCGGAAGCGAGCCGGGGGGGCCAACGTGCACAAGAGTGGTCCCAAGTGGATGAGGTGGACGAGGGTGGTTGAGCTCGGAAGTTGCGATTCTTCTTTGCCGGGTGGCATGGGCGCACGCGGCGGCACACCTGGTCTGTTGTGACCAGACCGAGAGAGAGTTTAACGGGCGGGTCAGGCTTGGTGGGCTTTCGGTAGTGCTCCCAATCAAGCTTGTCAAGCGGAGAAGCAGGACACGGTATGTCTGCTGTGAATGCGTTGCGCGGTTGGTGGTTGTGGAAATCTGCACCGGGTGGATATCTCGCATCGGACCTTGGCCGATTTTCGGATCGCGGCAGGCGAGTTGGTTGTGCAAAAAGCTATGCGGACGCGATATGCCTATCTTGGCTTGCGTGTGGTGTCGTGTAGCTGCAGGACGACGAACAACAGCGCCTGGAGGGGCAGAAAAGAAGATGAGATGGCAAGACGGTTTGGGAGAATAGACCAAGGGGAAATGAATATCACTGGTGGAGAGAAACCGGTCCTCGGGGGACGTAGACGGGCACGGAGACGGGGTTAGCTTTTGGGGGCTGAAGGTCGGACGTCGCAATGTGGCTTGTTACGCAGATGGCGGTCTCGTCAGAAATAACCTCCTGGTCTTTGATGCCACCTAATCGCCGATCCCCTTAGTCTTCGAGAAAGACAGAAGAAATAAATCTAGGCGAGTTCTGACCCTGGATTTGGTGTAGGGGACTCTGGTTGTCGTTGGAACGGCAAGGCGAGGAGGGTAACAGTGGGTGTGGTAGGCAAGAGAGACGGAGTGCCCTTCCGGGAAGGTTAGTTCAGGCCGGTATGCTAAGGTTGGGAGATCAGCAATCAGACTGGGCACTGGGCACTGGGCAGACAAGGTACGGGGGGAGTCGGGAAGCAGTCCGATGACGATAGCCGCTATGGGATCGTGACCCCGTTACAACGAGCACGCGCGTTGGTGAAGGCTGGAAAAAGGGGGTGTTCCAGGATGAGGGGAAGCTGTGAGTTCTCGACGGGAGAGAATAAGCGACGGGCCTCAGAGACAATGATTTACGATTGATTAGTGCTTCCATGCCATCCATCCCCTCCCAGCCGTGCGTCTCAGCCCTCGCCCTCATAGACAGGCACCGTCCCCCCTGACTACGACCACGCCGTACTCGCTGCTTCGACTCGGTAACGCAGAGCGAAGATCGTGATCGAGTGGATCAAAGCCACAAGCGCAGAGCCCAGGGCCAGGGCGTGGGCGGTGAAGAAGGGTCGTCTTCCCGGATCGTCGTGCAAGCGTGCGTAGCATGTGGCTGATACTGAGGTGGACGGACGTCTCGATACTGGGCGAGATCAGATCAGGCGGGAATTCGGACCCAAAGACAGCTTTGGCAGAGATCAACAAGATGGTACCCGTCTAAGCGTGGGACCCGGCCCCCAAACCTATTGATTGGAGTCAGAGAGGTCGACGACCTCTTTTGAGCTTGTCAGTCTCGAGGTATCGCGCGCTGCGGAGGAAAAATGCTGTAAACCAGCCGGCCACGAGAACCGGGGGCAGGCAAAAAGTGGGATTCGCAAAAAGAGGAAAGCACACCGGCCGCTGTTTCCACAACGGAATCTATGGCGCACTGGCCAATCACGAGCGGCCAGAGGCGCATTCGTGGCGCAACCCCCCTTTGACGTCTTCCAAGCTTCAATGGCAGTGGTGGCAGCAGGGAGAGAGGCGGAACCAAATCAGACGTGATGTGACTGTTAAACTCGTGCTCAATTTCGGATCATCCTTCTTTGGCCTTCTTCCAATTATCCCCGTTTCTTTTCATTACAAAGCTGCCATTCCGGAGAGTTAACCCCGCAAAACATGCCTGGCAAAGAGACGACGCCGTCCTAGCTGTTGGGCTCGCTTACCTAGGTACCGTAGGTAGGTATCTTAGTAAGTACAATGTAGACAGTTGGTGGCACACCGCAACGCCCGCTCATTTGCCAGTGACGTTGCTCCCTACACGTCATCCCGACCTCACACGTGGGGTAGCAATAGATGCGAAATCCCTTCCCATTACCACTAGTGCTTCTCGTCGGCCCCCTCGCCAAACTCCACGCTCGCGTCCAGCTCGTTAGTTTCGGAGTCCGATCCGAGTTTGTTTTGTTTTGTTTTGTCGGTTCTGCCTCAACCCCGTTCCTGGGCGCTGGATGAGAGGCTTCTCACTGCGCTCACGCACAGTTGCAGCAGCCTGCCGTCGTCAGATCGCCTCCCGCTCCCGCCGTGAACATGGTATGGCGTAAGCGCGGCCGACTTCTGCGCCGTGCCTCGTGACGTCACATGGCTCTTGTACGCTAACGCCCTCGTTCCCGCAGAGGAAACTAGATCAACTCCAATCTTTCTCAGGTGTTTGGCTAATCACAGGCCGCGCCGCGATGTCTTCCTCTCAGCCGCTCACCGACGCGTAATTGCGCGCCCAATCAGGATGCCCGACACTTTGACTCAGGAGCAGGTTCCGGAGCGCCCTGGACCATCAACACCGCTCACCTGCATGGCCCAAAGTGGCCTTCGACATGCTTTTTTTTTCTTTCGAATGGAGCCGAGTGGGGACTCGATGTGAAACCAGTATCGAATCGACCGGCACGCACTCAATTTTGATGGTCTCTCTCTCTCTCTCTCTCTCTTTCTCCACCCTTCATGTGCTCTTTTCCTCTGCTTCCTTTCGGTGCGCGGCAGGACTTGACATGTTGCGGCTATCCGGTGACGACCCAGGGGGGCAGTTCTTGACAGCAGTCCGGATAGAGAGACACGACCTCGCATCCCTCGTTTGCCATCCAATCACCGTCTCTCTTAATCGAGTTCATGGACGTGCGGTTACGCTAACGGGAACCGCATGTCTTTGCTAAGGAACTCCAACGTCATTCGCACCAAGCCAACCGTCTCACCAGCGGCTTGGGCAGGCAACTAGAGTCCCATTTATCAACCCCTTCAGCTCCCTAGATAGTGCCATGCAGTTCGAAGTGTGACAAACGTCAGATGATTTTTCTTTGGCCCTGTCTGCTGGTGCAAATGAAAGCACTCCGAGATCAGTAGAACCCAGCGTGGGCAGGCTTGGTTCGTCGCGGTGCCTCCAAGCCGTATGTGCATTTGGACGCAAGCGCCAGATCGCCAAACTTAAGCATCCAAAATTCAAGCATCAAAGATGTTGTTTTGTCCAGCTCTATTTGAGCTCCACGCGGAATGACCAAGCATCTACCAAGCTTCTTCTTCTGGTGAATGGCATCTTGTAATAAAACCAGCCCGACTCCACGGGCCGAGGCATGTATCTCAGACATTCGCAACCCTGGACCCCTCAAACATGCCAATTCGGTGACGCAAGAACGAATATCGACAAACCAGTTTTACATGTAGGCAAGATGCACTTCACGACCCCATTCAAGAATGTCATTCCGGGAACATGTCTCACCTCGCACTCGTGAGTACTCATGCCGTCAGCAGCGTTTCTCTAACACGCGAGGCCTGCAGCTGGCTGGCATTCCTTGTAAGGGTACCCTGGGGCCGATTGATGATGCAAATGCTATACGGATAGGAATGGGATGCATTTCTGGACCCAGGGCAAGATTACCGTAGAATGGAATAGCTTTCGCTGTAGAAACAGTCATTGATCTATCTTGAATTCTCCGAGTCTGAGATACACCACCCCTGCTGCCTCAAAGCAATGTGAGAAAGGGCAAAACAATCCTCATCTCTCTCTCTCTCTCACTCTCTCTTTCTCTTTCTCTCCCTCTCCCTTTCTCGCGCGCGCGCGCGCATCTCATCTAAGACATGATTCCCGTCTCATTCTAATAGTCGCTATGATTGCAAAGTCAACCCTTGCCGGTATCCCCACGCCCTGCTAGCCCAACACGGTCGATGGCTCATACCACCATCAAACACGCACTACCCTAACGCGCCGCAACCAAGCTCATGTAGATACCCCAGGCAACACCGGCCAGGGAACCCACCAAGTTCCTGCCCTCGATGCTCTTGATCAAGGCAAAGTTGACCAAGCTAACCATGGGCCACAGCTTCAGGCCCGCGAGGAAGATGGGCACGAACTCGAGCTGGCTGCTGCGGACGACGGCCCGCCAGTCGACCTTGCCGTAGTCGATGGCGCCGCGCGACAAGAGGTACGGCCCCGAGTGGTGTGCGGCCGCGAGGTGCTCCGGGCGGGTCATGGCGGTCTGGATACTGTGCATGAACATGCTGAAGGCGAGCGTGTTGAGCGCGGCGCCGACGGTCTGGTCGAGCACCAGCTTGATGACCGTGTTGCGGATGTTGAGCTTGGGCTCGACCAGCTTGTCCTCGCGCGCCTCGCGGTCCAGCTCCTTCTCGTCGTTGGCCGCGGCCGAGGCGATGGCGCGCTTGGTCGGCGACACGTGGTAGGCTGGGAAGGTCTCCTCGAGGAACCCTTGCCTGCGAGTGTGTCAGCGATGCAGTGCGGCCTGGGTACCGGGTCTCGATCGAAGGCATCGACACCCTTGCGGGAGCAGTGTTCCCGGGTGAGGACTCACCACATGAAGTTGGGGGGCGTGCTGATGATGGTGTAGATGATGAACTGGAAGATGGGGACCCAGTCGATGACCAGTTGGCTCTGGTCGCAGGATTAGCAATGAATCTCGGGCCACAGGCAGACGGCGTCATGATGTGCGACGATGCATCACATCCTTCCGGTGGTCCTGGCGCGTGGAGTCATCATACATCGGTCTGGTAGGCCGTCAGGGCCTGCGCCAACAGGTTCGACGTCCCGCTGAGGACAGCGGACTGGAGCGTCGCCGTGACGATGGGAGGAAAGGCCATGATGACGCCTTATGGTTTCCGGGAAAGTCGGTCTGCAAAGCTCTATGGTGAGGTCCGGTGTACGTGTCCGAGAAGTCTTCGCTGTGAGACGCGATGAGCGACACGCTATCGGGACTGGTTATGCAAGGGCAGGAGCGATATCCCTTTGGTAGATGTGAGCTTGAGAGGTGTCTCAGCTGGCAATCTTTATATGCCGCGATGCGCAACTAACGCAAGGTTCTTGAGATCTGTTCAAAAGGACGCTCGAGGTTGGTGAATTTGTAATCGGCATAAGCTTGAGGGCTGGCGGACGGGATGGAGGGCCGGGGGATTGAAGATTTGGCGGGGTTCATGTGGAGGAGAGGGATGCTGGAACGGCAAGGCGTGGATGAGCCCCGGTTCGTGTGGAGGCGGCCGGCCGCTGTTCGGGGTCGGCGAATGAGGGACAAGCTTGCGCTTCTGCGGGGCTACAGACAGCTGTCCGTTTGAGCAGACATGGTGAGCTCTGGTAGGCAGCTTTGGGCAAAGTCTCAGACTAGCATCAAGCACGAGTTCTATTGGACGCTTGCAATTCGATATTGGCTCTGAGCCAATGCTAGGGGCCGATTCTCATTCTATATGACACTGTAACCTGGGCGGTGACTTGTTGCCTGCTTGAAAGATAGGCAGCGGCAAGGAAGGTGATTCGAACAAAAGGAGCTTGACGTGTCAACCAACCAAAGCTTATTGGGAAAACAGCGCCCAGGCAGCACGTCGCTTGCATGATGGTATGCCGCTCATTGTAATGCAACATCATGATGCAGGTTTCTAACGCTGACATGGATGACAGCTTTGTTATTGATTTGTACTTCTTCGTCTCAACCTCTGCTTCGTAACCTGTTCCTGGTAACTCCAAACTACAGGGATTGAGCTTCCTCGTCTCAGGCTCAATCTAGGCGGCGCCATCGCACATATCTCAACCGCATAATAGGCTCAACAGCAAACAACACCAACGCGCTCTAAAAACGTGACGTGTCGCATTTATCGTACACGTGTGTTCGGTTGCCGGAGGAGACCCTCGCTTTTTCGTAACGGGTTATCCTGGAACCGGCAACCACCCTTCTATTTGACCTCCTGGCATGCTTCTTTCCAGCTGCGCCTAGACGCCTTTCAGTGTCAATCTTCTGGTCTCGTACTTTTTGCATCATTAACCCCCAAGAGTTGTGGGATCAAGGTCTCGTCAGGATCCACATGAACAGCAGCTGAACGATGTACGAGTAGAAGAACAGAAACTGGGTTCTCTGGTTTCGCTTGGCTCGGGAATCGCCCGTCTGCATAGGGCCAGCGCCGTTGGCCGCGTTCTCGGGCAAAAGGACGTACTTGAGAGACCGCATCTGAAAGGGAGGTTAGTTTATAACATTACCACATCTGCAACAGGGGACCGATGCGAACATACCAAGAACAGGGAGTTGGCCAGGAATGTGTAGAGGAACACCGACCAGCCAATCCAGCCGCCCGTGCCCTTGCCACCGTTGAAGGTCTCAGCCACGGCGACGGTAACAATTATACCAACAAACTTGTACCCTGAGTACGCGATCAGATCGTAGAGTTGCGAGTCGTTTGAGATGCCCAACAGATAGCAGCCCAGCTTCAGACCCAAGATCTCCGCAACCACTATCACCAGAGCCGTCGACGCCGTGTATCCGAGGAGCTCAGGCTGGAACTGGCCTCGGAGACCGGCGATGAGGGTGGACAGGAGGATGTACGTCACAACGGCCATGACGGGGATGTACATATCAGGGCTGTTGATGTCGTCCCGCGGCGGGAGATACCACCCCTCCTGGCCGCTAGGTCCGACGGACTGCTTGCGCGACCACGGCTTGTGCCTCCAAGGGAAGAGGACGAGGAAGAGCTTGTTGATGACATAGGAGTTGGAGACGTTGAAGTAGTGCTTCAGGGCGTTGACGTTGACGTATCGGTTGAACTGCAACATGGGTTAGCTTCGTGTAGGTCCGATGCATCTTGCAGAGATCAAAGACCCTGCAAAGATATGCGTGTGTTGGAGCCTCTCTCTTGACGTACGTTCTGCTCCATGTACTCCTGGCCATGCTTGAAAGCCGTCTGTCCAAACTGCGCCGCGACCTGTGCCGTGGGGTCGTTCATGAACTGTCCGTATGCGCCGAACACGTTCCCACTCGTACCGCCTTGCTGCTGATAGGGGCTGCCGTAGCCTTGTTGCGATTGCGATTGCGACACGGGCGGAGGGGGCGAGCGCAGCTGAGGAACCGTCGAGACATGCTGGGGTACAGGGTGGTGCAAGGGGGCGACTGCCCGTATGTTTGTGGACGCTGCATGATGGGCAAAGAGAAGCTTGTGATTTCGGTCGTGCCGTTGAGGAGTATGCCGAATGGGTCTGGTCGGGAACCGGAGAGCTGTGTTGGAGAGGACGTTCGGCGTCGCGGATGTTGGGATGCCTCCCTTCTGTGAGTCCACGTCGTCTTTGGCGGGCCGCAAGCTGAGGTGGATGTAGCTGGTATGGAAATGTGTTTACTTCCATGTCATCAGCGAGGGGCCGAGCTCCGAGTTCACACTGTACGGATGGGCCGCGTATTGCAGATCCAGACAGTGCGGCAGATTGGCGGATTATCCTCAGCTCCGGAGCTTATCGATAGGGGCCTCGAGCAATGCGGGAGCCGCCCATCTGCGAAAGGTGCATCCAGCCCGCCTTATCGGCCACGAGTCTGCGCCACAGGCCAGCTTTTTGGATCATCGAGGAAGTTGCCCCAAACCAACGGTTCCCCTCCCTCCTCTGCTCTACCTGTCGTCACTCTCCACGTCTTCTGTGTCGCCGCAACCCAAGGAACCGAAGCGCATACACAATGTTGGATACGTTCGAGATCCTGACCACCTCCGGTGTGGTCCTCTGGTCCAGGAGCTATGCGCCTGTCAACCCTTCCGTCATCAACAACTTCATCGCCGATGTCTTCATCGAGGAGAAGGGCGGCGCTGCCTCGAGCCAGTCCGCAGCCAGCAACCCCCCATACAAGCGCGACCAACATACGCTCCGTTATACGTTTGTCAAGGAATTAGGCGTCATCTTCGTGGTATGTCCCCTCAACAATCAATGCGCCCAGCCATGCATGACACTGACGGACGTGTGGGCAGGCCGTTTACAGATCACTCCTCCACTTGTCGTGGATCGACAAGCTTGTCGACAACATCAAGACGATCTTTGTGGATTTATACGGCGAGCAGCTGACGAAGCCCCATACAACATTGGTCGAATGCCACAAGTTCGACGAGTACTTTGACCAGCAGGTTAGGGAGCTGGAGACGACGGGGCCCAAGGGCGACTCCAACATCTCGGAAGCCGAGTTCGCCAAGGAGGAGAAGACGCTGTCTGGAAACCTCGGCGATGACCCTCCCCTTCCCTCGGGTTTGCATTATAGGGGTAAGCGGAATGCGCCGCGCGCCGTGCCATCACGCGACCAATGCTAACGAGTCACCAGGACGCGGTCTGAACGGCGCGAACGGAGCATCCAACGATTCGACCCCCATTGCGACGCCCACCACCTCGCGGCCCTCGACCCCCGGAACCGGCGGTGTTGTAGTAGGAAAGGCCGGCCCCGTAGCCAAGATGTCGCGCCGCGCGCGCAAGGCCGGCAGCTCGGGCCCCGTCTCGTCTGGGGACGAATCCGCCGGCAGGAGGCCCAAGGTCGCGACGAGATCGTCGACGAAGAAGGGCCGCAAGTGGGACGCGGACGGTATGGCGGACGAGGACGACGACGTGGTGCTCGACTACTCGGCTGCTCCGAAGTCGGCGACGAGCGACTCGGAGGCCGAGCCCGCCGCCCGCTCCTCCGCCGTTGAGCACGTTGACCACACGACATGGGGCTCCAAGACGGCAAAGGGACAATTCGTGCTGAAGGACCTTGACGACGAGGTGCACAACATCCTGGCCTCGGCGCAGGCCAAGAACAGCACTTCCTCCAAGCCGGAGGCTTCCGGCGGGCTGCTCGGGTCCGGTCTGAGCACCATCGGCGGACTGTTCCGCAACGTTGTGGGCGGCAAAACCCTGACCAAGGCGGACCTTGACAAGGCCATGAAGGGCATGGAGGAGCACCTCCTCAAGAAGAACGTGGCGCGCGAGGCGGCCGTCCGGCTGTGCGAGGGCGTGGAAAAGGAGCTCCTGGGCGTCAAGACGGGCAGCTTCGAGAGCATCAACGCCAAGATCCAGGCCGCCATGGAGGCCTCGCTCACAAAGATGCTCACGCCGACGTCCTCGCTCGACCTCCTCCGCGAGATCGACGCCATCACGGCGCCGCCCGCGACGTCCCTGCGCAAGGCTCGCCCCTACGTCATCTCCATCGTCGGCGTCAACGGCGTCGGCAAGTCCACCAACCTCTCCAAGATCTGCTTCTTCCTGCTGCAGAACAAGTACAAGGTGCTCATTGCCGCCGGCGACACCTTCCGCTCCGGCGCCGTCGAGCAGCTTGCCGTCCACGTGCGCAACCTCAAGGAGCTCACGGTCCGCGAGGGCGGCCACGTCGAGCTGTACCAGAAGGGCTACGGCAAGGACGCCGCCACCGTCGCGCGCGACGCCGTCTCGCACGCCGCGCAGGAGGGCTTCGACGTTGTCCTCATCGACACCGCCGGCCGCAGGCACAACGACCAGCGCCTCATGTCCTCGCTGGAGAAGTTTGCCAAGTTTGCCCAGCCCGACAAGATCCTCATGGTCGGCGAGGTAAGAACCCACCCCCTGTCCCCTTTTGAAGTAGCACAAAAAACTAACACACAGCCCCTCAAAGGCCCTCGTTGGCACCGACTCGGTCGCCCAGGCCCGCAACTTCAACGCCGCCTTCGGCGCCGTCCGCACCCTCGACGGCTTCATCATCTCAAAGTGCGACACGGTCGGCAACATGGTCGGCACCCTCGTCAGCCTCGTCCACGCCACAAACGTCCCCGTGCTCTTTGTCGGCGTCGGCCAGCACTACTCGGACCTGCGCAACTTTTCGGTCAAGTGGGCCGTCGAGAAGCTCCTGAGCAGTTCTTGAGCGCGACGTCCCCCGTCATAGGCAGGGGGGGCAGTCTTCTCTGGGCAGGGTTTTTTGAACACACACACATACTTCCTTCTAATATGACCTGAATGAAATAAACAAAAATTAACGGCTGGGGTTTTCTTGCGTTGGAGACCCGATGATACCCCCCCCTTAAGACAAATCACCTCCCAGAGCACTTTGCCGTTGTTGACCTGATTTGTGATGGTGAATATCGTTCCCGTTCTAGTACATTGGTGACATCACGCGAGACGAACATCAACCTCGCACTCGCCGCCTTCACAATGTGTAAATATCAAGATCACAACATTGACGGGTCTCAATCAAGGGTAGTAGCCAGATCGGGCGGCAAATTATGACTATATACGTTCTTGTGTAGTGTAGTGTAGTAGTAGCGGGGGGCAGTAATAGTGTAGTCAGGCCAAGCGTAAAAGCAAGCGTAGAGCGAGCGGAAACCTTACAAGGCTTTCCCCCCCAAAAAAGCCATCCTCAATTCATCGTCATTTTTTCCCCCGCTATGCATCGGACCAGATAAAACAAAGGAAAATTAGTTTAGTCCTCCAGCTTCGAACCCAAGGAGAACGAAACCGACAAAGGTCTGTTCCCGCCCAAGAGAAAGAAGTACGAGCAACAAATAAAAACACCATCTGATCGGGAAGCCTCCAAATAACCAGTGGGTGTAGAGTAGTAGAAGTAGTTTTGCGAAAGGGGGTATCATCATTCTAGTGTGTCCGTTCTTGGGCTCAAAAGCATGCGTGAGAAAGATCGACTGCGGTGCAAGTGACAAAGGAAATCCTCCACACTTCCACACATTATCCCCACTCGTCAATGCTCCTTCTTAATCTTCGAAGAAATCGGTATCGTCAAAGTCGCCCGGGTGAGCGTCCGAGTCGTATGCGCTTGACCGCATCATCGGGGGCGTCATTGGTTGTTGGGAGCGACTTGACGGACGACGGGATGGTGGGCTCTTCAGGGGCATGGGCTCGGATGGTACGTCGGCGAACGACGGTCCTCGAGTCCTGTTCTGAAGCTGTTGAGCCGTGTACCGACGGCCGGTGGTCTGGAATGCCGTCGGCTGGGGTTCCTCCGTGCTTGCAGGAGGGGTCTGACGGAGGCCAGAGGCTGGCGGCGTCATCAAACCATTGGTGTTGTTGCTGAATGACGCCGAGGTCGTAGATCGGGAGGGAGTGTGGTTGCTGTTGGGAGCAGGTCGTGCCGTGGAAGGTCGACCGCTTCGCCCGCCAGATGCGAAGATGGGCTGCTGGGACTTTCGCCAGTTACCCCATGCTGCAGCCAGGGGGCCGACAGCTTGGGCAACGCGAGGTGAAGCGGCTTCACGAAGGGACTGCGCAATGTTGGGCAGGTTGATGGCCGATCCACCGTTCATCGCACGTTCGCGCTCTTGCTCCTCCATCTGGAGGTTGGCCTTGAGACGAATGGCGGCATCCTTGACAGCTTCCCTGTCAAAGTCCTGAGCGGAGACGGCAAGGATAATGTCTTGCAGGTCACCGTGTCTCACAGCAAGAAGCTCGCGCAACCAGGTGATCTCGTCATCACGCTTGGCGATCTTCGTCGGTGCCTCAGGGTCGAGCTTATCGACAGTGGACTCGAGCTCCTCAATGCGTTGCTCGCGGGCCTGCAACTGCTCCTGCAGAACCATAATGGACTCTCGCAGGGCTTGGGGCGAGATCTTCTCGGGGAGGTCCATGGCCTTGGGCACGACGGCGGCGGCGACGGTGGCGACGGCCTTGGGTTGGAAGGTCGCGGCGGGCTGGGCAGGTGGCTCGACACCGGCCGACTTGGCAGCTTGGGCGGCGGCGCGAGCAGCCTCCTTGGCAATCTCGAGCTTCTCCTCCAGGTGGGCGACACGGTCTTGCAGGTGCTCCGTCTTGGATGTGGAGAGGCTGAGGCGCTCGAGGAGATGCTGCTCGGTCTTTTGGCCATCCTCGACGGCGTTGCTCAGCTGGCGCTCCCAGCGGGTCTGGAAGTCCTCGAGTTCGTTCTGGTGCTTGCGCTTCAGCTCCTCGAGAGCCTCGGTCTTGCTGCTCTGAGCCTCCTCCATCATCATCTCAGACTGAGCCTTGGCAGTCTCAACATCCATGTTGACCTGGTCGAGCTCGGCTCTGAGCTTGGCAACCTGCTCCTCGAGCTCCTCGCGGACAACGTTGACGTGGTGGTTGGCTTGATCAATCTCCCGCTGCATGGCGGCGCGTGTTCGCTGGACCTCGTTGATGCCAGACTCTCTGGCTTCCTTAAACTCGCTCTGGTAGCGCATGGCAGACTGGTGAAGCTTGTGGTTCTCAGTCTTCATCTCGCCGAGCAGGCCCTCGAGACGCTTGCACTCGTTGACAGCACGCATGCCCTGGCGCTCGCCATTCTCCAGTCGCTCAATCTCGGTCTCAAGACGCTCACGCGTACGCGCCTCGGCTTGGAGCTTGGCGTCCAGGACCTCTTGGCGTGCGAGCAGGGCCTGTTCGCGCTTGGTCCGGCGGGCATTCTCTTCGGTGATGTCGCGAGCAGCTTGAGCCATGTCTTCCTGGAGGGAGACAAACTTTGCGCGCCAGCTTTCCCTGACGCGCTCGTTCTCCTGGAGCTGGGTTCCAAGGGTGTCAAGGAACTTCTGCAACTGCTTGTTCTCGTTGAGGGTCTCGTTCAGGTCGATTTGCTGCCGGCGGGCGGTCTCAATGGCGCGCTCGGCTTCGGTCCTCCAGCGGCTGGCTTCTTGGTTGGCGCCACGCAGGTCGTCATCCATCGCGTTGATCTTGTTCGTGAGCTCGGTCTGGGCCTGCGCAGCGTTCGTCTGCGAGGCCTCCATAAGGGCCATGCGCATGGTCTGCTTGGAAGCAGCCTGCTCAACGGCCTTGAGCTTGTGGTTGCGCTCCTCGACCTCCTCTCTGAGGCGATTCTCCTCTTCGGTGGCAATGCGAAGAAGTCGCTGGACCTCGGAGAGTCTATCTTCGGCGGTACGGCGGCCATCAAGCTCTGCCTGAGCTCTCTCCTCCTGGTGCCTGAGCTTCTCCTCGAGGTCACCGATGCGGTTGTCGAAAATGCTTCGGTTCATGATTTCGACCTCGACGCGGGTCTCGGCGGCCTGCAACTTCCTCTCTAGCTCGGCCGCAAGATCTTCGGCAGCACGGCGATCGGTGACCTCCTTCTCAGTCTGGGTTCGCTCGACATAGAGGCGTTCTTCAAGATCGATGACCTTGGCCTGGAGCTCACTCAGCTTGTTGTTGACGGCCTCGTCGCTGTCACGATCAGCAGTGGCCTGTTGGGACGGAGTCGGCATGCGCTTCTCGACAGCTTCCTCGACAATGTTGCGCAAATCCTCGCCGCGGAAATCAAGACGCATAGAAGCGCCAAACTGTTCCCTCATCTCCTCCAAAGCCTTGAGAACAGCAGTGCTGGAGGTATCGTCGGAGGCGGCAGGGGCGACAACCGGGGCCACGGGAGGAGTGCTGCGCTGCTGCACCGCAAAAGCGTCGAGGACGGCTGCGCGGATCTGTTCCATGCGTCTGTCGCGGCGCGGGCTCAACGAGCGGCGGGGCACAGGTTCTTCATCCTCGTCGTCAGCATCACTGTGCTGGATGTCTGCAGAAACGCTGCGACGGACGGAAGAGGAAGCTCTCCTGGAGCCTCCTCGGAGGGATTGCTTGATGGAAAGAAGAGCCTTCTCCAAGGGGCCGAGGCGAGCGGAGAGCAGGTCGCTGACGGCTTCATTGACACGGCCGTCGAAGAACTGGACGCGTTGCTCCAGCTTGGCCTGTTCCTCCTCACTGAAAGCCCCCTCCCAGTCGCTATGCGCAACGCTCTCTTCACCGTTCAAGTGCGTGATGGGAGCATCGAATGACCGCGCATCGACAGGATCGATGAAAGGATCCTCCAGCTCCGTGCTTGGCATCGTCGAGTTGTCGGCAGGGAGGCCGTGGTATTGTCGGACGGGGCTGGATGTTCTGCTGCGGTACTGACTGCCGGCTTGCATCTTGTAGGGCGACAGGTTGGTAACGCCAGCGACCTGGATTTGCCTCTTAGGACTGGGCTGGTGCCATTCGGTAGCTTCGGCAGTGGCCTTGTTCACGCCAAAGGTTGGATCATTCTGGTTGAGGTGGTCCATGATGGCATCAATCTCTTCGAAAGTTGGCTCGCGCAGCTCGTTGTTGGTGTTTCTCGTGGGCTGGTCGCCAAAGGAGAAGTCGTGCGCCTGGGGCTCATCAACGTACTCTTCAGCTTCGGAGACGACGTAGTCCTCGGGGATTTCCCCTTCTTCAAGCTCCTGCTCAGGCTCACGTGCAGGTGAGGGAGAAGCCGCGAAGCGAGACGCAGCGAGACCCTTAGTCTTCGGCGGGCTGGCGAAACGAGAAGCGCCCAGTCCCTTGGAGGCAGCGAAGTTGGGAGGCGTAGGCGCGCGGGTAGACTGTTCACGCGGAGGCGACAACTGGAGCGGAGCCTCGGTGCTTGGCAGAACAGGCTCGATTGTGTCTTCTCTGTCGCGCTTGTCCTCTTCATCTTCCTCAGTCTCAGTCTCAGGCGCAACAGCCCAGCCGCCGCCAGGGATGAATGCCCTCGCGGTGGCAGACAGGGACTTGTTGTGGCCCTTCTTGTAGGTGTCGATACCGAAAGGTCGAGCATCATTGAAGTTCTGGAGGTCAGACTTGGACTCAAACTCGAAAGGCGCCCAGTTCAGTTGCTGCTGGTCAGGCGACGTATCCGAGGGGCTGGTGGCCGTGACAGCCTTAGAATCAGTAGGGTGCTCGGAAGCAACCGTGGAAGACATTGTTGTGTCTGCTGGTGTGAAAGCTTGCTCATCGCCCGACTTGTGCTCGGGAGCCTCCTGTTCCTCCTTCTTCGATGCTGGCTGGAGCGACTGCATTGCGGTAGGCTCAGGCGATGGTTCAGCGAACAGGGGAACATCATCGCCGTCCCCTCTCGAAGCCTTCGCCCTCTTGATACGAGACTCGTCAATCAGACGACCGTCTGCTTCATCCGGAAGATCGTCCTGAGATTCGTCCTTGTTGTTGTCGCTGCTGCTGGGGCGGACGATCGGAATAGCCTTGTTCTTTTTGGGAGGCTTAACAACGTCAGACAGGCTCAGATCAATGTTGCCGAAAATCGAGCTGGTGCGGTGGCCAATGCTTTCGCTGCCCGACACAGGGCTAGTGACAGAGTCTGAAACGTTCCCGAAGGGTGTGAAGGCGGGTGCATCCGGTCGGAACTTTGGACCAGAGGCAGAAAAGCTAAAGTCGCTCTGGCCAGGGGAGAAGACAGGGGCAGCAGCATTAATCTTGGATGAGATGGACGGTGCGCCAAACGAGTGTGCCGATGGTGAAGCCACAGAGGATGTGAACGATCCGCCTCCCGCCTGGAAAACAGACGGCTGGAAGGTATTGCTGCCACTTCCAAAAGTGAAGCTGGCCTTTGACTCGTGGCCCGGGTTGAACTTGAACTCGGGGGCCTTGACGTTGAGCTTGGACAGCGACGGCTTGCTGGCATGGCTGGGTCTTCTCGGCATGCCGGAGTTGCTCGACATCGACGAGACGTCATTCCACGGGTTACTTGTCGTGGAGAAGGATCGCTGGTGCTGTTGCAAAAGTGTCGTAAGGCTGTAGTCTTGCACAGGAGTACCAAGGTTGCTGGGGTTGGTCTCGATTTCGGCCGCCTCGTCGATTCGGTTGGGGTCAACATCGTGCCATCCGGTCAAGCTGTCGCCACGAGGTCGCGTCTCGTCGTGGTGAGAGAAGAAGTTCTGCGACAGTGAGTGGCCACGGCTGTGAGGCCGCGGGTGGTGGAGAACAGGGCCGTCACCGGACTGCTGGACGAACTGCTGTTGTAATTGCGGGTGTGCCTGGAACTGGACGGACGCTTCTCTCACATGCGAAGGAGGCTGCTGTTGAGAGAAGTCTGCAAGTTGCTCCGCAGCGGCTTCCTCGTTATGCGGGCTGTAGTCCTCGTGCTCCAACTCGTTGCGCATCTGTTCCTCCAAGTGGTATTCGGCCTCGTCAATCTCGGCCTGGAGGTCGTCGTCGTTGACCTGCGCGGGCTCCAACGGCTTCGAGGGGGTCTCTTCAGCTGCCTCCTCCTCATCCTCTCGTACCTCCTGCAGGCGAGGAGATGCCCGCGCAGGTTGCTGTTGCTGTATGAACTGGTGGGGCATCATGGGGTACTGCAGAGATTGGTGCCGCTGGTGAGCGTTGAAAGCAGGGCTACCAGTCGGCGCGAAACCCTCCGGTGCGAAGGGCGACACGGGAGAAAGGATTCCGTTGAGCATCGAAGGCGAATCCGTTCTGTGCTGCGAAGGCCAGCCCATTGGCGAAGGCTGGCTCGACATTTGAAAGGGTGAATGGCCCATAGGAACCGATATCGACTGTCGAGCATTGTACTTGGCTGGGTGGCTTCCGAAACCAACGGGAGAAGCCATACTCGGGCTCTGGCCTGCGGACGAACGTCCACCGGGCAGGAACTGCGAGGGGAAGGGATAACCTTGGATATGGTTGCTCGAGGCCGAGGACGTAGGCATGGGTGGGGAGAAAGGCAGAGGCGGGTACTGCGCTGAAGCCTGTCTGCTAGGCTGTGACACCGCAGGCGATATTGACGGCGCAGGGGGGTCGTCGTCGCCGAACGACACTCCGAGAGCTCGCAACTTGGCCTCGTTAAGCTCGTTCACGTAGTTCTTCCAAGCTGCGACATGATTAGCATGGTTGGCATCTTCGCGGCTAAATCTCCAGCTTACCGTTCAAGTCAGGCAACGTGACCTTGTACGTGCGTTCCGCACGCTCTCTAGCAACCTCGTCAAAGTCGGGCCAAGCGTCTCGACTCTGAGAGTACCCTATGGGGGTCTGGTACGTGCCCTCTGCTACGTCCAGGTCGAAGCCGCTGATGTCGTACCCAAGCTCTTGCCACGATCTAAACATGCCTTCAATTTCAGATTGGTTCAGCGGCTTGGGCGCTTGTCCGGGGCGCCCACGCTCATCATCTTTGGGAAGAAGAACCATAATGTTCTTGCCCTTCCACGGGACCTTCTTCTTGAACCGCGGCGTCATGCTTGGGTCTTTGATCGAAACTCTTGCAGAGGCACTCCTCATCGGAGTGATGGGAGCTTTCGTGGTCTCGCCATGTGCAGCACTTGCGCTCCTTCTGGGCGTTGTGGGGAGTGCAGGGAGGTCTGGGAGGTCACGGGCCAAGTCGGCCGTTGAGAGATCTGGGCTCTCCATCTTTGCGTCTGCGACGTCGTCTTGAGGCTTCGCGCCTTCTGGTTTGAGTGTCTCGACGCTAGACCGGGTGCGCGGGTAGCGAGGTTCGGTGAGCGATGCGCGGGTAAGGCGCGGTCGAGCTCTCGGCGTCCGCAACGACTCTTTATCGTGCCAGACAGCTTCGTCGCCGGATCCTGAGCCGCTCAGTGAAGAGTGCTCACTTCCGTCGCTGAACCAATGCCGACTCTCAGAGTTTTCGCCCGCCGTGTGTTGGCGAATCCAGTCCTCGGTCAATCGCCGCGCGGGTCGTCGAGCGCGGTTAGCGAGGACCTGAGCTGCGCTGAGGTAGGGCTCAGGCGAATCGTCGTGGTGTCCGAGCGAAAGCGCGGGGGGAGGACGGAGAAAGGGAGTGCTGATTGCAATGTGATGGATTGGCGAGTCTTCGGATTGATCGCTGCCAGTGCTCTGGCGGCGGAGAAGCCTCGTGTCTTCGGTCGAATACGGTGAGCCCCAGCTGGCTGTAACGTATCTCTCCTCTGCTTCGGCGTTGGGTTGGCTCCTTAGAATTTCCCGAGCTCGGTCAGGGAGTCTCGGCACGGGTAGCGAAGGCAAAATGGGGGAGGACCCGAGGTCCTCGCCGTCGGCAGCAGTGGACGTCGAAGAAAGGGCGGGCGACGTGGGCGGCGAATTGAGCGGTGGACGATGAGGTCCTTTGCCGTCCTGTGCGGATGCAGCAGGAGGAGCCTGGGGTTGCTGTTGAGGAGACGTCTTCGTGGGACTCTGTTTCAATCAGGAATGGGCCCAAGATCAAGGTGGCGTCCGCCGTGGGCGGTCAAGGTACCGCTAGGGAATGTGAAGGCAAGGTGAGGTGAGGTAGCTTACCACGGTGAGATCAGCGCAGACGAGGGGATCGTCTGCAGCCAAGTCTCTCAAGATTTCGCGTCGAGGACCCTATGTTCGCAGCCCTCAAAAATACGACATGCACACACGAAGCAGGCCGCGAGAGAAATAGGGAACGGACGGGCTGTCGAGGTTGTTGACAGGAGGAATAAGGGGGTGGAGGAGAAGAGGCGGCCCGTGTGATTGGGGACGGTTGTGTGTGTATATTTGGGGCCCGGTCGTTTTTTTTGGTCGCGACGACGCGTTGGTATTTTTTTGGCAGGCGGGCAGTAAGGGGAAAAAAAAGTGGTAGCCAGCAGGAATAAGGTATTATTTGCAGAGGTGGTCCGGTTCAGGGATTAGAGAACGGGGGGTCGTTGCAGAAGGGAACTGGGGGAGAGGGAAATTATTGACTAAGGAGCGACATGAAGACAGAAGGGTGGCAGCTCGCGGGTACCGGACGCATCGGGATCACAGCTCGAGCTAAACGATGATGATGATCTTGATGATTTGACAAGACGTCGTCGGTCTTTTGGGCGGGAGAAGGAGGTGAAGGATGGAGATGGGAGATTGTGTTAGGTACGTGAGGTGTCAGAAGGGAGGTGAAAAGAAGGCGAGGACTGGACGGGATGGGTTGAGAGAGAGAAAAAAAAAAGGCAAGGCAAGTCGAGGCAAGGCGTGGCACTCGAAGCAAGTCAAGGCATGGCACGGGAAGCTAATGCGAAGGTTCCTGTCCTTGGAGATGATGGTGTCCAGGCTGTGGTCGAACGGGACTCGAGGTACCAGGCACAGACAAGGAGCGGGGATTTGACGGGACGGGCAAGGTACAGGTACGGCAACGGAAAGGAGCAGGTACAGCTGAGCTAGAGCACGGCCAGGTGGGCTTTGATGCCGCTAAAAGCCCAAGAGTCTTCCTTCCGTCTGGCTGCAGCCTCCCACATACATAGCACTTGGTGGCCAGTCATCACTCAACAGCCAGTGACAACCACGACGGTGCGTTCGTCTATGCACCGCCGCGGATTCGCGGAGACTCGAGAGAGGGGAATGGTGGATGGAAGAGAGAGGTCACTTTTCTCTGGGCCGTTTGCGTGGGACTATGAACCAGTGGCACGCTGAGATTGGACGTTTCGAGTGGGAACTCTAGGGGGTGAGAACGGAGAACGAACAGCACAGGAACCAGCTGGCACTCGCTGCTGGGCCTTTCTGTCCCTTTCTTCCCTCGTCCTCAATGGAAGAGCAAGCAAGCACATGAACAACGACGGAATGTCATTGGGGATTGGGAAGACACGCGCAGACGGGTCGGGGGACCCTGCTTTCCAATGGGATGGACTGGGGCGTGCCAGGGACAGGCTGGCAACTTTGCCAACTTGAATGACAACCTTCCAAACGGGCCAGTGAGCGGCCCAGCTTTGTTTTAATGAGCGTCCCCGCTGAACCACGGGGCCGAGCTATGGCCCAGTCCAATCTCGCCTTTGCCTGTGTGGTGGCGGGTACATCCAACGAGGGGTGGCTCTCACGCATGTGGGATGTACCCCCTAACAACTCTCTCGCCCCGGAAATCGCTTCCCCCTACTCTCGCATCACCTCTGGAGCTCTGGGTGATTTCCGCCGGATGAGACCGCCCCGCCGCTTGAACTCTTAGACGACATCGTATTTACCAATGGCTCGATGCTCGCTCGGCCCGTGACGCTCGTAGCACAGTTTGCGTCCGACTGGCTGTCACTCGTTCGTCTTCCGCCATCCGTTGCGGTCGACTCACACAGGCGCCTCGACTCTAGTTCTGTCTGGGAGCGGTTGTGTCTTACAACAAAACATGTCTCCCCGCAAAAAATAGCTTCAAGCGGCCGGCGTTGTTCAAACTTCGATGTCGCGCATCCCGCGTCCTCTGCTAGACCCTGACCGCTGTTTATTTTTTGTCTTTCTTAGATCTCGACTCAAGCACAGCCAGTTGACAACAGGGGCACCCTTTCCAGCTGCATCGATCAACCATGAAGACGGACTATGTGGAGGGTTGGATTCTCTAATCGTGATGACACCCTCCCTCGACACTAGAGAAAGCCACTTGCGCTCTTAGGCCCGGCCGACCTGCATGACGGGAACCCCATCTGTCAGATTTCGGGGTCCATCCCTTTTGCCTGCACGTTTTTTTTTTTTTGAAGAACATTGGAACTCTTATTCTTATGGAAGGTGATCGAGCTCCGACGACGCGCTTGCTGTTTCGACCAAATAACAATGAGCGCAGATGCGGAATCGGTGCCCGCGTCCCACGGTTGCTGCAGGCTTGTTGCGTCAGCCACAAACCTTCAGGCACTCTCGTCCTTTTCCGGCGGCAGACGACATGTCTGAAGTTCGGTCCTGGCAACTGTCGGACGAGCGGAAACAGACTTCAGGTGCTCGCCTCGTGTCTTGGTTGGACGGGACCAACGAGTTGAGATGGAAAAGGAGAGAAAAAAAAAATTGTGTTCCCCTTTTCCCCGTATTCCAGAGTCAACATTGTCTTATACCAAACGCGGTCCGGATTAGACAAGACGCGTGGAAAAGCAAGAAACGGGGGGGCGTCGGGAGCTTGGGGCCAAAACAAAGAGCCAACAGCAACAGCGTTGAACCTGGGGTCATTAGATTGGATATCGCGGGCTATAGCTGATTAGGGCCGTCGGGTATAACCCGCTGGGAGGAGAAATTTGGGTGCAAGGGCACGAGATTCTTCATGAAAGTCTTTTCCACCGGTACCGTCATGCGTCCGCAGCGCTTTCTACGGCAGGGCAATTTGCTCCGTACAGGGCTGGAAATCATTTTCAGTCCCCGCGGAAGTAAGGTTGGCGGTTTTCGGTGGCCATGGCTGTGATGGTGGTTTCCCATGGTACCACACTGCGGCTCTTCCAGCCTGTCTAACCCTCGTTTTCGTCCTCCCCGAAAAGTGAAGGCATTCAGAGATGCCATGACCTAACCCAACTAGGCAAGCCTCTTCAACTACACAACTTTCGGGGGTTCCAAACAAACGGCCAGGTTTTACCCGCGCTTGATTCAGTTTCCTCGCAAGGCTACCGGTTCTGTCATGTTTCAACGTAAATATTATTCATTGAAGAAGGCTCTCTCTCGTCAACTGACGACCGGGAGAGTGCCGGATATCAACCTCGCTCTTTGTTCTCGAGGGCCGTGTAGAAACGCCAAACCCGACTGAATCATGTACAACTTGAAATTCCCATCCCCATCTGACCCAAAGTGATCCAAGCCGCAGCGGCTTTCGTCCCATCGACTTGGTGACGCTCGTTCCCATGGACACGCGCCGAATGTTCGCATGGCCGGTAGTCACAAACGTATATCATACAACGTCAACCTACGCGCCTCTGGCTTCACTGCTCCACCGCCTTGTGGAAGAGGCTGCGGCCGCTTACGGGTCACAGAAGATGTCAAAGTCGCCAACCGAGCCCGCGAACACCGCTTCGCTGAAGCTCTGCTGCGTCGTCGTGTCAATCGCCGCCTTGCACTGCTCTGCACGTCGTCCACTCACATCAGCGTACTGGTCTTCTTATCCAACATAACCAAACCCATCTTTCCCCTTTCCCCTCATCCTCTCCGCTGACAGAGATGCGAGGAGAGAGGTCAACCCCGAGGCTTGGACGGAGGCAACGTACCTGACTGCTTGTCACATTCGGATACCTCAAACTTTTGCGGTCCGTTGTTGGCGGCTTGTGAGCACTTGTTCTTCTGGTTGTCGCACGCTCTGTTCGCGGCCGTTGAGAAGTCGGGCTAGTTTGCGGCGTCAGCATGGAGTCCTCTCGAGGTCCAGTAGCCGCGGGGAGTTGCACGCTCCAGCCACGTGGGTCAGACTTACAAAAGTATCGCCGTCAACCTCGAACGGCCGTTGGGGGTTTGACGACTTGGTGATCTGTCCGCGCCACAAAAGTCAGCACAATGTCGTCCCTTCGTCCTGGTCCTGCTCCCGATCGTGATTCTGAAACCGCCCGCGAGACCGCCACACCGGAACTCCCGTCCGGGCCCCGTCCCAACAGCACCACCACCCACCACCCACCACCACAATCGCATCGCCGTTGTCGAAAAAGCAAGCCGTTGTTGGTAAACTCGAAGTGAAATAACGTACCGCGGACGCCTTGACGCCTCCCACATCGCCTTCGAAAGTCTGAAGGTTCAGCGTGTCCTGCCGCGGCAGCAGGCCCATCTTCCAGTTCATGCGCAGTTCGTCGCCAATGTCGAGCGCCATCACGCCCGCGGAGGCAACGGCCACCGCCGAGAGGGCGCTGATCAACCTTGACGTCCGCATCGTCTCTGCCTTTTACTGTGTCCCTCTCCCTTCTCTGTCTCTTCCTTTGGCTGATCGTCGTCGGATACCCCAGGTGAATGGTGGGTTCGATTCAGTTCGTCGACTGTCGTTGCTCAGGTTCGTATGCGTGATTGTGAGAATGGCCCGCCGTTGATAGAGTCTGCGAGCTTTTTGGGACAATTCTTCACCAGCTCATCAAAGTGGTGATATTAAGAAATAACCGCGTCCGGATACCGAGGGTCAACCTCGTCCGTCGATTCGTGTATGGCGTTGCGCAGTCGTGGGAGCGGATCAAGTTGGCGATGCAACGCCAAATCTAAAGAAATGGACCGACAGAGGAAAAAGTCTCGAAGGGAGAAGAAACGGAAGCAAAAGCCAATGTCCGTTCCTTAAACTTCAGTGGCCTACCTTATTTCTCGATCAATCCTACTCCAACAGACGGCCCCTCGCGGCTGCGACAGATAAGCGGCACGGGAGGGGGTGTGTTTGGCTCTTGGGGAAGGGAGAGCATACCTGAAACACCAAAGGAAGGCCGTCCAACCGGGACGCAAAACCCACATTAAGCTGCAAATGCGACATTGCCAACCGCAGACCCGAAACACCACTGAGACGGGCGATCATATTACGGACGGGCCAGCCTGCACCCGCTGCGCACACGTCCACGTGACGATGCCCAGACGGGATGGCGGATCAAGGGAGGGCAATGATGCTGGCTCGAACTTGTTCAGATGGCAGGCGGATGACGGCGGCGATCGCGTTAAGCGGCATGCAGCTCCGGGATGGCGCAACCAAAATCGGTTGAACTTTGTCTCTGGGCCTTCTCCCTTCTCTCTACCAACAGACTTCACGTGCGTCATTTTGGATGTGGTATGTGCTCTGCTTTTGACTTTCACCCCTTTATTTTTAGCGGTCCTGATATTAAAGTAGTATCTTAAGGTGCGTAGGTACAAGCCTGCAAACCCAGAATAATGCCCCATCTGACTTGCGTTATGTTGTCCGCATCTTTGATTGTGTCGATGTTCTGTCCTGATGCACGCCTCGGTTTGGAGCCCGGGCCACTTTGGTGATCATCCTGAAGCCCGGTTGGCAAAGAAGAGGAATACCGCACTCTATGTACATTGTTCTATCCATTAGTCCTGAGACTTTGCGATATGCAATCATGCCTGCCGTAGTAGTTTGGCAATCCGAAACTCCGCGTATGGCTGGCGAGGGAAAGGCCAGCCGCAATGTTTGATAGAGAAAGAAAAGAAAAGAAAAATCATGGAGTATGGCCGTCCGTGGAAAAGAGACCGGGGAATCAACGCTTTCTTCCGCAACAAACAATCATCATAGAGTTGGGTCGACGTCGCCTTAAAAGTTGGACGATGCGTTGACTTGGTTTGGCGCGTGGTAGCTCTCGAGAGTCGACTGGAACGGGGTGCGGCCGGCTCCCTGGGCGCTACCGACCTCGGCCTTCGCCTCGTTGCCATACTGGTTGTTATACTCCATGAGACCGTCGTTCTCCTCGGCCTGCTTCTTCTTGCCCCAAATTCTCCACGCGACGAAGCCGAGAGCGCCGAGAACAATGGCACCGCCGACACCAACAACAACACCAATGACGGTGTTACGGGTCTGAGTGGACATGCCGGAAGAGGAGTCGCTAGAGCCGGCCCCGTTTAAGCCCGGGGTGGACGTGACGGTAGATTCGGTGGTGTAGGAAGTAGCTTGACCGGCGGAGTTGGTCGTCGTGATGACAGTTCGGATGGTGGAGGTAACGGGCTGAGCGGTGGTGGAGACCGTGGTAGAGGCAGCGCTGGCGCCGCTGGTCGTGGTCTCATCGTTACTGGCGGCCGACGTGGTGCTGGTTCTCAGGGTGGTGGGAGCTGCCGATTCTCCGGCGGCGGTAGAGGATGCGGGCGCGTTGGGGGTTGTTGTCGAGGCGGGGGCGGCAGTAGAGGTGGTAGATGCGGCAGCGGCAGTGGTGCTCGTGACGGGTGCGGATGTCGTAGTTGTGGTCTCGGCAGCGGCGGATGTGGTGGTTTGAGCAGCACCGGTGGTGGTCTCGGCGCCACTGATTCCTGTTTGTCTCTTGACAACCTCATCGCGGGGCTCTGCTCTAAAGTTCAAGTTGAACCATGATGCCTGTGCTACAGAGGCGGCAGCGAGAAGCTGAAGCACGCGGGTGGGATGCATGGTAGATGCGGCTGTGGTTTATGACGATGGTAGGAGGAGCTGGTGGTGCTGGGAATGGATATTTCAATCTGATATCCGTCGCCAAGTTTTCTCCCTCCCGTTCGTCAGATGGTTCGGCAAGGTGAGTCGTCCGTTTGTGTTCCGACAACTTAGTTGCTTGGTATGTGTCGGAGACAAGGCGTGGCAAACAAAGGCGAGTCGGTCCGCCTGGAATTCTCGGAAAGTTCTTTACTCGAGGTGGTGCCGGGTGGGTACGGAATAGGAGAAGGGCGCGGATCAAGAGGAGAAGGCGGAAGCGACCGGTAGGTAAAAGGTTAAAACTAATCGTTTTACTTTTTCTGCCAGGTGCAGGTGAAGTAGGAGTGACTAAGAGGGAAAACGAGAGGAAGGAATCAAGGACGACGATAGGAAAAAGCGAGTGGATGGTTTTTAATCAAGTGAGGGATGATGAGATGGGATGGGTTTGGTGGGTGGTGTGGAACGGGCGGGAAGGGTCAGAAAAACAAGACTGGTGGTCTTCTCGTATTCAAGGCCAGGAAGAGAAAGGGTGGTCAGTGAGCGTAGCAGGCAGAGGTGCAGCAGGCGCAGGTGCCGGTTGCCAAGTGGGCAGGGCAGAGCATAGCAAAGCAACGGGAGTACCAAAAGTACAGGCGTAGTAGTAGGTAGGTGCTAGGCTGCAGGGGGGTCTGTCGCACTGTCCGTGTGGTGGCTGTTCTTGGCTTCTTCCCGAACCACAAGCGTCAATCAACGGGAAACCCAAGCAAAAAAGATGCACCCACTACGTTGCACGGGCATGCACCAAGCACCTAAGGGAGACCAGCAACAGCAGGAAGAGAACGGGATGATGGGGAAGAGGGTGCAAGGGACAACGTGGTGGCGGCCTTGTTGCCTAAGACGTCAGGCTGGCCCCCCTCGGATGTGCTCGCTTGCTGCGTGATGACGACTTTTCATTGGCCCGAGGGTGGAGACCTTGGCACGGCGAGGGGCGATGTTCACACGCGATGATCGATACTGTAGCCACTCAGAGGAATGGGTAAGAGTACTGTACCACAGTATCCGTAGCTGTGGACCTTGTGCCGTAGGCCTGGTACTACCTATGTACATAAGTCAGGTACTCTGTAGTGGAAGTGGTTTATGGCTCCACTCCTTGAACCCCCGGCGAATGACGCGGCTTCTCCCTCATTCCCATTCTTCCCTCCCTCCGCACAAGTCCAGCTCCAAACTCGCGCTCAGTCTGTCCGCCGTTTGGTGCTAGCATCCATAGTGCTATGTAGTGTACTTCGATGCTGTGCTTGTTGCTCGTTGCTTGCTCCGAGAATGTGGCCGAGGAACAGTCCCAAATGTCAGCAACGTCTAGCGGCCAGGCCGTTGGGAACGGCCTCTTCTAGCCCTTCTAGCCCAGCAGGATCGCCCCATGAGGCTGCCCAGCCTGCTGAAAACGCTTGGGTATGCTGCTGCATTCTCTCCCTCCATCGGGGGTTTTTCCATAGGCGGCAAATGGAACAAGCCAAGTGAGATACCGCGCTGTTTTTTTGTTTTTTCTTTCTTTCTTCACTAGGCAGGCGCTGAGGTCCCAAAAATAACACGGTCAGTCTGTCTGGTCGATTTGCCGTTGCAGTCGATGCCAGCCACTACGATGATGACGATGCGTTAAAGATTGAGGTTTCTTGAGCCTCTGCTTCTCTCTATGTACCGTACTTCTGCATCGACCGGTCGAAACAGCAAGGAATGACACGGTTGTCCATCCTTCCGCAGACCCGGCCAAACTCTGCATCCCCCAACCGCAACTTCTTCCAAGCAACTACTATGTACATTGGAAACGATGCAACACAATGCATAATGGCGGCGGATGGCTGCCAGCAGGTCACCCGTTGCCCCCAACCAGCGCAATGCAACATGCCTGCTCTGGGCCGATCTTTGTCTCTATTTTCAGCACCTACCCGTCGCTCACGCTCGCCCGCACCTCCACTTCTGCCCAGCCCAACCCGGCTGTTTTCCATTCAGGGTCTTCCAAGCCCGTCGTACCCACCGTCGACGGTCCCCGGTTCCCCTTACAGCCTTCGTCATTCCTCCCGGCTTCGTCGTGAAATCCGGATTCCACTGCCTTGTCAGAAGTCGGCATTCGTCGGTTGCTCTCCGCTGCCCCCTTCCAAACTGTCAATTACCCTCCGATATGTGATGGGTCTTATAGGGCCCGGCGCAGGCCCAGCATCTCTCGGTCGCCCAGCATCGCCTCACTGAGCCATTTGGATTTGCCATCCGCGGAGGCCGACGTCACTTCCGCGCTCGAGGGTCCTTGCCCTTCATCGACCGTCCCTGTAACAGCAGACTACTCTGTATGGTAACCGCAGCCTGCAGAATGATGCTATCAACAACCATTCCACTGATGGCGTCCGTGGCGCGAGCCGTTGGGGTGGTCTTCGGCAGAAACTTGATCTGCCGGGGTTTCGGCCCTTGGAAACATCTCCCCATGCGATGCGCACACGCGGCTGCAAATCTCCAGATGAACCTCTGAACGACGAGTCAATGTGAAATGAGAACCCTGGAGCTGAACCCGCATTTTGCTTACTTTTGACGCAACCAGGGCACTCCCTACGGAAAGCCTCATCTCTTCGTTATGGATTCCTCTTCTACCCACATCCCGGAGTAAAACATGAGCGGACGGTATCAAGAGGCAGCCGATGGCAGAATGATAATCCGTCCGATGTGGATATCGCATTGTTGGTGTAGCCACTTGCTCTCGGACACAAGCTAGGTCTCGCGGAGCCCACAGCCTCATAGAAATTCCCCAACGACGTTTAGTGAGCGTTCAAGCCTAGCGGCCGACCGAGCAACCGACTGCGCTTTGAACCCGTCGCCTACTCAGAGGTGTTTTTTTCCCTTCCCATTCAGGCAGTTGTGCCACCCCCAGCATAACAGGATAGGAACCTAGGTTGCGAAGTGCCTCCTACCGGCGGACGCTCCACCATGTTTGTCTCCGTGAACGCTCACCCTACTTATATCCGTGCGTCCTCCGGTGCCGGCCGGCGGACCCCAAACTCAAGACCCTGGTAGAAGTCGAAGACTCCCGAGCTGCCAAGGGTGGTTAGGTCAAACGCGGGCCGTACGTCAGCCTGGAATCAACGCGGGAACCAGTCTACCGCCCAACAAACTGTTTCGAAACCACAAGTCATCCCTATGTCACCACGTAATGGTTCTGATCTGTTTCTGCTTGGAGAGATCTGTTTTACGAGCCCCCGCAACTCAAGTGACACTGGCCAGGCATTGCAACAACCTTAATCTTCACCACACAACAATCTTGCCTTGCTTTCGCAAACATGAGTCGCGAGGTCTTTGGTTCACGCATTACGCTGCACACATCGCTACTATTCAATGCTAGGAGGAAAACCTTTGACAAAGACGTCTCGATTGTTGTTGACCTCTCGCAGGGGACCATCGAGGATGTGTATCGTCGGGCAGATGGGGGCGATCCCGCTCTGAATGAAGGGGGTATCGACCTTCGGGGGAAAGTCGTGGTGCCCGGATTTGTCGACGCCCATACGCATGTGTTTTTGCATTCATACGAGTGAGCCGTGGCAGACTCGGACGCCTGTGAGCCTTTCATCTGACAGAGCTTAGTGAAGCCTCGTCCACCGTCCAGATGCGAGACGAAAGCATCGTGGAGCGAATCGTGCGTGCTACTAACCATCTCCGCGCCGCGTTGCTGTCCGGCTATACGACATACAGAGATTTGGGTACCGAGGGCATGCGATCATTTGACGCGAACCTCAGAGACTGTGTCAACCGAGGGCTCCTGCCAGGTCCCAGGCTGTTTGTCGCTACGGAATGCCTTGCAAGCACCGGATCTTATGAAGTTCGTCACGAGAACACACTGGCCAAGCTTCCGAGAATCTCTGATGCGTGTGATGGACCAGTGGGCGTGAGGCAGGCAGTCCGACGCCGCGCAGGTGACGGCGCGGATATCATCAAGTTCTATGCCGACTATCGACGAAAAGTGATGCGATTTCCACCTCCCATCCAGCCACCACGGGATGCGATTCCATTTCTTCCCGCAGATCCCAATCCGGCAGTGGTCATGTTCAACCAGGAGGAAATGGATGCGATCGTGCAAGAAGCGAAGCTAGGCAGCTTGCCTGTGGCATGTCACGCGGGCACCGCAAAGGGCGCACTCATGGCGGTCAAGGCAGGCGTCGACACCATTGAGCATTGTAACGAGGCGACCGACGAGGTCTTCCGGGAAATGCGCCGCCGTGGAACCATCTTCGTCCCGACACTGGCGGTGCTTCGGAGCTCGCCAGATTTTGGCAACATTAGCAAACGGGTGAAGAGAGCGTACGATCTTGGTGTACGTCTCGCTGCTGGCGGTGACACAGGAGCCTTTCCCCACGGGGAAGGTGCCCTGGAGATGGAGCTCATGATCCGGGCTGGAGTTCCCGTGGCGGATGTGTTGGAAGCATGTGTCATTGGCGGCTGGGAGAGCTGCGGCAAGGAGAAAAGCGGCTTCTCGTTCGGCTCGATCGAGAAAGGGTACCGAGCCGACATCATTGCCCTGGAGACGGACCCGAGAACAGACGCGGGGGCATTGCGGAAAGTCGATTTTGTCATGAAGGACGGCAAGGTCTGGAAGAAGGACGGCCGGCCGGTCGGCTTCGTCGAGGGGCAAACGGCTAGATCGGATCACGGCGAGGAGTTGGACTGGGTTCTTGTTTGAATGTCGTCATATGGCCTGCATCGGACGCGGTTGGTCAATCGTCTGTATGCACCAACTGGTCATTAAGAGTCGTTGGGTTACATTTTGCAGTCGGATCACTTTCGACAACCGACAGATGCAGGCTTGATACTACCGTGCAGCCACAATCCACAGGTTTTCTGTTCGCGGCACTTGCAGTTTCTCGTCATCTTGCGGGGCAGAAGCAACGGGCGTCGCGTTAATTCACAGCGAGTCACCATGGACAACACTAGAGAGCCTCTGGTGCTTGTAAAGTACACGGCACCGTCGAATCCGCTAACTGAGGCCATCGGCCGAGATCGACCAAATTGGAAAGTTGCAATAGCCAACCCAGATGCACCAATAACCACGCCTATCAGGACGCCGCACGGTTCCAGCCGACCCGGCCGACAAAGCTTAACCCAGCTGTTTCGACCGGTGCAGCGCCGGGAATGGCTGCATACGCTGGGCTAAGCTTTCCAAGCTCACAGGCATCGGACGATCGTTTCGTATGCAAAGCTAATCACACCTGTTCTTCCGGGTATTTACCATTCATTCTCCCAGCGCGCTACTGCAGCGTCCCGGGTCTTGAATGAGGGGAAACGAACATGGGGATCACTACGCACCTAACCTGGAATACTGGATCTCGCGCGGAATATGGCACTAGAACTCTGAAGGATATCGGGTTCCGAGGACATTTCAGAGCTCGCGATTTAGATCAACCGAGGTTGACTGATATATATGATGTATGGACAACACTTGGACTAGCACCCTCCTCCTCCTACTCCTCGTCCTCTTCCTTGACAGCCAAGTTACCCACTAGGTTCCTGTCAAAATGAGGCTCTCACTATTCTCGCTTGCCTCGCTGGCTCTCGGCGTCTGCTCTGCTTCGGCAACGGGCGGCATCAGAGGCCGTCCTCATACACTCATCATCGACGCCCACAAGAGAGACCAGCTCCAAGATGTAGTGACCTGGGACGAGCACTCGCTCTTCGTCCGCGGCGAGCGCGTGATGATCTTTTCCGGGGAGATCCATCCCTTCCGCCTGCCCGTCCCGTCCCTCTGGTTGGACCTGTTCCAAAAGGTCAAGGCCCTGGGCCTCAACGCTGTGTCATTTTACGTCGATTGGGCTCTCCTCGAGGGGAAGGCTGGCGACTTTAGCGCTGAGGGCATCTTTGATCTTGAGCCGTTTTTCGAAGCTGCGACCAAGGCGGGAGTGTATCTCATTGCGCGGCCTGGACCGTATATCAACGCCGAGGCCTCGGGTGGTGGGTTTCCTGGATGGCTAACGAGGATTCGAGGGAGGTTGAGGACCTCCGATCCCGAGTTTCTGTCGGCGACAGACAAGTAAGCTCTTTCTACATAAGAACTGGCCGTTTGGATGGACTATATGGCTGACCTATTACAATAGCTACATGGAAAAGCTCTGCAGCATTATTGCCAAGGCTCAAGTCACCAACGGGGGACCGGTCATTCTGCTCCAGCCAGAGAACGAATACACCAACTTTGAGGACGGCAGCAGCGACGATGGAAAGTACTTTCAGTACGTCATCGACCAGGCACGCAAAGCCGGCATCGTCGTGCCGCTCATCAGCAACGATGCCAGGCCTGCGGGTCACAATGCGCCTGGAACGGGTGTGGGAGCTGTGGATATCTACGTATGCGACACTTGAGCCCAGTGACGATCAACAGCTAACAGATCTAGGGACATGATTCTTATCCTTTGGGGTTTGACTGCGTGAGCAATACTCGCTGCGTCTCCGATCATCCTGCATGTCTTACTGACCATTGGTGCTTAGGCAAATCCGAATATATGGCCGGACAATCAACTACCGACCAATTTCAGAGCACTGCATTTACAACAAAGTCCGAACACTCCATACTCGATAGTAGAGGTACGGCGATCAATCCAAACAGAGAAACTTAAGCTTATGTCCCACAGTTCCAAGGCGGTTCCTTTGACCCGTTTGGCGGGCCTGGCTTCGAGAAATGCGCGGCCTTGGTTAATCACGAGTTTGAGCGGGTTTTTTATAAGAACAACTTCGCGGCTGGTGTCACTATATATAATCTCTATATGGTTAGTGACAGTCCCTTCGGTTGATACCTTTCTAGTGCACGGCAGACTGACGCCCTCTCAGATTTTTGGCGGCACAAATTGGGGTAACCTGGGGCACCCAGGAGGTTATACGTCTTATGATTACGGCGCAGTAAGTCTGAGATTTGCTCAAGACATGGTGTCAAACCGACTAACACTTCGTAAGGCGATTACAGAAGAAAGAGGCGTTGGGAGAGAGAAGTTCTCCGAACTGAAGCTCGAGGCCCAATTCTTGAAAGTCTCGCCCACGTACTTGACTGCAACGCCGTACAACTCGACCGTGGGTGTCTATAGCAAGACCAGCGACATTACTGTGACACCACTGTTAGGGAATGGCACGGGCTCGTTCTTCGTAGTGCGCCACAGCAATTATTATAGCCTGGCCACGACAGACTACACCATCCAGCTGCCGACCTCCGAGGGAAACATCACCGTTCCTCAGTTCCGCGAGCAGCTCCAGCTCGGACGCCGCGACTCAAAGGTTATTGTCACTGATTACCCAGTCGGGAACACGACTCTTTTGTACTCGACGGCGGAGATCTTCACGTGGAAACAATACAAGAACCAGACGGTTCTCATTGTTTATGGCGGTCCCGACGAGAGTCATGAAATGGCGATCAAGACAAATGCGACGTCTCTCCTCGCTGAGGGAACCGGTGTTGACAACCATCATGTCAACGGCACTTTGGTTTTGAGTTGGGCGACTTCGACGACTCGCCGAGTTGTCCAAGTTGGCCAGCTGTTTGTTTACATCCTAGGTAAGCGCGGCACATTGAAATATTGCAAACACGAGATGTTTTGAGCTGACAATGAGAAGATCGCAACTCTGCGTACAACTACTGGGTCACAGACAAACCGGGTAGAAGCAGCCAGCCTTCCTATGGGACGTCGATCATGAACCCCGATTCTCTCATAATCAACGGCGGCTACCTGATCAGATCGGTCTCGGTACAGGGCGACACACTCAGGGTTCAAGCAGACTTCAACCGCACCACCGAGCTAGAAATATTGGGTGTCGACGGGGAGGTCACAAAGCTAGCAGTCAACGGAAAGCCACTTGAGTACACGACAAACAACCTGACAAATTGGGTAGCACAACCATCTCTTGTGGACAGCACTTTCACCCTTCCCGACCTGAAGGCGCTCAACTGGACTTCCCTCGACTCACTCCCAGAAATCCGCCCAGGCTACGACGACTCGGCCTGGCCGCTCGCAGACCACACCACCACAAACAACACAGTTGCCAACCTGACGACCCCCGTCTCCCTCTTTGCTTCAGACTACGGCTTTCATGCGAGCACCCTCGTCTTCCGGGGCTACTTCACCGCCGCCGGCACCGAAGACACCCTCAACATCACAACCCAGGGTGGCTCCGCCTTCGCGAGCTCCGTCTGGCTCAACAACACCTTCCTCGGCTCCTTTGCCAACACCCACGACAGCCCCGCCGGAGACAACGCCTCCAACTACACTCTCGCGAACCTGACCGCGGGCGCGACGTACGTCCTCACCGTCCTCGTCGATACCACAGGCCTGGAGGAGAACTTTATAATCCCGGCGGACGAGATGAAGACCCCGCGCGGCATCATGGATTACAGCATCACGTCCGCGTCCGGCGCGCCGACGAACGTCACGACGTGGAAGATCACGGGCAACCTCGGCGGCGAAGACTACGCGGACCGCTTCCGGGGCCCGCTGAACGAAGGCGGCCTGTTCTTCGAGCGTCAGGGGTACCATCTCCCGTCTCCGCCCGCAACGGCGTTGACGGCGCAGCGCTCGCCGTTCGACGGCATCGACGCCCCCGGCGTGGCGTTCTACGCTGCGACGCTGGACTTGAGCCTCCCCGCGTCGGACTTCGACATTCCCCTGGCGTTCGTCTTGGACGACATCGTGCCAACCAACGACACCGACGCGGCGGGGGCCTACCGGGCGATACTCTACGTCAACGGGTTCCAGTTCGGCAAGTACATGAGCAACATCGGCCCGCAGACGAGGTTCCCCGTGCCGGAGGGCATCCTCCGCTACCAAGGGACTAACTCGATCGGGCTGGCCGTCTGGGCCCTTGGGAAAGGTGGGGCCAAGGTACGGAATTTCCGGCTGGATGCCGGGGAGGTGGTGACGACGGGGCGAGAGGAGGTGAAGATTGTGGACGGGCCGGCGTGGAGCCAGAGGGAGGGGGCGTATTAGGCGGTCCCTTGTTACACGGCGACCTACGACGACTTTGTAGCAGCGCAGTGATTGTTAGATACACACACACACACACACACACACACACAAACACACTTCATTACGCCCGGCAGCAAAGCCAAAAGGGCTATGTACTAATGTCGAAGTACATCAATTGATAAGATATCCTTGTTGTAACTATTGTTCGTGGATCTAACTATTTGTTGTGGGAAAATCCCCTCTTTTGCCGGACCCCCTTTTGCCAGGTGCTGGTATGCACATGCCATCAGATCGAAAAAGAGTGGTACGGCTCTGCCACAATCTCCGCCTCGAGACTAAGACACCTCCTCTACACACACCAATCTTCGTAGTTTGCTGACTTTCAACGTCTCTTGCGGGATTAAAAATGCAGTGAAACACCCCGGTTCACCGACGGTTCGGACGTCCTCTCTGTTGGAAATATCAGAAGGTGAACTGGGTGTTGCTGAATTTTCTGGTCAGCTTCTTTAGCGGTGTTGGAGCAGACTTAATCAGGTGGCTTGGTAAATCATACTTGCAGTAATGAGTAGTCAAACAGCAATCTCTAATAGAGCCATAATTGGCCGATGGCCATCTGCTAAAAATCCATCCAGTGGTCTAAATGCAGGCTTCGCCAACGTAATGCCGTTCGCTGCCAAAATGCACTCTCTGGTCCAGTATGACAGGGTTTCTGCACTTACATAGACCTAGACTTCAGGATTACATATGACGAATCAGTCCAAAGGACCATGGCACATTCTACACGAGGACGATTGAATATTGCTACCTGTATCTGTCTCAATGCACGATGTCTAAACGTTAAGTGACCCCGCTCGGCACTCTTCTTCGCGATTGACCTTGTCGTAGACAAACCAGTCAACGGACCGGTTGGCCCAGTTGAGCGCTTCCAACACCTGCAGCTCTTTGCCCCCCTCACGCCAGCACTGTTTTTCTCAAGGCATCCAGTTGCCTGACTGGCGTTGCTGGACTCCGTTATGCTTAGACGGTTCGCTTCATCACATTTATCTTCTCTTCGTTTTGCAACCTCAGCTTCTGACAGGCTAAAAGCGTCCATCACGACTTGTCATATTGGAGTGGACTATTGAATCAACCGGGTGGCCTTCTTTCACCTGCCTACAAGATAGAACATGGCCCGGCAGGCTCTCAGTCAAGTCAGCTTCTTAGCTGACCTCGCGGCTCTAAGCACTCTTATCTATCGCCGATTCCTGATCGCATCTCAGCCAGCACCAATCACTGAGCCGCCAGGAGGCATTGAAATCAAGCAGAGCAAGACCTACTACATTCGAGGCGTGCGTAACAAATGGCACAAAGACCAGCTGCGGTCTTTCCTGGCAATTCGCACCGCCCTGCTTACACCGAACAGTGAGTTAAAGAATCCCTGCGATTCCGATTCTGGATGAGAAGAACCTCTGCTCTAACTCAAGGTCATCAATGACTGATGGACGGTCAGAAAAGGAACGGTTCTTCGTGTAGTGTAAGAAGCTCTCAGTAGCTGTTGGTCAAAACGTGAGTGGGAAGCTATCGACTTTGATACATCTTCGTTGATCTTTTGCATCGTGTTGTTTTATTCCTTCATTCATCTAGATGGGTATCCATGCAGACTAGGTCATTGGACAAGTGCACTGTCATAACTCTGTGAATTTCTAGCAGAGGAGCCACCATGCAATTCTCAGTCCCCTAACGACTGGACGAGTAAATCAACAATAACCTGTCAAATTTCTTGCAGTATGCCTCTGTCCATTCGCAAGACCGACTCCGGAGTCATACCTGGCTCGTACCGCATTGACAGACTCTCCTCCTCCTCGCAATCCAACGCAGCTGCATTTTCCTTGTTTTCATACATGAGCCACCCCGTCAAAGGTCGAATGTTAGTCAAGGCCGGAGGAGTTGCTTGGCTTCCAGTGCTTTCTGAACCTTCAGGGGAGTCTTCAGCTGCCGCTTCGGGAATGCCCTGTATGCCAAAAGACCCTGCTAGCATAGTGCAACTGTATACATCCCCGTTATCGTCGACAGTAACAGGAACCGAACAGATCCCGTCCGGAACCGCGTTGAAGTCGACTAACGGGTATGAGACCCCATCGAGCACAGCTTTCTTTGGAGAACGCCACCTTGCCTTGCCTTCAGAACTCCAGTAGCAGAAGGCGCTAATCCATCCTGACATGTAGTCCATACCGCTTCCCCGCTGCTCTCGCGTCGCTATCTTGTTCCAGAAGGCAGCGACCTGCGGGCTTGTGGGCTCGTGAAAGGAGAGGATCATGTGGCGCAGAATTGGCCGCAGCATTTCGGCGAACTGCGTTGGCTCGTCTCCAAGCTGTTCCATCTTGTCAAGCCGTGCTAGAATTTCTTGATAGTCCGCTACTTCTCCCAGCAGCGTTACCGAAGGGATGCCGCAGCACATTGTAAAGCCGTAAGAAAAGTATTTCTGCATCGCGCCCATGAATAGGACGGATGCAACAACCCGGTCGGTGTCCGTTGTCGTAGAGAACGATGGCATGACCCAGGTTCTTAACTCGGGATCTTTGACGTTTTTGGCGATCATGTGCGTCATGCGTTGAGCAAAGGCTCCAAAGTTGGCGTACTCCAGTGATCCTGCGTCGATGACCTCGAGTTCCTTGTTTCCCTTATGATCAACAAAAAAGGATCGCAAGTCCTCAGCGTTGGCGTTGATGTAGAAGCTCAGCTGGGTCAAGATTGCAAACCAGATGTCCTCTGGGCGGAGGGTTAGGTGATGGTGGTTACTGTACGCATGATAAGCGGCCCATATGAGGCCGTTTTTAGATGGGGAAGTGTGTGTTTCGCGTAAAACACGGCGCGAGAGTGAAGTTTGGATTAATCTTTCGCTTTGTTTAAAATCCCTTGGGCAGGCCCTCTCGAAGAGTTCCTCGGGCGTAGTGACCTTGTCATCCTCCCATGGCCTAGCAGGATGATTGACGATGTTCAGAGTGACGGGCATGCTGGTATTTTGATTTGACTGTTGAAATGCGATTTGACAGGATAAAGCTTGCGCAAGGTGACTGCGATTCAAAGTGCTTTGCGAATCCAGCCTCTCTTGAATGGATTTCGAGTAAGTCTGGCTATCGTTTGTCCAAGGGGCTGCTGCTATATGTATACTACTGCCTAGCGATGCGGGGGTTGTAGTCGTGCAATTCCATGCTGTGTAATGTCGAAAAAATATGGGCCACATCCACGTCACTGTCTGACATGCAGGTTGCAAGACAAGTTGCGGGAGGAGTTGTGCCTCAATCTGCTTCTTCAAATCTCCACAACTCCCTGTTTGGAAGCTTATCCCTCAGTTTATCTGTCTTGTATAATTCCTCTAATCAAACCGATGGTGAGCATTTCAAGCCGAGGCGCACCATGGAACAAAACACGAAAGGACTCTCACAAGAGCCTCCAGCCCACCGTCTCATCATTCGAGACTTTCATAGCGAACCCAAGCCAGAGCAATGGACCGGGGAAATTCATTTGGGATCCCAGGACTACATGAACCCTGACGCACCTCATCGAGGATATTGGAGGGCTTTCCCGACATATCAGGCAGGCAGCTTGGAGAATGAGACTTACATCAAGACCGGAGCAGAAGATTTTGTCTTTATCAAGCCTCCTCGGCCTGATGACCTTGTTCCACATACACCCGCACCTGGAGGGGTGTGTCTCGCCTGCGAGGAACTCGAGCTCGATAAGCTGCTAGCCTTTGTGCCTGGTCGGAAACATCATCTTGGCTGGTTCAGAGACATTGCTCGCTGCAACAGCTGCAACTTATGCCGTCTTCTCACGGAGGCTTTCACGAGGGCAGCACCAGAAAATATCGAAAGCCCGACTGAAAGCGAAAATTTCGTCCTAGTCACCACAATACCTGCGGCAAAACCCCTGCCAAAACGGAGACAAGACCGGGCATATCAGATCCAAGCCCTGTTGACGGGTCTTGACGGATCCTGTGTGTCAGAGATCGGTATTCGCCTTGCCTCCGACAGCGCAGTCCGTCTTGGAAAGAACCCGCGCTTTTATGGCCGCTATGTTGATCAGAACGTGGCAGACATGAGTCTGGCGCGATCATGGGTTGAAGAGTGCGTACAACATCATGTTGAAGAAAAACAAGACATGGCGCAGTCTCACAACGCCAGCGAGAACCTCATCGTCATAGACGTTGAGAGTAGTTGCCTTGTATCGATCCCTTGGAATTCTGAATATATAGCACTGAGCTACGTCTGGCCGCTGTTTGAAACCACACAACTGCGATTGAAAAACTTTGAACAACTTCATCAACCTGGATCCCTCGAAAAGTCTCGTATCAACCTTTCGAGAGTTATTCTTGATGCCATGGATGTCGCCCGAGGTATGGGGATGAGGCATTTGTGGGTCGATGCCTTGTGTATTACTCAAGACGATCCTTCAACGAAAGATCGTCTCATCAAATCCATGGATAAAGTCTACGGCAGGTCTGTATTTACCCTCATTGCGGCCTCAGAATGCGACTCCCGACAGGACTATGGTATCCCTGGCATCAACGGGCTCAAGAGAACCCACAGACAGCTCTCAACTAAAGCCGGAAACCTCGACCTCCTCGTCGCTCTGCCCAACTACGAGGAGGCTATACACAGAAGCCGGTGGTCAACTCGCGGCTGGACATTCCAAGAAGGGGTTCTATCACCTCGGTGTCTAGTATTCACGGATCACCAGATTTACTTTCGCTGCGGTCATGATTCGCGATGCGAGGATGTCAGAGCAGAGGGTACGGCTCGATTTGAGCGACACACCGCTAGACCGTACGTCCGCCAGGGGCAACTTGACTATCTTCTCAACTCGGATTTCCTGTCCCGGGTGTCGTCTCGCCAAAGTTTCAAAGAATATGCGTTGTTGGTGGCCGGATACAGCCCTAGGAACTTGACTTTTGGAACCGATATCCTGTACGCTTTTACGGGGATAATGGTGCGCCTTGTAACTCATCTTGGCTCAAGAGGATTCTTTATTGCATTGCCGCGGGACCACTTCAACGACGCTCTTTTATGGTATCCAACTGGGCCACAGCGACGGCGCTTTCAGGGCGAGGGGGAGACGCAAGCGCCTCTGCTGCCGACGTGGTCATGGGCTGCGTGGGAAGGCAAAGTAGGGTACCAGTTTGACATGATGAATTACCAGGACTTTGAAGGCCTACTACCGATGATTCAGTGGTGGATGCGGGTTGGAGATGCATTGGTTCAGGTCCTGGAGACTCAGTGGGAGTCTGGTTCCGAACCGGCTTTCAGTCATGGAATTCTACAGGCGAGGGGTACAGGGCTTAGTTGCGGCCCCCTTATCTTCTGGGGAACCTGCATCAAGCTCCGAGTAGCGCCCAGAGCGCATATTTTGCGGGAATGGCTGGTGGACCACGAGCAGGCTATTCCGTGCTTCACCATACTCGACAAAGATGGCGACGCTTGTGGAATGCTGCCGTCGCCGGATCATTTCTGGGCAGGAGATCTCAAAAGCCAAGGGGAAAACCGTATGTGCGAGTTCTTGTTAGTGGCATACGGCAGTCAGTCCAGAGTCGATGGTATTCTTGACCGTACCGTCTTTCTTGATGATAAATATCAGGTGGATACAGGCTCAGTACGGTGTTTTCACTACGTCATGCTGGTAGAGCTTGACAGAGAGGGGCGGTATGAGAGGAGAGGAATTGGCCGTATTCACATAGACGCAGTCAATGACGAGGTGTGGGACAGATGGGAAAGAAAGGTCATGGTCTTAGTATAAGTCTGAACTCTGTATAGCCATCCAGCTTTCAGTCAATAAATGAGGAGATGGAGATAGATGCTGAGAAGATCCAACGTCTTGCGGCATGCGGCCACGCACGCCAATAACATGATGTTGCGATGATAAAACCTTCGCTTTCCATGTTTGGATGTAAGTGCCGTTGCCAAGAATGTCAGCAGTGACCGTAAGCGCACCCACAAGCACTCAGAGTTTCGGGAGCGGTGCACTCGGAGGTTTTTTTCTCCAGCTTGATTATGAGCCAAGCTTAAATATCGGGTATGCAAGCCAGGCGGTTTTCGGAACTCACGCATGTGTTGATGTAGGGTGGCGTTTTAATCCAGAACAAGGGGATATCCACTTGCCTTTCCAGATTAGGCCCTGTCCATGTTCAAAGTTAAGTATATCATTGGCGCCCACAAGTTTAACTCAAAATGAACAACTGGTTGACATCTCATTGAGTAGTAAGTGATCTGTTGCTTACTGACTTAGCGCTAACATGAGCGATACGCTTTGGAGACTTGAAATGCCTGTAGTATTATTGGATGCAGCTAGAAAAGATATGGTTGGTCTCGCCGCCTTCCGACTGGAGGCATCAAGAGTTTGGCGCCGAGAGAACGAGATGATCGAAGCTATCACTCAATTGGTGGTATTATGCAACCTCTGCTGGGGATTTGACGAATGCAGTAGAGAGATAACGTTAGATGTATCTGTCTAAGTGTAGAAGTATCCTAAGCAGCTAAGACGGGCACCCAAGGCCAAGTACAACACGATTGCTGCCCGACAAATTAGAGGGCTCAATCGTGCCAGACAAACATCTGGCTCCACAACCAAACGATGACAGTTATGTAACGAACCTAGTGGCTTCTGGACAGTGCCACTGCCGCTTGCTCCTGGCGTTGGAGACCAGCAAGCTCGACAATCGACCTACCCAGTGCGGGCTTTAACGGTAACCATGAAGTTCTTTGGCTTCACAAACGTCATGCTCTTGGTTTCCCACGACTCGTCGGCTCTTTCCTGTAGTCTGAAATCGAAGTCGCGGACAATACGCGGAACCAGCTTGGATATCTCGAGCATGGATATGTGCCTCCCGATGCAGGTGCGAGTACCGAGTCCAAACTGTAGGGCGGGAAGTGTCAGCCAAAGAAAATACTTCATACACGTGCTTTGTGGATTAGTCGTTGTAGCACTTACCGGGATCCAATGACGGTTCATGAGCGCGAGCTTGTTCTCGTCTTCGACGAGCCACCTCTCGGGCCGGAACTCGTCAGGGTCTTCGAAAATGAGCTCGTTTCTGTTCTCTACCCAACAGTGTACAGAAACCTTGATCTGTTTGCTCTGGTTAGCCCATAATGATCATACACATGTAATTAGGAGGACAGTCATCCTTACGCCTGCGGAAAAGAATCGGCCGGCGATGGTGGCACCGCCTTCAGGCACTACCCGCTCAAGAGGCGTACCAAAAGCCGGATGGACGCGCAGGGCCTCTTTGATAACGGCTTGAAGATACGGCATGTTCAGGGTCTCGCGGAAAATGAAGTCCTTGGTCTGGGACGGCTGGACTGCGTCGACTTCTTCCCGCAGCTTCTGATAGCAGTCGGGTCGCTTCATCAAGTAGTAAAAGACGGCTGACAGGCTGCTACCCGTCGTGTCAGAGCCTGCCATTACGTTGGCCCGACAGCCTGACAAGAGGTGCATAAGTGTGAAAGTCGCAGGATCCGCCTCATGCTTCAGGAAGAACTTTTCAAGGAATGACTGCATTTTGCCGCTGTCTTCCTTCTCTGGTTCCCCGGTCGCCGTCTTGGAATTAGCGCGGAAATTGTCGATGTTCTGTTGGGCAAAACTAGTAACGAAGGCAAGTCCGGATTTGCCTCTAGATAGCCATCTTCGTATAACAGCCGCGGGCACACGCAAGGACGGATACATGGAAAGATGCGAAGAATCATACAGCGAGGTGTCGATGGCAGAAATGATTCCATGGACGTCTTCGCCGTGGTCGAGAAAGCCAAATCTACTCCCGTAGGTGATCATACCGATCACGTCGAATGCATAACACTGGAGCCAGTGGGCGAAGTTGATTGGCAAGCCGGCGACAGAAACCTCTTGGAGGCGTTGTTTGAGGATACGAGCACATTCATCCACATATGGCTCGTACGAGACGAGAGCGGTCAGACTGTACGCGCTTTGAAGCTGTCTCCGCAGCTGAGAATGAACTTTGGTGTTCTCGACGGCAAATGTGTTCCAGTCTTGTAATTCTGGTTGGGAGTATGCCCGATAGAATGAGCTCTTGACGAAGGGGTGTCCATGGCCGTAAATGATCTTGGGCGCCTCCAGGTGCTTGATGCTGTACCTGCTGGGGCCGTATCTTACAATGGCTCCTGGGTCTCGAGTCAGAAACAGGTCTTGGTACGAGTGACCGAGATAGTCAATCTCGGGGTGGGGTTGTTTGTGTTAGTTACCGTGCTTCCTATGAAGTGCTAGAAAGTCTTGCTCGATATGGCCTCGGTGCAGTCGCCATAGGAACCACGCGTCCGTGTAGCGCGCCAGAAATGGGCCTGGAACGGATCGCAACGGGGACAAGAAGGGCCGCACAATATAGAATGCGCAAATGAGCCCGGCAAGGACGTAGACTGCAGTCTGGAGACCGGGGGGGTTCGAAGCGATGGACGTGAACAAATCAGGAGATTCCATTTTTGCTTTATCAACACCTTCGTCTGAGACGATAAGACTACTCGGTGGATGTAAGGAGGAAAATGTAGAAGTAAACTAGTCTAGTTAAGCGCATGCTTCTGACTACATACAAAGCTTTCAATAGGGGCCCTTGCCCTTTAAACCTACTACACCGGGCAATCGTGGGGAATTGAGAATCGGCCAGTTCCATTATTAATGCGACAGTGCCGGGGTCCACGGACCAAGGTGGAAACGGGCAAATGCGGACATTTTAACTTTCGGGAAGTTTGAGCATGGTTACCGACTGTAAGTTTGGCATATGGATACGCGGGGGCGGGACGGCGGGAGGGGTAACGTCGCGATAACCTGCGAGATGTTTCTTTCACCAACAGAACCAGGAACCGATACGATGAATTTGTTACCGCAAGTCCCTGACAGGCCTACCACATAACTACGTCGAACGCATAATCAATTCATCCCGATATGCTGTGAGAACGGAATCGCGGGGAAAAAAATGACACCACCAAACTCGAAAACCCCGACCCGACACACCAACACCTCTCCGTTAGTGCCCGGTAATCCTCGTAAGAAGCAAACCCTAAACTTTCTCATTCTCAAACTGAGTGTCCCCATACAAGGATGCCGGTGTAGATCAAGGAGCTCAGACCGAACGGACACTACCCATGTCGCTCATCTCGGTGTCATCGTTGTCGGGTCCGCGCCGCATGCTTGTCTTATCGGCGATTTGGGCATGGCTGGCGAGGCAGCTGATGGGTTTGGGCGAATTCTCCCAGGTGAAGACCGCGGCAACCATCATGATGGAGCAGGTGATGATCATGAAGATTGTTTGGTCTCTGAATGCACCAGCATAAACGTTCTGGATAAGGCGCAGCAAGCTTTTGTTCCAGTAAGCAGATGCGGTGGGCGTTTGATAGAGTATTGCGAGTTGTTCCGGGGAAAGGTGCTTGTTCAAGGCATTGAGGCGCTTGTTAAAGAGAGCAGTGCAGACCGCGACGCCAAGACAGCTGCCGAGAGCGCGAGCTTGAGCCAAGGCTCCTTGGGCGACGGCATGATCCCGGGTCGAGTCAGTCTCCACCCCGGAGAGTATGGTAGCGGAGCCGAAGACAAGACCGACACCCAATCCGAAAATGAGAGTGAAACCATAAGCAGGAACAAAGGAAGAGTCGATGGGTGAAATAACAAGCATCAAGCTGACACCAATGAGTTGTGCCACTGAGGCGACAATCATGACGAGAGCGGATTTGTTGGATCTTGAGCAGATTGCTCCGGCGAGGAACGATCCCAACGCGCAGGCGCCCAGCATAGGAAGAAGATGAAGACCCGATTGTAGAGGGTTTTCTTGCTCAAGGACCTGCATGCGCTCCGGAATGATGACGGTCAAAGCCACGTATGGAAGCCCAGTTAAGAAAGTGACGGCCAGGCCACCCATAAAGGGGCGGCGCAGGGCTAGTTGAACGGGGAAAACGGGTTCGATATGAACGCATCTAACATGGTCAGGATACTGGCAGTACTTGAAATAGAGGTAAGCTTCGCTCGTTCCAAAAAGGATCCAGTTGACTCCGGAAACGACGAAGCTGGCGATGACGCTGGGATGCTCCCAGCCGTATGGAGGAGAGCCGCCCCGTTCGACGGCGAATACCAGGAAGACGGAAGCTGCGAAGAGACTGATCATGCCGAAAAAGTCGATTTTCCTCAAGCCCCTCAGTGAGAACACCGTGAATGCGCGACGGTCTCTAGGGTAGCAACAAGCAATGCAGAACATGGAGGCAATGCCTAGAGGGATGTTGATACCAAAGATCCAGCGCCAGGTGATCTTTGAAACGATGACACCTCCCAATATAGGACCCAGAAGAAAGGCTATGGCGAGAGTGGCTCCGATGAGAGCACCCATGAGGGGCGGATTGTCGGTGGGACCGTGTTCCATGAGACAAGTCTGGGCAAGGCTGTAGAGACCCGAACCTCCGATGCCTTGGAGTGCTCGACCAACAATCAGCATTGGCATGCTGGTAGCGACAGCGCATAGGACAGAGAAGAGCAAGAAGACGGCCCAACTGTAAAACAAGAGGGTTCGGCGGCCATAGATGTCGCTGAATTTGGCGATGCCGACGGCGCAGCCCATGTAGGTGAGGAGGTATGCCAATAGGACCCAGGGAGCATTGGCATAGTCGTTGAACTCTTCAGAGATGGTGATCAGAGAAGTGGCAACGATAGAGGTATCGAGGGTGGCGAGGAAAAGACCCAAGAGTAGACTTGATGGTCAGCTGGGCTATGTACAAGGTTATCGGACCATTCTTACCTGGTGACAATCGAGACCTTGCGGATCAGTTTCTTACGCCTAGAGGCCATGGATATCTCGACGGGTTGGCAAGGAGCAAAGTTTGAGGCTGCGAATCCAACCGTGTCGCCCAAAGAGGGGTTCGGATAGGAAAGATGATCGGATATCTGGCGGCCTGAGCAGGACGGAGCGGCCATGGTGGCAATGGAGTTGACGGCACTGTCAATGCTGAGATGAGTGACAGTGTAGAGACCTCGCTTGTTCTCAGATATCGGACAAGAACAGCCCCTAAGTGATTCGCCCCTCTATGAAGCAGAAGTTGAAAAGTCGCTCCGAAACCTTCGAATAACGACTCCCAACTTGATTGAGAACAAAGTGGAGGAAGATGACGATCTTGAGGTAGGGTGTGTGATAGAAAGCAGGAGAAAGAGAACTTGTCAAGTTGGGAAAGGAACCTGTTCGGACTGGGGGGTGGTAGGTGGCCAGGAGGCTGGAAGGTATGGCTTGTTGCTTGCACTATCCGGTGCTCATCCAAAACGATGGAAAAGAACTTTAAGCTTTCCAACCAGTTTGGTTCACAAAGAAGGAAGAATACTGTACTCGCAAAAGAAACAGCGATGCCTAGGTAGCGTGATGCTTGCCAGATGTGACTACTTTCCCAAAGATATCTAGGGAAGGTAGACGCGGGTGATCTCGTCGACAGAAGCCAATAGGACTCGAGCGCACCCAGGGACGTGAATGTGTTAACACACAACCTTCTCTTTGATGCGAAAAGTTAGTGGCGACGCAAAGCAGAGAGATAAGCAGCTGCACATAGTCGGACTTGAAAGCAGCGGCCTTGATACATAGATATAATGATTGCTTTTGAGTGCCGTCATTTTCAGCACAAGGTTCCCCCGTCACGCATGCAATTACCCACGAAGCCCAAGCCTGGTTCGCATGAGGTTTTCCCGTTGAACCCAGCCAGCTTGGACGTGAGATCTTCTCTGACAGTTCCACCTTGAGTAGGCGAAGACACGGACAATGATGGGTGCTGTGCAAGGTAAGACCAAACTTGAAAACGACGAGACTGGGAAAACAAATGTTCGATGCTGGGTCTCAAAGAGTACAGTATCGCATTGAACTTAGCTGTAGCGCCAATGTCTTCCCCCAAGACAAAGACACCCATGGTGAAGGCTCTATGGAAGGGCAGGGGGGCGTTAACAACGATTGTGCGTCTAGCTCCGCCGAGATGGAGGCTTCTTTGCAGGTCTCACCAGTCAAATATCCCAGTGTTCGTTTCTCAGATACAGACATGGAGGAATTGACACCACTCTGCTAGGAACTGTTCCCGTTGTCGTACGATCCCCTCGACTCTTCAGCGTTCGTAAATAAGCCACTCAGGTTTTTCTTGAAAGAGGGGGAGTTTTGTATCAAGCAACACTGTTTTATTCTGAACCTCTTGTGCTAGTTCAACGGAAAACTGACTGGCAGTACTTGGTTGATGTCGGAATCCGGCTGTGCCACAATGTGCACACTCAGCTTATGTTACAGGAGCATTATGTACGAGGAAGAAGAGAAGGAAGGGTGGCATGAGGCCGAACTGACTACCGGATCTGTGTATTTTCGACCAACCCATTAAGCTTGCAGCATAAACACAGGAACACCCGCTTGATACGTGGTGCTACCCGATGCCTCGTGGTTGAGGGGTCAAAATCCTACCCCCTTACCGAATAGGGTTGAAACAAGTTCGCATGGGCACCGCCAGTATCCTGTCAACTTTGACATCCTGAAAAAGCCTACTCCAATCTTAAGTAAAAGAAAGCTTGATCATCACGTATGTTGATTCGGGGGTTGGGCCGCAGAGAATGTTATACTGAGCCTGGGTCGTGTGCGACCTCGTCTCCGACTTCCCCAATGGTCACTGAAACGCCGGACGGCAAGTGGATTTTCTGATGGGGTCTTCCGCTAGAGAAGAAAAAAAGCTGGAAATAAATGCTACGGGTCCTCTTCTGTGCAATGATGGTGTGTTACACATGAAGTAGAGGCGACCTGTTCTCATCTTAAGTTATCAGGTGTTGCATATCCGGTTGTGGAACATGAGTATGCTCTTCTGGTGGCTTAATCGGGCCACAATAGGCAGCGAATTTGCCTTCGCCATGTCAAATTTGGACTCGGATTTTTCTGAGAAGTATGCCGAAAGTCTTGATTGTTTCGTCATTCAAGAAGCCGCTGCCACTGCCACCTTCCAGAGGTATTTTGGGTGACTTTGATTAAAAGAGATGAAGAGACAGGGGAACAGCGCTGCGAGTGCACAGAACAAAGTATCACACACCGTGTGTGAAGTCGGGATGGATTATCTAGTCGGCCGAAGTTGCCCCAGCTGTCGGCAGATCACAAACACCGGATTCCGGAGGTAGACTCCTTACGGAAGCATCTACGGAACGATACAGACTGAAGCTGGAGTGTTTGGCAACGACAGGACGATGTCATGCAAGTCCTTCGTATTGCTGACGACGACATCAGCAACAAATTGCACCACGACGCCGTCTCCCGTCCTACCCAAGTGCCAACAGGACCGTTTGATGGCCATCTCTGTCTTCATGCTTGCACCAAAAGTCAACGGACAGCTTCCATGTCTCCATAACAGTGCCAGTCTGTCATATCTTGTTCAAACCTCCTCCTGGAAGTCTCCGTCACCTTTCATAATGATGTTGATCTCGCAAGGATATCGGCAAAGGGCCACACGTCGAGGTGGCTGTTGGATCAGGCAGCAGCACAAGTCTGACCCCAAGAAACCCCAAATGTTCGGGACCCAGCATTTACAGTGTACCTCCACAATACCAGCATTCTTCACTATCCTCCGGTCAGCCATGATACATCCAATGCCTCTAACCTTGTTCAACACGTCAACATTACTATCCAACAGAAGGCCGGGCAACCCCGGAAACCTACTCCATCATGGTGTGCCGAAGCCCATTCCATCAAAAATCACATCATACGACCTGATATACCAAGTCCAAGTCCAGTTCTCCGGTTTCCCTCTCCCAAATCCTAATTTACCTGAGACTGTGAGACGATTGATTGCTTAGGCCGACTCTTGGACCGAACGCTGCCACGAAGAGACGGGTGTAAGAGATGGACGGCACTTCCTTGTGCTTATGGTCAAGTAGTCTAAGTCATACCGTGAAACCATCCGTCAGATCTTGAGTAAATCGCGATTTGGAACCAGAAGTCGTGCCAACAATGGACGAAAATCGTCATCACTGGCGCTGAATCGGATACCACCTAGATAGGCTTTGTATCAAGACGTCCCATCCACCGTCACATGACTGACTGTTCACAATTTCTGCAACCATGAGAGCGCCGTGGTTATGCCATAGATTAGAGTTGTCCTTTTCAAACCTGTCAAGAAGAAACTTGAGAAGTAGATGTTTTTCGTAGCTTCCGTTTGCAGCTGACGGTTGTAAGATGGCGCCGAAGAACTATGCTGCCCATCAATAAGGGAGCAATTCAATTGAACTTTAGCTGAGGGAACGTACAGCACTGTCCTTAGCCATAGCGACAGAATTTCAAGGATCATTATGTTGACTAACTGGCTGATTGCATGCCAAAGTTGGCTGCGCCTCAGGCTGTTCTATTTCAAGAATCGAGTGATTGCCTTCCTCCCGTTTTCAAGACCATTTGTAGCTATGCTCGTCGGCCTTATTCATGAAGCCGTTGAATTTCTTGAGCTGTTTCCCTGCAAAAAAGGTCCTCTAATATGGAGAATACGGCAAGGGGCTATGCTGGGAATTGCCAAAGGCCCGATGTCTTCTGGGCCACGTTCCCGATCTTGCAACGTAAATAGGTCCATCATCACAGACATTGAAGCTTCAACTTGTACAATAAACATTCTTCGTGCAGCCACGCTGACCATCACCTCACCCCAGAGTCCATTTATCAAATACAGAATCTGATGCTGACCGCCAAAGCAAAGCTCTGCTTGATGCCGCATTCTCCCGTTCCCGTATACGAGTGAAAGAAGTGGGCACTCACTTCGCAGTTGCCTCAAGCGTCAACAACGACACGACTTCATTCACTTCACCTTGACTTCATTTCACCCCGGGACATTAGGGTGCTACTTCAACCTTCACCTTCACATATCCCATTGAAAGAAATTTTAGCCAACTAGCTCCCACTTCTTCCTCTTCTACTTTTCAAACCCTCCCCAACTACCTTCCTGCACCTCAACTTCTTGGTCTCCTCTTCTTCTCACCATCACGATCAACTTTGCGCACAGAAGACCGCATCCTCATTCTTTGTCCTTAAACGAAAACTTCAATCCTCCTCCTACTCGCTGTCACGTCACCCATCTCTTCCTTCTCCTTCGAAGACACGCCGTTGAGGTAAAATTCGGCGACCGTTCTTTCTCACACCAAGGCTGTCAAGATGGAGGACATCGCCATCATCGGCATGGCCTGCCGCTTTCCTGGCAAAGCGACCTCACCAGAACAGCTATGGGAGATGATGATTCAGAAAGAATCGGCGTGGTCTGAATTCCCAAAGGACCGTCTCAACATAGACGGATACTATCATCCTAGCGGTGACCGTCAGGGCAGCGTATGTCTTCATCCCATCCATCAACTTTTTTGTCGATTTTCCGAGCTGATTTGTTGCCTTTAGATCTCCTTTCGAGGTGCTCACTTCATCAAAGACAATATTGCAGCTTTCGATGCCTCCGTAAGTAGACGACACGTTCTTTTGATACAAAAGCCTCATCTGACTTCAGGTCTTTTAGTTTTTCTCCGTCATGGCCGAGGACGCCAAGGCCATTGACCCTCAACAGCGCTTCCTGCTGGAGGTATCCTATGAGGCACTTGAGAATGGTATGTGTTTATCCTTATCTTACTGAACCTGTTTGTTCTGACTTTAGGCAGCTGGTCTTCGCATGGAAGATCTTAGAGGCAGTCCCACGGCCGTCTATGTCGGCTCCTTTGTGAAAGGTCAGTCTAGCCTTTGCTGCGATCTCATTTCCCCTGCTAAAACAAGCCAGATTACGAGCAGATCTGTCTGCGCGATATGGACTGGCAGCCCCAGTATGCCGCTACAGGCACTGGTAACGCCATCATGTCAAACCGCGTGTCCTATACGTACGACTTCAAGGGACCGAGCATGACGATCGACACCGGCTGCAGCGGAAGCCTCGTGGCAGTTCATCTAGCCGCTCAAGCTCTTAGAGCTGGCGACTGTTCTCTAGTGAGACAATCTGTTACGTTGCTCTTTCCTGGTACTAACTTCTACAGGCTCTTGCTGCTGGAGCCGGCCTCATCTTTACACCCAACACTATGATGCCCATGACAGCACTCAACTTCCTCAGCCCGGACGGCAAGTGCTTTGCCTTTGATGCCCGTGCCAATGGCTATGGTCGCGGCGAAGGTATCGGTTTTGTTGTTCTCAAAAAGCTGTCGGATGCAGTCCGAGACAATGACACCATTCGAGCTGTCATTCGTGGTACCCATGTGAACCAAGACGGCCTGACGACTGGTGAGCTCCTCACACCAAAAGTGCCCAGCTCACTGACACTAACGGTTCAACAAGGCATTACACTTCCAAGCAAGGAAGCCCAGGTAGCTAACATCCGCTCCCTTTACTCCAAGCATAACCTGGACATGAAGCAAACCGCTTTCGTTGAGTGCCACGGCACCGGGACCCAGGCCGGTGACTTCCGGGAGCTCAAAGCCATTTCCGAGACACTCGGTGATGGAAGGGCAACTGAGAAGCCGGTTTTTGTAGGCTCAGTCAAGACGAACATTGGCCATCTTGAGGGTGCAGCTGGAGTCGCAGGGTTGATCAAGGGCGTCCTTACCGTCGAAAAGGGTCGGATCCCGCCGAACATCAACTTTGAGCTGGGCAATCCCAACATTGATTTCAAGAACTGGAGAGTGAAAGTAAGTCACAGAAGGACTGCTGATTTGTACAACCAGAATTGACAGTTCTATCAGGTGCCGACAGACCTGACAGAGTGGCCGGTCGATGGTCTTCGAAGAATCAGCGTCAACTGCTTCGGCTTCGGAGGCACAAATGCGCACACTGTTCTCGACGATACTGCTTCGTATCTTTCAGAGCGCGGCATCGCAGCCAACCACAACTCCGTTCAAGACAGCACCCAGTCTCCTCAGCTGAAAGTCGCCTCTGGGGACCACAGGCCCTTCTCACACCCTAAGCTCTTTGTGTTCTCTTCTAACGAGCGCAAGGGTGTTTCTCGCCTGATGGACGCACACCTCGGCCACATCACGGGCCTTGCCGACATGACCGAAACTGACGCTGACAACTACGCGTATACCCTAGGATTCCGTCGTTCTACCATGGAATGGAAAGGCTTTGCTGTGGCAAAATCTGTCGCAGATCTTATCTCGAAGCTGCAACAAAAGGACGAGATGAGCTTCCTTCGGTCCAGTCGTGATAGCAAGCCGAACATTGGCTTCGTCTTCTGTGGCCAGGGCGCTCAATGGGCTCAGATGGGGTTCGAGCTCATGCGTTATGGTGCTTTCAAAAGCAGTATAACGGCAGCCTCCCAATACCTCAACATGCTTGGCAGTGAGTTTGATCTCGTCGAAGAGATCATGAAGGCCAAGACAGAATCGCGCCTTCAAAATCCTCAGATCTCGCAGCCGTCAACAACCGCAGTTCAGGTGGCGCTCGTTGACTTGCTGCGATCTTGCAACATCATTCCAAGCAGCGTCGTCGGGCATTCATCAGGAGAGATCGCAGCTGCGTACGCGTCGACTGCCATTACCCGCGAGGCAGCTTGGGCGCTTGCGTACTATCGTGGCCAGAGCACTTCTCTTCTCGCAGCCGTTGCCCCGTATCTCAAAGGTGCAATGTGCGCTGTCAGAATGACAAGATCTGAGGCCAGCGAGTACCTTAAGAACCGCGGTGAAGACAGCGATCTCCAGATTGCATGCGTCAATAGCCCTAACTCAGTCACCATCTCCGGAAATCGTCATGACGTTTTCCGAATGCGAGACGAGCTCAAGTCTCGCCAAATCCTATGCAAGGTTTTGGATGTCGACGTTGCGTACCACTCGAGGCACATGAAGTTGATTGAGGGTAGCTACAAAACCTACATTCAAACAATCCTCCCGAACGACGCCTCCGAGAACATCCCCTTCTTCTCATCTGTTCATGGACGGATGCTCGCGCACGACCGACTTGGTCCGTCGTACTGGGTGGAGAACCTGGTCTCTCCGGTCCAGTTCGTCCTCGCCGTCAAGGCCATGATGGAATGCGATGGTCGACCAGACGTTCTGATTGAATTGAGCCCCCACGCAACTCTCGAATCAGCACTCGCAGAGACCATGTATGAGCACAGTGCCGGGTTTCAACTGACCTATTTACCGCTTATTCGACGCGACAAGGACTCTGCAGTCACCATGCTTCAGGCTATTGGCGAGATATGGGCCCGAGGTCACCCGGTCGACATGCTCAAGGTTTACTCCAAGTAAGTAGTCTTCTCTTTCATCTTCATCAAGATCGTGCTAACAATTTGTTCTAGGGGTGCTGATGCACAAACTTACAAAACGCTGGTCAACCTGCCGTCTTACCCCTGGAACCACTCGAAGGTGTTCTGGCATGAGTCCCACACGTGCACTGAGCATCGTTTTCGGAACTTTGGCCGTCAGGATCTGATCGGGTCTCCTTCTCCAGACGCTACCACCTTTGAGCCTCGATGGAGAGGATTCTTCCGTATTTCCGAGAATCCCTGGATCCAGGACCATCGGGTCCAGAAAACCATTGTGTATCCAGCAGCCGGCATGGTCACTATGGCTCTCGAAGCCGCGAGTCAGCTGTCGTGCAACATGACAGACGTTCTGGGCTTTCATCTCACCAGCCTGCGAATCGAGAAAGCAATGATCGTTCCCTCTTCGGCCTATGGTCTCGAGTACTCGCTTAACTTGAAGCAGATTCCCACAAAGGCAGATGCTGACCCGCAATGGGAATTTGTGATCTACTCGAAACCAGGAGATGGTCCTTGGATCCGACACGCCGACGGCAGTATCAAAATCCGAAGACGGACTGGAGCTCTTCCCGTTACCAGCGAACATGCCCAGAGGTACGCCCAAATTCAAGCTCTCTGCGGCAAGTCACTCCCGCCTCGACAACTCTACGAACTACTGGATGTTGTTGGTCTCAATTATGGCCCATGCTTCCAAAATGTGGTCTCCATCTCAACTCACCAAAACACCTGCATCAGCAGAGTCCGCATCCCTGATACGAAGTCCAAGATGCCTGCCAACTTTGAGTACCCTCACGTCATTCACCCCGCGACCCTGGACGCAATGTTCCAGACCCTCTTCGCCATCGACAGCAAGCCAATGGTTCCGTCGTCAATCGAGAGTATCTTCGTCTCTGCAAAGATCCCTCACGGTGCCGGCCACAACTTCACAGGCTTTGCTGCAGCTGAGAGACATGGCCTCAGCGGTGCAATGGGCTCTATTGTCATGGCATCTGACGGAAGCAGCTGGGATGCGCCAGCTGTTGTTGTTGATGGATTGAATTTCAAGGCTCTTTCAACCCCATCGATTGAAGATGGTGGCTTCATCCCGAACCATCGAAATCTCTGCTCCGAGATCGTCTGGAAGGAGGACTACACTACAAAAGCGACTGGGGACTTTTCTGACACGCTCTCGCTGATGGCTCACAAGCATCCGTCCTTGGCTGTCCTTCAATGTGGTGGCAGTACGCAGCTCGCTCAGTCAGTATTAGGTGCCCTCTCTGATGGTGCTGTCCCGAATTTGTCTCGGTACACAGTCACCGACCCAAACATTCTGTCTGCTGTCCAGAAGGCTTATGAGAAGTCACCGACAGCCAACTTGCTGGAACATCGCAACTGGCCAGCTGTCAGAGATCACTCTGCTCGGTACAACCTCATCATCATCGCTCGAAACTCGGACATTGACGACAATGACGTTAACCAGTTCCTGCTGCCTGAAGGTGTCATTCTAAACGAGGTCTCGCCGACCATGACACCAACTAGCACCGACTCGATGATCGAGACTCAGCTGGCATTGGATAACCCTGCCCCTCTCCGGTTGTATTTTGATAAAGAGCCTGAAAACATCATTCACTACGACATGATGGATCAGCACTTTGAGGCTAGTTTCTTTGCTGATAAGCTCAATCCTGCTTTATCGCCTCAGGTTCTCATCATTCTACCTGACGCATTCGATCCCGTCATGGATGGGTTTGCTAAGTCCCTTGGTGAATTTCTATTGAAAAAGGACTTCGAAGTGAGTATCGGCACCTTGCACGAATCCGACCCCAATGGTAAGGCTTGTATCGCCCTTCTTGAGGTCTGCGACAGCTTCGTCTATGAATGGACAGAAGAGCAATTCCGTCACTTCCACAGCTTGCAAGACCTAGCCAAAAGTCTCTTATGGATTACCCGAGGTGCGAACCGACGTCCTACCAACCCTCGAAACGCTCCGATCACTGCGCTTGTACGCACAATTCTATCCGAAGACCCGCAGAAGACTATTGTCACTCTCGACTTGGACGAGAGCACTTCACTCGCTTCGCGCACCCTGCTGAAGACCGTCGAGTGGGTTTTCAACTCAATGCTGAATGGATCTGTCGAAGCAGAATATGCGGAAGAGGGAGGGCAGCTCTACATTCCGAGACTGATGCCCCTGAAGGAGCTGAACAAGATGATCGAGAGCGATTCGCGCGTCGAGATCGTTCAGCAGCCTATCTTCAACAATTCAGCGGCCCAAGCCGAATATGAGATGATCATCTCCAAGACGGGAATCGCCAACGAGAACTTCCAGTTTGTCAAATTCTCACATGCGTCTCAGCTTGGCCCCTACGAGGTCGAGATTCAGACCCTCAGTGCCGCCTTGCACCTTAACGACCTGCACACCGCAATGGGAAGAACCTCCGGTGACAGACTTGGCCTTGATGTTGTGGGCATTGTCAAAAACATCGGATCCAGGGTGAAAGATGTCCGCTGCGGCGAGCAAGTCCTGGCCATCGTCCCTGGGGCTTTCAAGACCGTCCACCGTATCGACCAAGGCTTCGTCAAGCCTGCGCCGCCGCCTGTCGAGTGCTGCCAGTACACGCCCAGTGCTCTCATCGCCGCATACTATTCGTTGTGCACCGTAGGTCGCCTCACGCAGAAGAAGAAGGTGTTCATCCAAGCTGGCGCCAGCTCGTACGGTCAAGCTGCCATTCGTGTTGCCACCCTCATCGGCGCCGAGGTTTTTGCGACGGTCATTGGCGAGGATTCGAAAGCCCAGCAAGCGACTCTGATTACTGTCCACCATCTCCCAGAGAGCCACATTCTCGACGCCAACGGAGACTCCTTCGTGGCCGATGTCCTAAAGTTCGGAAAGGTTGACGTTCTTTACAACCCCACCCAAGAGCACACTGCTGCCAGTTTCAAGTGTGTCAAGCCATGTAAGTGAATTTTTGTGTGTTTTAGACTTTTGTACAGCGCTAATCATTCCTAGCCGGCTGCGTTATCCAGCTCGCCGACAAGACCGGAGGAACCGCTAATGTCCCGATCACTACTACGACATATGTCAAGCTCGACCTCGATCTCCTTGTAAAGGAGGATCCCGAACTCATAAAGGATCTGTTCAGCCTGGTGGACCGCTTCGCCTTCGACTACTTACGCAAGAGCTCCAGCCTGCAGTGTCAACCAGTCCATCGGTTTCCCATGTCGACGTTGGAGGGGGCGCTCAAGCAGATCGAGAGAGAGCCGTACCACGGCCTGACGATCTTGGAGGCGAACCAAGATTCTCTCGTTCGTGTGGCCCGACAGATGCAGACGAAGCCTCTCGCTGAGGCCATTGATCCTGAGGGAACTTATGTCCTTGCAGGCGGCCTCGGAGGTCTAGGAAGAAGCATCGCGAAGCTTCTTGTCGACAATGGCGCGAAGAAACTGGTGTTTCTGTCGAGATCTGGCGGTAGTGCCGACGCCAAAACCTTCCTCAAGAGTCTCCATAGGGTTGATGTCAAGGCAATCGCGGTAGATATCACAGACCGCAAGGCGCTCGAGAGCCTCATTCCCGCCCTAGGCAAGGTCTCTGGTGTTGTTCAGTGCGCTGCTGTCATCAAGGTATGCCGTCATTCCTTCCCTTTCGTGCCACTCCACCATCTTCCAACTGGTGTACTGGACGATGCTGACAAACAATGCAGGATGCCCTCTTCGAGAAGATGTCGCACGCCGACTGGGCCGCCGCCTTCGCCCCTAAGGCAGTTGGCGCCGCCAATCTTGCAGACGTGTTCGGCCCCTCTGGCCCTTGGTTCCTCTTCCTGTCGAGTGCTTCGGGAGTCATCGGCAACCGTGGCCAGGCCAACTACGCCGCCGCCAACGCTGTCCAGGATGCTTTAGCCCGGTCCCTGCCCCGCGCCGTCTCCCTCGACCTCGGCCCTGTCCTCGAGGCAGGCATGCTAGTAGAAGACGAAGACACTCTCGGGAAGCTCCGGGGTGCTGGGTTCTACGGAATCCGTCACCAAGACTTTCTCACAATGGTCGAGCGAGCCATCACGGGTGAGATCGCCTCCGGCGTTGCCACGCCCGCACAAATTGTCTCCGGCGTCGGCACCGGCGGCCTCATCCGCCAAAATAACCCCGGCGACCCATTCTGGTCGCGTTCAGCCATGTATTCGTACATGAACACCGTCGACATGCCGATCACCTCCCCCGAAGAGGCTTCCGGTAGTGGCGGCGTCCCGAGCGAGACGGACGTCAAGAAGATGCTTGCCATGTGCTCCGGCTCAGAGGCAGCCGTAGCAATCATATGTACCGGCCTGGTTCAGCTGATGGCCAAGGCGATGACTCTCCTGCCGGAGGAGATCGATCCGGAGCGGGCGCCTAGCGCGTATGGCGTCGACTCCCTCGTAGCTGTTGGCGTTCGGAACTAGATCTTCCGCAACGCTGGGGGCGTCGATGTTTCCGTCTTCGAGATCTTGGGGGAAACATCAGTTCGTGGATTGGCTGATATGGTTGCCGGCAGAGGAAAATGGTAGCGGGGAAGAGCGTGCGGCTTTGCGTTTGAGATGAGATGCCTCTCAGACGTTATAAGGGGCGTCGTGGCCACGGACAGAGGAGAGGTGGACCATAGTCGGTCTGCTATGTATGTTTGACTTACAAAATATCGCGTTAGACTTTCATCCTGGTCTTTGCCGTGTTGTGAGGTTGTAGTTGCAATGGGGCCAGTTTTCTCGTGACACAAGGGCCTTGTTGGCAGTCCCAGTCTATGTATGCAGCGCAAAATTTTTGCCTTGCTATGTTTTCAGGATAGTCGTATTACTATACCAGTAGGCTCCTCCGATGAAGTCAATCCTCAACGGCAACAACAGATGTGAGGAATATGGGCTTGCAGTCAAAGGGGACGATGTGTGGGGAGCTGGTGATAAACGGTTCTCAGGATAGCAGGGACTGTGGTGCATCATAAAGGTGAAGTTTTTCGGTCGTTGGGACGATGACGACTGCTAGCGTGACGAGCAAGCTTCACGCAAGGCAGCAGGAGGCTTTGCACATATCACGATGTGACTTAGAACTAATGACCTTGACACTCACTTCGAATGCCAAGATGATTCGTAGAGGGCATTCTCTGTTGCAACCAAAACCACGCAAACCCTCTCACGAAGATTTCGTTGCCTGGCATTGGCTGCTCTCCAGGCCGGGGGGTTTTTGACCAATTGTTTCGATGAAGAGGTGTACGGCCCAGACTGAATGTGACAAGAAGCAATTAACGAATCCCTCGAGAGCTTTCAAGTTAGGAGCTGAGACCACACGTGAACGTCAGGCTGGAAGAAAGCGTGTGCTGCTTGAGCTAAAGGTATACGACGAATGTCAGGGCAGTCTTTAAGCGAATACTTTACCTGCCAAGGATTTCTTGGCGGAAGCATACAGGCTAGTGACATGAGCAAACAGCGTGACCCCTGAACTAGTAATGCGACAGCAACATGAGATGCTACGAATCGAATGGCGGAGCCTGCGCCACAGCCTCACTCGACTCACTTTGGCACCGAGAGCAGGAGCTTGTGGCCTGTAACACCAAGCAGACTTGGGTGCGGACTGGAGCAGTCGGCAGGTATCCGCGTCGACCAGGCATTGTCAGTGGGCTCTAAACTGATGATTTGAAATGTAATGTGAGCTGTGAATCAAGAGTATGACTCAATCTCAGACAAAACAGTGTTCTACGAGGACGGAGCCATCGTTGAATGGACTCAAAGCAAGGAAGCCTGGTGAGACGAGGTCCTTTCGATACCAGGTCAAAAGGGACGAGGTAACATGCAGTATGTGATAGGCTGCCTTATTTTGCCACTGGTCATTGAGATGCTGGGCAACAAGGGACGGGAAGGACGGGGCAAGGCGGAGCATGATGACAGCGACACCGAGAATGACAGATGCAATTCTGAGAATGCGCAGGATGGCAAAAATGCGAAAAGCAGCCTCACTAGGCCAGGAACGGGCAAGCGCCTGCGTTGGGGTCTGGGACAGACTGGGATGATTTCTCCGAGCAACGCAGGCAGCCTACCAGAGTATACCACATGAGGGCGGGCAGTCACAGGAGGCAAGTACACTGTAAAATTTGTTCAATAGTTGCCACGGTACCGGACGACCGGGTAGTAAAGTGCGCGCTCCAATTAACGCGTCGCGCTTTTTTCCCCGTGGCCGACATGACATCAAACACCAGCAGGGAAGCTGCGATAAGATAAGGATATTTACGTCCACCAGCACGTTTCTACCTTGACGGTACCGACTGGCCCCGACCGCGGCGAAGAAGAAGATGTGCAAGTTCTCGGTTTGCCGACCGAAACCATTCTCATCCACCACATCCAGCGATTCGACGAAGCCTGCAACGGCCAGCGGCCCTCCTTTGACTCCGGCCTTTTCGTCGCTCTTTCACCCCGGGGCCATCTCCCTCTTTCCATTTCCATCGCAACCCGGTCGGTCGCGATTTCCATGCGCAGCAACCTAGGTACTTCCACTCGATCGAGGTCCCATATCCGACAGCCTGCTGCAGCGCAACCTCACTGTCCACCGACAGCCAACAAATGTTGCAGCACCGCGCCACTCACTCTTCGAACTCTACACCTGCAGGTCGCCTCATTTGAGAGAGCGAACGGGACACACATTACCTAGCCACCGCCGCGGGCGCAGCACCCACCTTGCGCACCCGTCACGATGGACGACGACCCGGCCAGCCCCCACCTCCGGGATAAGGAGGCTCTCGCAACACTCGCTGACGAGCTGCTTGAGCTCGAAGGCGACCGAGATCTGAAGCACGTTATCGTCGAGTCTTACGAAACCGCACCCAACCCAGAAGACTACTCCAACGAGAGAAGGAACGCCGTGCGCGACCTCGAAGCCGTGAACAAGACGATTGAGGACAAGAGGCGCCAGAAGCGCCGTTTGGAGCAGCGAATTCAGGCAGCGAGGAACGCCGAACGTCAATCGGCCAGAGACGCTGCTTCCGGCGAGGACAGGAACATGTGGGAGGCACGGAACCGCTGGGGAACAGGTATGTGGGTTTTTTGTTCTGATGCGATAGTACCAATTCCCCGGAGGACTGATGCTGTTGCATTCACGGGCCGCCCTGGTCTCGGTCTTGGCCTCAAGCTCTTCGAGTGAAGCAGTGAGATGTGCAGCAGTCGAGCGATGGACATGTCTGGGACACTGGCCCTCTCATTTTGAGGGTTCTGCTCCGGTCGGGACGAACCCTCGTTCCCTTCAACACCGCACGTCTTAGTGCGATTCCATGAGAAGGCCGGCGTTGATCCGGCTGGTTTGCCTCAATCTTCGCATTCTCGTTTGGAGCCTGCGACCCCCGACAGACTGTACTAGGAAGCAGCGGCGGTGTCGCTGTCTATGTTTGGAGCTTCTTCCCAAGTCTCCGGCATAGGCAGCTCTCTGGTCGCCGTGCCTACCATACCGCAATGTCACGTCTCGTTCTTGCCTTGTCTGCCTAGTTTTCACTTTGCCCTCCTGACGGAGGAACTTCTGCCTTCACCTGGACCGTTCTTTTCTTCCTTTATCACCCTCGCCGGGTTCAGCCTCCTAAACTCGGTTCGGTCTTGTCATCTCGTCCCGACATCATCCATACTCTCTCAGCCGTCTATCACGATCGTATCTCTCCTTCAGACAATCCGACCAACATTTCTCTCCTTCAGATCATTTACAAGCAACCTTGCGCCTATCGCACCTGCCCCCTGTCTGATTTGATCTCCGGGTTGCCCGGAATTCAGTTTTCATCTTACGCATGATTTGAGACTAACTCTTTCCAGCCGCGGTGCCATACAGGACAGCAACAGGCCCTCAGAGCTCTGGGTTTTCACAAGGAACCCCAGCGATGCCCAACACCATGGACAACGTGGCTCCAAGCTATTCTGGTTCGTCCACCTTCATGAGTAATCCTCGAGGGGCGCCGGTCTTCGGTGAGGTTGGTCGAATGTCCCCTTCAACAACAAGAGATCTTTCGGAACTGCCTCAGAGTCTTTCGGCCACTCCAGTCCCGGCCGAAACAAGTCTCAACGCACTCAAGATGTGTCGACTGAGGTCATTGACCTTACTGGGTAAGTGCAGTTTTTACACCTACAATCTCGACCCTCCAAACTGGGCGATCATTTGTGGCGTTCTTGTTGCCGGCTCGTCGGAACTAACAGTTGCTGCAGGGACGATGATGATATCAACACATCAATCTCGCGTTCGAGACAGAGAGAGGCGATGGCACGAGGCAATAGAGCTGCTTTGATGGCCCGCCAATCCATGCCCTACGCTTCTAGGCCCGCCTCAACGGCGCCACAGTCGGGCGTGAACGGCTCACTTGGTTCTGGATTCTCTAACGGTCTATCCCACTGGAATTTCAATGACCCACGAGACCAATCGTATTCTTCTTCGAGGTCAAGTATGGCTTCGACTCCCGGCGCTGACTTCATCCCACGGATGCCTGGATCTTTCGTCGACGATGACAACCCTTTCACATCGTTTATGCCAGCGAGCCAGATGTACAACTCCAACGTTTACCCCAATGCGTACTATCCCGCCAACCGATCTTCCCTCAGTACCGCCGACGTGATCAGCAGGGCTAACAATCTCAACTTCATGGACCTCACGGATGGATCTGGAAACCCCTGGATGCTCGTGTTGTCTCAATCATGCAGGATATTAACGATGATCCTCGTAAGTCTAGAGAAGAGGTCGAGGCACTTCTGCGCAATGTCCACGCAGGCATGGAAATTCCAGAGGAAGACCGTGACGGAACGCCCGAGGCCATGAGGTATCCCCTCTATGCTCATCAGAGAGTGGCCTTGACCTGGATGAAGCGTCAGGAATCAGGAACCAATAAGGGAGGCATTCTGGCCGACGACATGGGCTTGGGAAAGACAATCTCCGTTCTGTCGCTGATTGTGTCAAACAAATCATCCACACCTGGACGCAAGGTGAGTCTACAGAATCTAAAACATATTCGTATGCTAACAAGCCTCCCAGACAACTCTGATCGTGGCTCCTCTCTCCCTGATTCGGCAGTGGGAGGATGAGATCAAGAAGAAGGTCAAGACAGAACACGTCTTGTCGGTGTTCATTTACCACAACACACAGAAGATCAAGGCCCAGGAGTTGATGAAGTACGATGTCGTATTGACAACGTACGGTACCCTTGTTTCTGACCGCAAGAAGTTGGCGAGTTACAAAAAGAACCAAGGCACGCGATCGGTAGCCTCCAAAACAGACCAAAACCTGGCCAACTCGGTTTCTCTATTCCATCCTGACTACTCGATGTTCTACCGTGTGGTTCTTGACGAGAGCCAACAGATCAAGAACCATAAATCACAGGCAGCTTTGGCAGCCGCTGATCTAATGAGTCAATATCGTTGGTGCCTTTCTGGAACTCCGATGATGAACGGCGTCGATGAGCTGTACTCGCTCTACAGATATCTGAAGATCAAGCCATACAGCGACTGGTCTAAGTTCCGCAGCGCTTTTGGCGTGCTCTTCGGAAAAAGAGGAGACCCGAAATCTCAGGCAATGAAGAACTTGCAAGTCCTTCTCAAGGCGACATTGTTGCGTCGGACAAAAACCTCACAGATTGATGGCAAGCCCATCTTGCAGCTTCCCGAGAAGACTGAAGAAGTGGTTTACGCAGAATTGGATGAGGACGAGCGCAAGTTCTACACAGATCTGGAGACCAAGTCGCAGGTTCAGATCAACAAGTACCTTCGAAAAGGCACCCTCGGCAAGCATTACTCTCACGTTTTGGTACTGTTGCTCCGCCTGCGCCAGACTTGTTGTCACCCGCACTTGTTGCTGGAGGCGGACGATGCAGTCCCTGAAGTGGACGACGCCATGATTGATCGTGTTAAGTCTCTGTCTTTGACTGTCATCCAACGACTCACCGAGAAATCCCGCGCCCTCGAGAGTGCCGACGCTATCAACGAAGGTTTCGAGTGCCCCATCTGTTACGACATGATGCCCGATCCAACCATTCCACTTCCTTGTGGCCATGAGCTATGTGCCGGCTGCCTGAAGCAGCACGTTGACAATGCCAAGCGTGAAAACATTAGAAATGGTGAGGACGAAGGCCAGATCAAGTGCGCTGTCTGCAGAGGCCCGCTGAACCCGGCGAATATCATCACCTATGCCGCATTCAAAAAGGTCCACATGCCGGAAGAGATCAGCGGAAGCTCTGAGGACGAAGAGTCGGATGGTTCCATATGGAGTAGCGATGACGAGAAGGATGAAGACGACGATGATGAAGCCGATGCAGACGATGTCGATAAGCAGGGCAACCTCAAGGACTTTGTCGTCCCTGACGTTTACGCTGATATTAGTGATGACGAGGACGAATCGCCTGTCCCTCCGGAGCCGAAGCCCATGACACCCAAGAAGAAGCAGAAGAAAAAGGGAAAGAAGAAGGCGATAATCTCCCCAAGCAAGGCGTCCAAGAAGAGACTGAAGAAGATCAAGGGATCTATGCTGCAGTCCCTTCGAAAAGACGCAAAGAAGAACGCCGCCGCCTGGAGAGACTACACCAAGTACCTTAGCCACCATTGGCTCACTTCGTCCAAGACCAGAGCCTGTATGGATCTTCTTCGCAAGATCCAGGAAACCGGCGAGAAGACCATCATTTTCTCCCAGTGGACCATGCTTCTGGATCTTTTGCAGGTCGCAATCAAGAAGGAGGGCATGAACATGAAGCACTGCCGCTACACGGGTGAGATGACGATGGCACAGCGAGACGACACTGCCTTCACCTTTTCAACAGACCCGAGCATGAAGGTCATGATGGTATCTCTGCGCGCCGGCAATGCCGGTCTCAACCTCGTCTCAGCCTCGCGAGTCATCATCATGGACCCCTTCTGGAACCCGTACATTGAGATGCAGGCTGTGGACCGAGCTCACCGTATCGGCCAGCAGAAGCCGGTGAAGGTCTACCGCATCCTGACCCAAGAGACGGTGGAGGATCGCATTGTCCAGCTTCAGGAGAAGAAGAGGGCAACAGTCGATGCTGCCTTGGATGAGCGCGAGGGCGCCAAGTTGGCTGGTCTTAGCTTGACGGAGCTCCGATTCTTGTTCAACCTCTGAGCGATATTCCATTCATGATCCATTCGATCTGATAACTTGTAAGGCTTTTGTTCACCAAGCTCACTACAATTTACGACAATCTGGGTCTAGTCCGGAAGGCATTTGTCTTCGACCTCTTGGCACCGGATACTTTCAGCCCTGAAAAATGAAAAGAGACTATGTTTTATGAGAAAGTGCCGGGGAGGCATTGCGGCTTGCTTAGAGATTGGCTTTTTTTTCATTCATCGGCATCATTAGAAGGACCAGGGGTTGGGAAAGCGAGAACTCACGATACACAAGACGCGCTTCACAGCCGCACTGAGGGGGGGAGACGTTGCAGGGCAAATCGATTGTGCCCACTTCCGTGTCACCCTCCTCTTCCTCTTTTCTCTTCTTTCTCATTTGTTAGCGGAACCCCATTGAGGCGTCCGAGGTTTATGGTCAGGTTATGTTAGGGACGGAAGCGTAGCCTTTGTGGCATGCGAGATTCGGTCACAGGGATTCGGTAGTGGCTAGATCCGATAGAGATCATCATAAACTTGCTCGTCAAAGCTTGTGCCTACCCGCGTGTCATTCCTTGACAGACATGTGATGCGCCTAGCAGGCATCTCAATGCAGAAAACGAGCAGTGCTTGATTTGAATGGAGGACGGCAGACTAACAAGCCGACAAAAGTGCCAGGTCATCATAGTCGTTGCGATGTCTCAAAACCAGAGTACGTACTTGCACACTCGCTGGAAATGGGATTTTTATTTTGTGGCGGCTCATGACCGGCCGCCATTGCCAGAGAAGCCCGAACAATCAAGTGCTACCTAGCCCAGCCCTATTCCCCAATGCGCTTCGATAATTCGAAGGGTCCATCAAACTACATTGCACTTGTTGGAGTGATCTACGTGAAAGAGGCAGAGATGGGCCGCGTCCTCGTCGCCTTCAGGATGCCCGCTGGCACCGAGCACACGTCGATGCGGGATGCCTTCCTCGGTTTGCTCAATTAACCGCGCAGCTTCTTCATCCGCCACCCGCGGAGGGTTCTCTGATCGTCGGAGCCGGCCCACCCGTCAGCTGGGATTGGGCGTGCGTGGTCCAAGACGGGAGCTGTTAAAAGGCCGGGGAGAGAGGTTGCTGTGCGCCAGTGGTTCGTCCGCAAATCGTCGCTGTCTCATGGTCTCCTAGATCTCCTTTGACTGGACAACGGCGGCGACGATATCGCTAACGTGCGGCTGGGTGGCCGACTTTCCGGCATTCTCGCCGACGGCCGGCCAGGCCCAGCGCTTGACGAGGGGCTTGTCCCCCGCGCGCCAGGCGGCGCCGATCTGGAGCGTCAGGCGGCTCTCGGGGTCGTTGTTGAGGATGTCGAAGCGGATCTCGCGCGTCTCCGTGTCGATGTCGCGAATGGCGGTACCGCGGACGGATTTGGTCCATTCCGCACGAGCGGGTTCCGAGGGTTGGGAGGGGGGAAGAGGGATGAAGGACATGGCGAAGTCGGTCAGGGCGTGCGCTGCGGCACTAGCGAGGTAGAGCTGGACGGAGGAGAAGTTGGGATAGGATTCGCGGGAAGGGGGGTAGGAGACCTGAAGAGTGCTTGGGGCGGGCTCTGCGTCGGTAGGCTCGGCGAGGCTAGGAAGGAGTTGGAGCTGGAATTGAGTTGTCGTCAGGGGGAGGAGGAATGTGCGGCCGCGGATTTGGAGGCGAGACGTCGGAGTAAGGGTCAGCTCGACTTGGAAGTCTGCTGGTGATGTGAGCATGCTAGTGAGCGCTTGCGAAGCGTTAGGACGGTTGGAGGCGCCGCCAGAGGTGTTTTTCAGTTCGGCCGTCGGGAACTGCGGAGTGTTCAGAGTGAAGGAAGCGGCGTGAACGCCGGCACGTCGTAGGACGCGGGTGAGATCACCGGCGAAGCTGGTGACCTGCTCTACTGAGCGATCGTACAGTATTTTGGCGATGATGGGCCTGAAAAGGTGGTACTGGTTTTGCGCTTGGTTGCGCCGCTGATGAGGAGGGGTTGGTCGTAAGCGCTGAAGCTCGTTCAGACGGTGGGCATGGCTGAGGAGGATATGGAGGCCGAGGTGTGTCGCCTCCGCAAGTACGTTGTCGGCAGATGCGCTCACGGTAGGGGCGCTATCGTCGAGCGTCTCGAGCTCTAGTGTCAGGCTTGGGCCTGAAGTAGGGTTGAAGTTGATGGAGTCGTTATTTGCGCGTACTCCATAAGAGGCCAGAGAATGAGCTTCACGATGCAGCTCATGCCAGAGCTCTTGCGCGAAGATGGTGTTTCGGGCTTCGAGAACACGGTCTGGCAGAAGAGCCGAGTCCGGTACAGAAGACCCAATGGCTAGACGACCGGTGGTCTCGCCCGATCTGCTCACGGTAATGGAGAGACGTTGGGAACCAGCTCCGACCCTGCCATGCTGCAACAATGCTGTGCCATCGTCACCGCGTCTCAGGGGCGCAAGACTGCTGTTCCTGAACTCGGGTGAAGCTAAGAGGGTTAGCAACGTCGTTCTGCTGGAGGAAGAAGGGGTGGAACGCTAACCTTCTGAGAACCCAAATCTCACTCCAAGAGTATGTCGTTCCGCCGGCAGTCGGCACATAGACCATCCAGCCTGGTGCACCGCCAGCACCTCATCCCAGTACTTCGCTTCGCGTTCCACCTCTTTGCTCAGATGGCTCGCTGCCTTGTCCGCTGACCCCTTTGTCGTCTCGATGTCGAGCAACGCCCAGCCTAGAGACACATCACGGTTGTCCTTTGCGCGCTCGGAGTCTCTTTGCTTCTGCTCTTCGTTATCTTCGCGCTTCGCGATACCGAGGGTGCCGATGCCGGTCCAGTCGCGCAATGCTTGGGAGAGGGTGACGCCCGCCTGGGCGGGACTTTCTTTGGAGAGTAGTAAGGAGATGAAGTTGAGGGTCATGAAGGCAGCGTTTTGCGCAACACTAGTATTCCACTGTCAGTGATTGCTCCGCGAAATGAAATGCCCGGCAAACCGACTCGATGTTCCTTAGCACCTCCATTCGCGCCGCGCCAGCATCTGGTGGCTCCTCGTCGTTGTCGTCGTCGCCATCGCTCATCGCCGTGTCTTCCTCCTTCACTTCTGCTTCGCCATTCTTCTTGTTCTCGACCTCCTCTTTAAGGCTCTCTTCGGTAACGTTCCGGAAGCCGCGCTCGGATTGTACGCGTGCGATGAACTCGCCGAGGCTCTTGGGCTTGCGACCGCCTGTCGGGACGGGATGCAGGGAAGAAAAGGGCATCGAGCTGCCCGACGCCATGGTGAGCAGTTTCTCGCTCGCGCGGTCACGTCGTGCTGACTCGATTGTTTTCGCGACGTTCGGTTGGTCAGGATTGGCGCACGTAGAGGATTAGCATGTTCTGGACGGAAGTCTGTATCACGAAAAGTGGTGAGGCTGCTAGGCAAGGCTGGACGTGAATGAGAGAAGGAGCTACGGATTGGCTGGAGCGACAAGCATGCATGGTCTAAGCTCCACCGCACAAGTAGCCAATGACCGGGCGGGCTTACCCGGTCGGCAAGGAGCACACCGAGGGTCACCGGTGAACATCACGGCCACCGTGACGGTAAGAAAGCCAAGCCATGGATAGTAACCTTGATAGTTGACCAGCGGACAACACGAGACACCATCTCGGATTGCATGGATCTTAAAAAAGTCACAACTCAGATGCCCTTTAAGTCACCCTTAGCCCCGGCGGTGATATCGACGCCGGCATATGTGATGCATCGGCGGGACCGCCAAAAAGTAAGGCCGAAACACAGCAACGACCGCCTCCATCATATGGTGATGTCGCGATGTCTGGTTGCACCGGTATGGAAGAGAAGAGTTGTCGGACGACTTGTGACTTGATGTCAAGACTGAGGTCAGTCTATCGTCGCCGTAACTTCGGAGGGACATCCCTGCATCCCTGTGAAAGGCTGGTCCTCCACCGTCTCTCACGAGTCACTAGCTTATTCGCTGGAGGTGGGTTGATCATTCGGTAGCGAGGGGAATTCGGGCAGCTTCACGCGCCACTTCTCGACCGGCAGAGCAGTTGAATGAGGGATGTGCTGCGTTTGGGACGGAATGCAAGAGCGTTTAAAGCCAGACCTGCTGGATTGTTGTTGACTCTGATAGACTACCTAGGTTTAGGCCGCCAGCGATCGTGGAAGACAGGCGTGGATATCCCTCGACACGTCGCGGAGCCGCCTTCAGAAAAGGCCCACGGCATGCAGTTAACCAGCATTGCCTGATCTTTTGCACCTCAAGGGCCCGGGCACCGGCCGTCGGCCAGCCCCGCAATGGAGTTTGGTGGAGGGGCACCTCGAGGTTGGTGCAAGTCTGGACCTGGCAATTGGAGTGGGTTTGGGTGGAAGCAGCCCAGAATAAGCCCGAGATGGAAGAGGCCGACGGACTGGAACCTTGCTGTTGGTGTTTAAACCCCTCACCGGTGACCGGAGACCTCGACTGCCCGTTTTTTTGTGTGTTTTTTTTTCTCGCTATTTCTCCAGTACCCAGGCGCCGGGCGATATTTCCCTCACCAATGGGTGTGACTCGAAATGACTTGACACATTCTGGCGTATATTGGTGTGGTTTGGTGCGCCTGTAGTTTTAGTTTTTTTTTGTCACTTACCAGCAGCAAATGAGCGATGAAAGCAGCCCTCCAGGCACTCACAGATGAACTCCAACTGTACCAGGGCTGCCGGGTGTTGGGTTGGAGATCCTTCTGCAGCACATGACGGACGGGCTCGCAGACCTCCCAGCTGAAGACAAACCCACTGTAACCGGGCTGGCCAGTCAGACCGTCGCATCGTACCTGATTTAGCAACGTGAACGGTTTCCATAGGCTCCCTGCGACGCCGGGTCCTGCTCTGTGACGACGCTCTACGGCCTTTGCGGCCCTTCTGCTGGGCTTGGCCTTGGCCGGAGCTCCCCCGCGCCACGATAAGCGATAAGAGCTCCCATCCAGTGTCCCTCCCCTCCGTCCCTCAACCCACGTCACACTCTGTTGGGAGGAGGGGTCCGGCGGGTGGTGAGGTGCTTTTTTTTTCTTGCTGTTTTTTTGAGGTGCCGTGCTGGAAAGTGGCACCAGCACCAGCACCAGCAAACTGGTTCCCCGCCATCAAACAAGTCGCGCTATAATTATCTGGGACAGCCATTTTCTGCGGCGTGTGCCCCTCCTACCTTGCCCTCCAAAGCCAAAGCCCAAGCCCAAGCCCGGCCAAGTGTGTCTCGCAGCTTCCCCTTCGATCTATTCCAAGTCTCAAGCCCAAGCTTCCAACCACTCCGCAGCTCCCAAGCCCTTGGCGCTGGCCTGGTCTTGACTGGAACTTCATGATCTTTTCCCTCTTCCTCTCCCTTCCTCTTCGCCTATACCCCTGATTACGCGCGCACGGCCAGTTGACCCGTACGATCATCCCTTGAACATATTGCGACCGTTTCCATAGAATAGTCCCCCCTCCTCCCAACGCCGCCGCGCCGACTGACCCTCCACCTGTAAAGGGCCTCCCGTCTCCCTTCCCCCACTGACTCCGAGACCCCGACAACCCGCGAACAACACCACCACCACCACCACCATCCTACGCCGCAACCATGGCTCCCACCGCTGCTAAGAAGAAGATCGCCATCATGACCTCGGGAGGTGACTCCCCGGGCATGAATGGCGTCGTGCGCGCTGTGGTCCGGACCGCCATTCACATGGGATGCGAGCCCTACTGCATCTACGACGGATACGAGGGCTTGGTAGTGGGCGGCGACCAGATCCGCAAGGCATCATGGGGGGATGTGCGCAACTACCTCGGACAGGGCGGTACTCTGATCGGAACCCGCCGCTGCATGGCCTTCTACGAACGTCCCGGCCGATTGACCGCCGCCAAGAACATGATCCTCCACGGCATCGACGCCCTCATCATCTGCGGTGGTGATGGTTCCCTGACTGGTGCCGACAAGTTCCGCGCCGAGTGGCCCTCTCTGATCGACGAGCTCGTCTCCTCCGGCCAGCTCAAGAAGGAGCAGGTCGACCCCTACAGGCACCTCAACATTGTCGGCTTGGTCGGCTCCATCGACAATGACATGTCCGGCACCGATGCCACCATTGGCTGCTACTCCGCCCTCGAGCGTATCTGCGAGATGGTCGACTATATCGAGGCCACCGCCTCTTCCCACTCAAGAGCTTTCGTTATCGAGGTCATGGGACGCCATTGCGGCTGGCTGGCCCTCATGGCTGGTGTTGCGACGGGTGCCGACTTCATCTTCATCCCCGAGAAGCCTAGGGAGGAGAACTGGGAGCAGGAAATGTGTGAGATCGTGAAGAGAGTAAGCAGCCGAAACCTGGTTCCACTGGCCATTTTGGAAGCTAACACGCCCTAGCACCGAAGCTTCGGAAAGCGCAAGACCATTGTGATCATCGCCGAGGGCGCCCACGACAGCAACGGCAAGAAGATCAGCTCCGACATGGTCAAGGACCTGCTCGCCGATAAGAACGGGCTTGCTCTGGACACCCGTATCACCACTCTCGGTCACGTTCAGCGAGGCGGTACCGCTGTGGCCTACGACAGGATGTTGGCTACGCTGCAAGGTGTTGAGGCCGTTAAGGCCGTCCTCGAAGCTACCCCTGAGACCGAGACCTGCTTCATCGCCATCACTGAGAATCAGATCTGCCGCAGACCGCTCATGCAAGCCGTCAAGGACACCAAGGAGGTCGCAAAGGCCGTCGACGAGAAGAACTTTGAGAAGGCAATGTCTCTCCGTGACACGGAGTTCGCCGAGATGTTCAGCTCTTACATGATGACCACGAACGTCAGAGTGGACGACCACCATCTGCCCGAGAAGGAGGTTCGTCATCCCAAACTCAAACTCAAGAAACATGTTAGACTAACACCTTGACAGAGAATGAAGATTGGTTTTATCAATGTCGGCGCGCCCGCCGGTGGCATGAACGCCGCTGTGCGAGCGGGTGTCGCCTACTGTCTCTCGCGCGGCCACGAGCCCGTCGCTATTCACAACGGTTTTGCCGGATTTGCGAGACACCACGGCGACAAGCCCGTCGGCGCGGTGCGGCCTTTCGACTGGCTGGAAGTTGACAGCTGGGCTAGCAAGGGAGGATCCGAGATTGGCACTAACCGAGAGCTTCCCTCCGAGTCTGGCATGGAGCTCATTGCCAACCTCGTGGAGAAGTACGAGTTCGACGGCCTGTTTCTGATTGGTGGTTTTGAGGCATTCCACGCGGTTTCGCAGCTGCGGAAGGCGAGAGAGCTGTACCCTTCGCTGTGCATCCCCATGGTTCTCTTGCCGGCCACGATTTCCAACAACGTTCCCGGATCAGAGTACTCGCTCGGCTCCGACACCTGCTTGAACGAGCTTGTCCAGTACTGCGACAAGATTAAGCAGTCGGCTTCGGCCACTCGCCGTCGTGTGTTCGTCGTCGAGACCCAGGGTGGAAAGTCTGGTTACGTCGCGACTCTGGCCGGCCTCAGTGTCGGCGCGAGCGCCATCTACACGCCAGAGGAGGGCATGGACCTCGAGATGTTGGCTGCCGACGTCCGCCACCTTCGCGAGGTCTTCGCCAAGGACAAGGGACAGTCGTCGTCTGGTCGTCTGATCCTCATCAACGAGAAGGCCGACGATGTCTTCAACGCCAAGCTCATCGCAGACATCATCCGCAAGGAGGCGCGCGGCCGGTTCGAGTCCCGCGACAGCATCCCCGGCCACGTCCAGCAGGGCGGTGTCCCCTCTCCCATGGACAGATGCCGCGCCGTCAGGCTGGCCATCAAGTGCATGCAGCACCTCGAGGAGTTCCGGCCCAAGTCGCATAACAGGTGTAAGAGGGATCCCATGAGCGCCTCCGTCATTGGCATCAAGGGTGCTCAGGTTACCTTCACGCCCATTCTGGACCTTGAGGACCATGAGACGGACTGGAAGAACCGCCGACCCAAGAACGTCCACTGGGCGCACATGGGCGACGTGGTCAACATGCTCTCGGGCAGGCCCGCCCACAACAAGCCGGAGCAGAGCCTCACCGGCCTGAAGGCCAAGGACGTCAAGAGAGGCCTCGATGACTGATACGGATACACACACACACACACACACACACACACAAAGCATGAAGCAGGCGAGTTCTAATACAGGAGGAATAAAAAAACACGGGGAAGCAACGGGTGCTACTTGATTCAGCAGGGGACGGGCGCGTCGGGGTTTGGCTTTGATTACCTAGGGAACTTGATCAACGAATACATTTTCTATTAGACGACGAGCACGAACGGCTGGCCATTGCGGCAGTCCTTTGCAATGGACCCTTTGCACACTCATTTCCCTTACCTTGATTCCATACCGTGTAAGCATGACATGGCGCATGTCTCGTCAAGGGCCTACTGAGTCAGGGCTGTCCCGGTCTAGCCTCACCACCATGTGCAATCTGGACAGGGCCATGTCATGACCTTGATGCTTGACATCAACCCGCCCTGGGACATCTCCGCCCCTTGGGAGCTACGGTCCAAGCCACGATGGGTTCCCGGCGCGGAGGCCGTTTGCTGCCAACGCGCCGGGGTGGGGGAGGTGGGCAGTCAAATGACTGCAGTAGTTCACACACACACACACACACACCCAGACCCAGACCCAGACACACAACGTTAAAATCAACAGGCCCATTAATCCGAACGGGCCTTGGGGGCTTCGTTCATCCCATGCGATCTAGTCATTGACAAGAACATCAAACCCCCGGTTCCCGCGGGAAACTTTGCAAGCCGGTTCATCTCATGTCACCCTCCCGACCCGGAGGATTGGTGAAATCTGGCTCTCTGCCCCGAGGTCTGGGTGGTGTTCTCGGGGATCGGGCTTTGGACGTTGCTGTCGGATCGTCCGTCGGCATAGCCTATCTACCTGCACCTGCTCACGTTCGTAGTTCAGGTAGGGCGCGCCGCAGGTGGCTGCTTGTTGCATTGGGGCGTGCCGCGATTCGCAGAGACGCTCGCTGACAGGCCACTGAGAGCCGAGCTCACAAAGATCGAACCACGAAAAAGACAAGGAAAGAAAGAAAAAAAGGGGGAGGGTAGACGGAAGGGAAAAAGTGCCGAAGACCAGGCAACCAACCAACGTTGCCTTGGCTGGTCGGGGCTTCGAGTGCTGCGCTGTGCTGATGTAAGAAGAGCGTGTGTGAGGTGTCGATGCGACTCGACGACCGCACCCCCCCTTGGCGATCTGCGGCTGACGGGACTTCCACCGAAGAGTACACAGCACGAGGCCCGTCGAGGCTCCGGTCACCGGGTCGTGGAAGGGTCAGAGGAGGGCCGAAGAAATTGAACGTAGATGGCGTGTCTACCTGGACCACGGGGGGGGGGGGGGGCCGCAGACACGACGCGGCTGGAAGGAATCGAGGTTGGGGGCCGCCGATTACTCAACCGTTCGGCTGAGAAAGCCTTATGCTTCTCGTATGGGCAACCGATGTCCTCTGTTCGCCTCGAGGGCTGGAGAAGATCGTTTATCCTTTATGGAAGGTCTTGCACTGGCCCCCAGCTAAGCAGACATACCGGTAGTAGGTCTGCTAAAGTCCAAGTCTGTTCAGGTCCTGGGATGAGCCCGGCGAGCCCTTGTCAGGGGGTGGGGCGGGGCGCTCAGTAAGCAATATGTGCGAGATGCGTCCAATGTCCTGCTTTTGAGTGGTTTCCCCCCCCCCCCATCTCGAGAAATGGGCGCTGCAGGCTGTGGTTGCAGCGCAGACGCTGAGCCGCTCCAACGAGGAAAGAAGACCCAAGAAATATCGCAAGGGAACAGAAGGCCTTTCTGGCCGCCTGCCCCTGATCCATGGGCCGATGGTCGTGGGTCGTGAGGAGGCTGGTTATCTTCGACAGTCGTTGAACTCGCTGCAGAGGCAGCGCGGTAGAAGCTGTTCCGAAGGAGAGGAGGCCCAGGGCTGCTTGGCGCGTTTGCAAGTGGGCAAATCAACATTGGCCATGGTCGACCTGAAATTTTGAGCTGACATGACCAGTCATCATTGCCTCAATGCTGCTGGTCCAGCCGCACCGCTGCAGCCCCCAACTTCCTCGACGCCCAACAACCGCTTTGATTCATTCAACACAGGTACGCGCATCGACGGTTTGTTGGCTCATCTGAACAAGCACCCCAAGCCCTACCAGAAACGCCACAACCGAGGCGTTGGATGAATATCCATGCATGCACTATCGCGTATTGGGCCTGGCCAGCACATTTTCTTCAGGGCCCCTGACCGCGGCATGGGCTTTATTTGTCAATACTCTCCTCATAAGCTCGTCTGTTTGCCCAATGACAGTCTCAGTCGCGGAAGGCCCCGAAGTAATCACACGCGATTTCCGGGGCTGCTGCTATGTCAGCAACATGGATGGGTGTCCTTGGATGGGCTGAACAGACCTTTGAACCAACGGGAGCGCGGAGGGACCCGTGAAGATGCAGCAAAACCGCATTTTGGTCTCACCGGGGTTAGCCGGCAGTAGCTCGACTGCAAGTCAAGTGGTGGTTGCTCTTTGCGACCAGGTCGCGAAGAGATACCGATAATCGTTGGTGTCTGGATGCAGGGAGTTGTGGTTGGATACCACCCCGCCGGGGGGACGTACTGCGTGGACCAAGCGGTGATAAATCGAGCGATCCCCGAGCCTGGGGTCATTTCCCCTTCGAATGTTCCGCTTCTCTGCTTGAGTCGACACTTCCCACGACTATCAGGTCCTGGCACACGTATACTACTGAGTCCCTCCTCCGAGGTCGAGTCGCGCTTGACTTCGAAGCCAGGCCAAGCATTCGCGAAGCGTTGCTGGCCTTTCCTGTCGTTTACTGCCGGATCTTACGCCATGTCGTCTCCAACGATGACGAGATCTTTCAAGTGTCTCCTGGGGGCGATCCTCCTCCTGTCCTCCCCGGCGTCTTGTCTCACGGCTTGGTGGACGGACCTCAGCCCTCATGTTGCCATGCAAGACCCAGCAACGGGCAACCTTCTGTACAGCGCTTGCAACAGCAATTCCACGCCCATCTTCCCCGACGACGGTCTCAACGCCTTCAAGCTTCAAAGAAAGCCTCGAAACGGTACGTCGCTTACCGCTGCCGGATGGTACGATGTGGAGGCGGCGACGACTGTGGTAGGTCTGGCAGTATCGAGTGTCATGTACAGTGGCTGACATCCTCTCGCAGGCTTCCATCTTCTATCAAACCGATGATGGCGCCATCGTCAACGGCTACTTCGTTTGTAATTTCGCCACGGGTCACTACAATATCAAAGGCGAGTACCTCATCTCCTCGACGGCCAGCGTCGAATCCATCCACAGCGAGACGGGCTTGGCGGTCGAGTTGCTAGGGGCCGAAGACGGATACCGCGTGTTCTTCCACGACGAGGACAAGAAGGTCAATGTCATGTCATACACGACCAAGACCGATTGGCAACTCCAAGGGGCTATCTCGCAAGATCCAGTAGGGGGGATGGCCCTGACGTCGGTGCACTCTGGCCAGTCAAACATATCTGTCGTCTATCCTAAAGATTCGGAAAACTTTGAGATCTCAAGATTCTTCAAAGACGAGACATGGCATCTTGGTTCGTTTGCCCTCCTGCCGTCGAAAACTGTGTGAATACTGACTGTCGCAAAGCCACACTGCCTCGTCCCCTCGTCAGTGACACAGTCAATGGGAAGACAAACGCGTCTGATGTTCTCCTCAACTCGTCTATCCAGCCGAACTTCACGTTGCCCGCATACGCAAGCAACTTGACTGGGCTAGGCGTAACAGTCAATCACACATATGTGCGCAGCATCTTCTATATCGGAACCGACGCCAAGCTGCACCAAGTATCGAACGTCGATTGGGAATGGAAGTTGATGCCGGACCGGGAATCAAGCATATGGCCCGTGGCGGACGCCGTTGACGGGCCCTTTGCGGCGACGAGCAATTTTGACACGAACGAAGCCTGGGTATGGTACCGATCAAACGGCAGTTTGGTACAGCTGTACCAAGGCACCGATGGCCTGTGGACGCAAGCTACGACGGTCCCCAGCGTCAACACGACCAAGTCGCTCGAGACAGAGCCGAATGGAAATGCGACGCCGACAGCTTCGCCAACCGGGAAATCGATAGTGATGTCAACCGGGGCCAAGGCAGGGATTGGCATTGGTGTTGCCGTTGGAGTTCTCGCCCTTGCCGGCGTTGGCTTTCTCCTCTTCCAGCGAAGAAGGCGGCAACAAGCGGCGGCGGCTGAGGCAGCCCGTCTCAAGGAAGCGGAGGCCATGACTCTCAACGGCAGAGGGGGGCCGTATGCGGAGACGTGGGGCTCGGTTTCGCCAACGGAGAAGTACGGGTCGGAGTTGGTAGAGGCGGATGCCGTAGGTACGACAGCGCCACAAGAGCTGATGGACACAACCGAAAGATACGAGCTTGTGGGCGAAGGACATTGGAGAGAAATGGACGCCACGGGGCAGAACCCGGCAAGAAGGAGTATTGGAGGCTGGAGAGAGGCACAAGCACAAGACAAGGGTTGCAAGGCGATAAGAAATGAGGTCGTGGACCAGACCAGGTAGTGACTAATGACCATGATGACCGAACATAATAATGAACCACCTTTGACGTTTACAAGAGGAAGTGGCCGGGTAGCTTCGGGGCAAACGACTGGTGTATCGTTTTGCGTGAGGTATATCTTTTGCTGCCAGCAGGTTGATTTACAGGCCGGTTCGACCGCCTCAGCTCCTAAGCTTTGAAAACCCCTAGGACTCGGTTTCCTCGCTGCTCTGGCGCACGAGTCTGGCGACCCGGTGTGTTTGATAATGAAAATTTAGCAAATCTGGCCGTGATCGTGAGTCTTAAGTGTACCGGTGGGGTTTTTGTGCGCGCGGGGCGTCCCGATTGCTCAATACCAGTGACACGTGGACAACGTTTACACTGTACAGGAGAATCGCAGCGCTGTTTGCGACTGGCAATGCAGCAGCAAGCTGCTGAGGTGGTGACATTTCAGAAGCATTGTTCGGAGCATGTCAAGGTATGCTTTATGGTCGCTGACGAACAGTTCTCTACAATGCTCAAGTCGCCCCGGAGAGGCGCAGATGACTTTCCTAAAAGAGGTCGACCAGGTCCTGTCTCATGATGGTATGGGAGGCGGCTGGGTGTCGGAGCAGCTCGTGGACGGTCCGGATGATGGCATGTCTCTCTTCAGGGTCCTCCAGGGGATCGGGACCGTCCAATCAGAAATGCCTCCCCTGGCATCATCCCATCCCACAAGTCGAGGTTCTGAGGATGGGTAGTCGAGGAACCGAAAGCTACTGTGTAGGTACACCAGAGATTTCTCAATTTCCGGAGATGGGCATCTAAAGAGCGAATGGGCGAGTTTGTCATCGGATCAGGCTTTGGCTGATGGGTCAGTCCTGGCGATCAGGCCGAGTCGGTGAGAACCGAAGCCCAACTGCGGAGACTTAGCAGTAAACATTTGACGGCAAAGAGCTTGTTCTGTCGAGGGATGTCATTGGGTTGGCGGCGCCCCGATGTTCACGGAGCAATGAAGCCTCAGACCTTGCTATAGCCTCAAGGACCGAATAAGCGAGCGAATGCGACACAATGATGGAAAGTCTCGGGTTGAACAAGGAAATTCGGCGAGGAACAGGGCGGGATTTTAGCCCAGGGACCATGGCCGGCAGTTGTCAGAATTCCAGTATTCAGGTCGGAGAGAGTGGGCGATGTTGGCTAAGCGGCGGTTAGGTACGGCGGGTCGCTGCAATGTCCTCGCAAGCCGTCGCGGCGGTTCCAGCTAGTGTATGTCTCTATTGCTGTCCAAAGGCTGCCTTGGCGGAAGAAGGGAAGCACGAGAGCGGGCGGAGTAGAGGGTCGGTTGGAGCAGAGCCGAAGGAAGGTGAGGTGTGGGTTTGGGGGACGGCAGGCGGGACAGAACTGGCTGGGGTGGATGCAGGATTGCGTCAGTGTCTTTTTTGGCGATGAACTGGAGACTTCCATGGTGAATGTGACGACGGGGCTGGGCACCGAGGGAGAGAGGGGAGGAGGGGGGAGAAGGAGGGGGGAAACTGAAGGGAAAAGTGGAGGGGAAAAGATAGGCACTGTCAAGTGTCAATCTAGAATTGGCTCCTTTCGGTGCATCGTGCTTGTGATACTGATGACTGCTGCCGTCGTTGCTGCTGCTGCTTCTCCTCCTCTTCTTCCTGGCGGTAGCGGCGGTGGTGGGAGGCTCGAAGACATGGGAAAGAACGACTTGAGGTGGAGGAAAAGCTAGACGGTCGCGAGCTGCGGGTCCACTTTTCCGTCGTCTTAGCTCCTTCCCGCTCTTTCCACAATTAGGCCTTGTTCCTTGGCCCCCTGGTTTCACTGGAACTCCCAGCAATAACAGAGAAACACTAAGATCTAAAATCAGGTCTTTGGGGCAGCCGGTCCAGCTTCATACATGCACTGGCACCAGCTTTCAGGGACACGGGGCTCCATTATCGCAAACTTGGGGTGCCATTACAAGGCCGGATGGAACGCTGACTGAAGCAGCAGGGTCAGCCTGTTCGTCTGTGGTAAAATGAACGGAGCATACATGGAAAGAAAGTGCAGGCACTGCCTTGCAGTTGCCATGTACACTAGGTACGGTATGAGGCTTGGTTGTCAGCCCGGGGCAGATGAGGGGAGGTCCTTTCCAGGGTGTCTCTTTCCAAGCGTTTTCCCATGTCTTTTTTCGACCTATTTTCGCCTTCTTTTCTTGCAAGTCATACAAGAATGGGTTTTGTCATCGAGGATTTTACAGTTTTGCTGCAGTCCAGCTGCTCCTGTCGAATCAGCATCACCGTCCAAGCAGAAGCCATGCTGGGTTCGGGCCTCTGTCCAGGCGATCACTGCAGTCGAAAATATGACTGGATTCGTCCCCCATGCACCTCAACCTGCAAGTCACAAGTCAAGCAACAGCCATTGGGCACCAGAAATCGGTGAGAATCCAGGCGCCCACTTCCTGTCTCTGCCTCTCGTGTCGCCCAGGCCGTCGTCCAAGCCCAATGACTGACAAGCAACCTCATCCTGCACCACTACCACTAGAGCCCAAGTGGATGCCTCCCAGGTGCACACAAGTGGCATGATGAATGGATGAGGAAGGGCGCGGCACATGGAACACTTGGATCGCACTTCTATGCATCTCCGCTTCTTTCCTTCGCCTACCGTTGCTTCGGCGTCGGTCCGTCTGTCTGTCATCCATCACTCTCCCATCGGCTTCTGCTTGCTTTTTGCTGCTCCCCAACCGCACCCTATCAACCGCTTCCCGTTCCTGTGATGCTGTTGGTCCGGCACAACACTACGCTGTATCCTTGATTCCCAGGCTACTGGTGTCTGGAGCCTTCTGCCGTATCCCCATCTGCACCCGTCTCTGCCTCATTTGGCCGCGCAGCCAAGGTCGTCAAACTCCTCGCGATGGGGCATCTAAACCGCCACGTCCGGCCCGCGCAGACAGGCATTTGGCGTCTGAGCAATTTGCCATTCTTCTGGAAACTCTGAATCGAACGTCGGCCCAAACTGATTGATTGCCTTCCCTGCCCGCTCTCTGCCCAGGACCTGGACACCCTCCATCATCTTTGCGACGGCATCCCTACCGTCCCGCTTCCCGCAGCGACGTAGACAAAACGTCGGGAACACCCCTGCTCAGTGACAGCGGTTCACCGCGCGGCGCATGCCCACAGCTGGGAGGGATTCGAACTCGACAGAACTCGACGGGGACACACTGGCCACGCTTGAGAACAGGCTCACACCGTTGCTCTTGAGCCGGCCAACCCCTCCCATTTCTTTACTTGACTTGCTCGTTCTCCCGTCCCTCTCTTCCCCTCCATCCGTCGTCCATCGAACCAGCCAAGACCACAAAAGCCTCCACGAAAGGAGCACGCAGCCTGCTTCTTGGTGTGCCGCCCTATATCACCCGTCGGCTGCCTTTATTACATGCCCACGCTACCACCTTACCTACATACGTTCATACGTCCATACATACATAGCCTGCTTGTTCTGCTGTGGTATGACGACGTTGCTCCCACTCTGACTCTTTTCTCTTCCTCTCACTCACTCACTCACTCACCCACCCCATTCTTCTCTTCCACCCCCTCTTCTCACTCCCTCCCCAAACCGGCTCAGCTCTAGGCTCGGCCTCAGATTAAAGTAGATCATCCGCTGCCCTACGTCTTGTCGCTCGTTCCGTAGCGCTACGAGAGACGTTTGGTTCATCCATTTTTTTTCTTCCAGGGTCGCTTCTTCCGTTTGCGCACGATACCCGCGTCTTGGTTATTTAGTGTCGCCAACGCTCACGCTATCACCTGCGCTACACGATCACCACCGCTTACTACCCCGCCATTCAACTCTCAAACAAACACACCCGGACGCCTCTCCGCCACACATCTCCCGAACCGAAAGCCGTTTACGTTCGGCTAGGAAAAGATGGCTTACCGCTCCAACGATTTTGAGGAGCGTTTTTACGACGAGGGACCCCGCCGACAGCGGGCCGAAAGCCGCGTTGCATTCAGTGAAGTCGACGTCCGCGTGAAAGAGCGCGAGCGCGAGCGTGAAGGCGACCGTCTCCGGTTCTTGCGCGATGAGCGTCCTCCCGAAGCGGGCGCTCTCGTCTTGAGCCGCCGAGAGGTTGAGTCGAGGGAGCTGTCACGGCCCCGCCAACGCTCCCCGAGCCCTGTGTACCGCGAACACCGCGAGCGGATCGTCCGCAGAGCTCGCAGCTTGACACCTCCGCCCGTCCACGAGCAAGAGCTCGAGCGTTCGAGGGTGCGCATTTCCGAGCATGAGCGTGAGATTCGCAGCCCATCCCGTGGCCCTCCTCAGGAGATCCGGGCTCGATACGTTGAACGCCACAGGTCGCCCTCTCCGCCGCCCCCTGCCAGAGAGCGCAGCCGTGTGGGTGTGCGTATCATCGAGCGTGAGAGAGAAAGAGAGCGAGTACCATCTCCTTCGCCCTCGCCGCCACCACCGCCTCCCCAGCCTCAGGTTATTCGAGGCCCCACGATTGAGCGAGAAGTTATCACCCACTACAGAGACATCGACCATGGTGAGTACAAGCAGTACCAGCAGGAATCAAGGTCCCGGCAAGGTCTAATGTATTCAGGTGTCACCCGCGTGCCCAGCCCGCCGCCTCCTCCTCGTCCCGCTCCTCGGCCCAAGACCCGCACTGAGGACCGGGAGCTGGATATCGACATCACCACGTCCCGCAACAGAACCGACATCGACATCCACCGATCACAAAGCCGCCATCGGTCTCCCAGCAGGGAGCGTAGGTCTCCTGCTTTCCAGGACCACAGAGAGCTCGTAGTGAGCACCGACCGCCTCCGGATTGACGATCGGCATTACCACAGCGGATCGCGCCGCAGAGCCCATTCCGCGGCTGCACGCACGCCAGTCGATGAGGAGTCCGAATACATCACCTCCAAGATTGACTCGCGCGGCAAGATGGGCGAGGCCTGGAACGGCGCCACCAAGGACTGGGCTATCATCGACGTGCCGCCCGGAACTGAGCGTGTCCGTATGGACGGTGTAGGCGGTGGCTCTGCCGAGGTCACCTGGCAGCGTTACAACGGTGTGAGACGAGCCAAGTTCATCCCCGAGCGGGACGGCGCTCCATTGTCTTCCCCGGCCCCGCTCCCCGAGCCCTCGCCGCGGGACTCGCGAGACCGTCTCAGCCTCCAGGTTTACGACCGTGAGACGGAAATCGAGATTGAAAAGACCAAGGACCGTGCTCCCGCGCGCCGTCAGCCCACCAAGCGCAACGAGATGTGGACGGAAATCACCAAGGACCTAGTCATTCGCGATGCCATCGTTGAGCTTGGCTACGACTTTGAGGAGACTGAGTACTTCTTCTACATCATGCAATACCTGAAATATGTTAGTCCGGACCCAACCCGATATGAAATGACCAGCCAAGCTAACGCAGACCAGGACGATGTACTCGAACTCGTTCAGGTGTCGGATGATATTCGCCGCTTCCGCAAGGATCGCGTCCGCGAGTACGAGAGAGAGTGGGTGCACGATGACTGGGACCGCCGGTCTCACCACCACCACCACCGCCGTGGGCCAAGCAAGTACGACGATGAACGAATTTACGAGCGCGAGGTTGTATATGACAGCCAGCGGCCCCGCCGTTGGTAAGCATTGTATACACGAGTGATCAAGACACATGAACCGGACACCCAGCCGCCGTTGGGCGTGATGAGCTTGGGCCAAGACAGACAGACGCCTTACATTGGATTCGGAATACAGAACATATCATTTTGGATGGGATGTACTGCGATTAGACGGCCGGATCTGCTGGGGCGGGAAAACGTGCGCGTCTTCTTTTCTATTGATTACCCAATCTGTGGGGGATTCCTGCCTGGCACAATGTGTAACGATTTTATGAATACTACATAGCGGCGGACAAGCGGAGTTTAGATTGTATTAGGAGCAATAACGATTCATGACTCGATACTGAAAATGCGCGCCCCCCTGTCGGGGTTTGACGGGCGTGTGAGAACCTCTGGTCGTTGCGCAAGCACCCTGAACATGTGCGTCTCACATGCTGCAGGTGTGCAGAGACTGAGATGAAGGACCGGTCTCTGACGATGACTTTGGGAAACTGCATGACTAGCGACTTTGTGAGATCTACGCCCCTATGCAACTCTGGCGATTGAACTTCCAAGATCGACAGATACCATACCATCGCCTTGAGAGCTCGCCGGCCACTCACACGGTTGCTTTTGTTCTTGGTCCGCAGGCTACGTCTCGTGGCCAACCCCCACCACTTACTGCACCCTTTCCCAACCGACCAAAAACCGTCGTGGTCTCGAACGACTCTTGCAGTGAAAGTTCCCTCGCGGTGGACACTGCTTCCGGAACCACCCCCAGGCGGAGCTTCGCACCTTCCGTCCGACCATGCAGTTCGTCGGAAGAAAGGAGGCCGGCGTTCGGCGGCAGATGCGCCGGCACGCCCGGACCACGCGGCATCCCAGCGATCAAGTCCATGCTCCGGGAGCCGTCCGGCGCCGAACCCTGTGGATCCCCATCGAGCAGCCGGCTGTGGCGTCCTGGAAGGCGTTTCCGGACCACGTTCGGGGTCCGCGCCCAATGCGCCGGTGAAACTGTACCGACATCTTTTCATTGCCAGGAGCACGCGCTCTACCCCAGATGATCATTTATCGTCGCCTGGAAAGACCTACAAATCTCGAAGTCTTGAGCAAGCAGTTGCTTAGAGGGGTGTATACGAAAGCTAGCACCAACTTGCTGCTGTAGTATTAACTAATCGATCACAAACGGTGAGTTGGCTGGTTGATCCGACATGGCGCTACTGGAACCAAGGCCGGCCAGTCGGAAACCGTTGGCCATCGACCCTTTGGCTCACCAACTCTCACGGGAATACAGGCATTTGAAGGACGAGTGGGAAAACGTAATATGTTAATCTAGAGACTCCAGAACACAGGAGGATATGAGGAAGAGTGGTGTGATTTAGGGAGATGGTCTAGGACATCAGCCGGTCGTCACTGAAGATCACGACCCTAACAAGAGGCTAGACAGTGGCATCTTTGTTTAACCAGGAGTACCCACCGATCAACTCTTCCAACTTCGAGCCCAATTATCTCATTAGAGAAAAAATACCTCTCAACTTTTCTGATGTTTTAGGACTTCCATCTCCAGCCCAGCAAGCAAATAGCAATGTAAGCAAACATATAGTGTACAGACCCCTTCTGCTTTTGCAGCTGGGTGTTGCGAGTCGCATTAGTGGGTATGAACTCGAAAGAACAACGTTGAAACGACAAGGTGATGTATGGGCATCCGCCAGCAGACGATCCCCAAAGAAGTAGCCCGATACACTTCTACAGTCGGCTGCTCAGGGGCGATGCCTCAACCCATACCGACAGTCGAGTATGCTCCCTGGTGCAGGGACATTTACCTGGAAAAGTCAACATCATCTCATGTTGAATAGGCTCCGTACGGTAGACTTACTTGCGGGAACGACTGGCACGAGTGGACTTAGGCTTCTCCTCGGCAGCAGGAGCAGCCTTCTTGCGACCCTTGGGCGCCGCTTTAGCCTTCTTCGGCGTAGGCTCCTCCTCCTCTTCAGCCTCAGACTCGGGGGCGACCTCGGCTTCGGGCTCTTCCTCGCTCTCCTCAACCTTGGCCTTTTTCGGAGCGGCCTTCTTGGGGGCGGCAGCCTTCTTCGCAGCACTACGCTTGGGCTTAGGAGCCTCTTCTTCCTCAGGCTCGGCCTTCACAGCAGCAGCAGCCTTACCGCGCTTTGCCTTGGGCTTCGGCTTCTCCTCTTCTTCCTCATCAGACTCGGCCTTGACAGCAGCAGCAGCCTTGCCACGCTTAGCCTTAGGCTTAGGCTTCTCGTCCTCGTCTTCCGGCTCAGCCTTAGGGGCGGCTTTTTTGGCACGCTTCGCTTTGGGCTTCTCCTCCTCATCGTCATCGGCAGCAGCGGACTTGCGGCCGCGCTTCTTGCCCTTGGCAGGGGCCTCCTCTTCCTATGGTCGAGTGTGAGCCTCCATGTGCGCCATTGCTCAGTCCAAGAGAACTTACCTCGGCCTCCTCGCCGTCATCCCAGTCCTTGGGCTTCTTGCCGCGAATGCCCCTCTGGCCGGGCTTGTTCATCCAGGGGTCGCCGTTGAAATCCTCGGGGTCAATATGACCCTGCTCTATGGCCTTGCGGATCTTCGCCTGCAGGTCCGGGTGGTCACTGAAATGAGTGTCAGCCGTGCATGCTTCTGCGGCTCCCAAACGGAGAGGACCGGTCTTACCCCATCTCATCGTAACCGTCAAAGGCATCAAAGTCGAAAGTGCCATCTTTCTTCTCGCACAGCTCCTTGACGTGCGCCATCTGCTCACCAGAGACGCAGCCCCTGTGCCATGAAAATCAGCATGTGTAGCTGAAGGCCGTAGCACAAGCGTACGCGCAATGAGGGGCAAGTCAGGCATAATGCAGCGAAAAAGGGGTCACATACCAGTGCTTCCACTTGAAGGATTCATGATCCATAATCTTGGTCCAAGTACCGAAGCGGAGGGAACCCTTCAGGCACTTAGCGGCAGCCTTCTTGCACACGCCATCAGTGCAACCGGCGCGGTTGTTCGGCGAGACCTCTATTCCGACGTGAGCTGGTTAGAATGCGTTGACGGGGCGAGAGGGCGAGTTTGGGAAAGCGAGTTGCGAAGCTGGAGATGGGGGAGCTCCTCTCATGACGTAAGGTGCAGTGGTTTTGACGCGTCGCCCGAGTGCTCGCCCGACGCGACCGCAGCTCCAGACTCGCCGCCAACGGGAAGAGAAATTTACAGAAATACCAAACTTACCAATACGGTAATCGGGCATCTTGGCGACTGTGCTTGACCAGCTGATTGAGTGTCGCAGAATGCTTCTGAAGAAAGTGAGAGGTGTTGAGGTTGGGAGAGAGAAAAGGAAGCAGGAGAGAAGAGAGAGGATGAACGAGGAAATGAAGGAATTTGGTCTCCAGACGGTCACTGATTGCTGATCGGGGGTGGAAGGGGGTCGTTGGTTTAAGGTAAGAGCTCCCAGGCGCGCTGCACTGCCATGTTCCTGCCTGCACGGCCCTTGGGGTTGAGGTGCCCCAAGCTCCCCAGAGCTCCAGCGGTCGTGCCCCCCTGCGCGGTAGCCTAGCGATGGCCAGGCACCAGCCAGGCAAAGCAGGGTGCTGCCCAAGATCTGAGCCGAACACGTGGTGACCGATAACAAGATGGAATGCCGTGGATTGTCCAATATTTGAAACCAGCACCATCACAATCAGTCACCTTTGCTCGTTAACTGGACGATGGGATCCCATGGAAATTCCTCCATGAAGAAGGGCTTGGATGTACTACATTTACAGTAGAATTTAGACCCAGGTTATCACATGTCCTTTTCCGCACCCCCAACACCAACACCAACTCAGGTCGTGTCCTTCATTCATGGCCATCATCATCCCACGACGCCGGTCCATAGTACCATCATCTTCCGTTCCGATTCCCCAAAACTCCGTCTCACAAGAACGGACACCATCCGATGTACATGGCCGCCAGGTTTCTCGGATCGACGGCCTGCTTGATCAACTCTTCCACCTGCCCCTCCACACCCAGCGGGATCGTGTCATGCCCCATCAACCCCTTGACTTTCCGCTTGATGCTGTCAACCACAAGCTGGGGCTGCATTCGCGGCGCCCCGTCCTGTCTGCGGCTCGTCTTCTTTTCTTTCTGGAGGTCTAGCGTGGGGTCGTAGATGAACGCCTCGAGAATCGTCATCAACGTTTCCTCCTGCTGCCGAAGGATACCCAGCGTTAGTTCGCTGCAGTGACGGAAGGGGCCTTCGTATCCGTAGATGCCCATCGCTGCCACCATGTTGTGTGTCAACCGGAACGGAACTCTCTCCGGTTGCGCAAACGTCAAACCCTTGTCGAAAAGGCAGTTGAAGTCGACGTGGAAGATGCCGCCGTTGTCACGTTCCAAGAGCACGTTCTCGCCGTGCCGGTCGCCGAGTCCTAGAATGGTACCGACCATTGACATGACGGCGCAAGACCGTGTGTACTTGAGCCGTGCCGAGAACCACGTCGAAGGATGAGGGAAGCGCTGGACAAACCAATGCTGCAGCACCGGCGGGAACGTCCCTAGGACGCCCTCGGTGAACATCTTAATGTTGTTCGGTCCCGTCACCGCCTCAGCCATCATCCGCTTGATCTGATTGTAGTCTGGGTGGACCGAACGGGTCTTGTACTGATCCAGGAGGATCTCCCGCAACGTCTTTAACCCATCAACCCACTCAATAATACCGCACTCTTCGTTCAGCGGCACAACGGCGTATGTTTTGATGTACAGCTGGCGCCTGCTGGCCTCGGGGTCCCGCTTCAACGACCTATTGATCATGCTGTTAAACTCCATCAGGCGCTGGTCAGTACGAAGGTCATCCTTCGGTTTGATCATGAGCATGTAATTCCTTCCGTCCGTTCCGCGAGCGGTAAGTCGCCGCGGCTTGGCTAGAGACCCAAGAACCAGCACTTCGTCCAGGAATGAGTCGATGGTGATGACATCGCGTGCGAACGCCTTGTGTTTCTTGACGTTATCCGTCAACGTTGGCAAGGCAGCCGTCAGGCACGACTCGATCGGCACCACCAAGGGGCAAGGAGTACATTTGTGATTGAAGTTCAGATCCCGCGTGATGCTCGCCACCGTGGTCCTGTTGCTCTGGAAATCTCCGTTGTTGCAGGCCAGCAAAAGCTGCTCTGCAAGCTTCTCTCCCATCCTCAAAAGTGTTTTGAGATCGTAGCTGCCACCATCGACCTTCCGAGAGACTCCCTTGAGCGTCTGCAGAATCTGTTGACCTCGGACCTTGCGCTCCGAGGCTTGCCTCGTTGTCATGATACCGAACAGACTCCAAAGAGCTTGCCGAGGATGGGACTCCACAACCTTGACAACGATGTGCATCAATCTCTCGTAGACGCTCGAGTTATGGTGTGCTATTCTCGCTACAATTTGAGGGAGTGCCGTGTAAAAGATGTAAGCCGGAAGCCGAATGATGTACTTGTCGAGGAATTGATGGAGGAGGTTCAGTTGTTCCGTTCGCCTCCTATGGAGTTCACGGGACAACGAGACCTTGCCTTCGGGAGCCTTGTCGACCTGTGCTCCGAACTCGAGCCACAGCGTGAGGATTCTCGGCAAGGTCTGGTAGAGATATTTGGTGCCGTAATTCAGTGACCGGAGGTAATTCTCGATAATGAGCCTCGTGTACTCGCCCTGGATACAGGGATCGCTTTGCTCGTCCGGCTTGAGTGTCTTTTCGGATTCCAACACCTTTTTATAATAGCGCCCCAAGTAGTAGTGTCCCTTTTCCCAACCTGATGCTGTCTTGGGCGGTTGCTGGTATTTTTCGCGCAGTGTAGCGTGATTGGTTTGACCGGCGGCATCCAGCCACTTGGCGAGCATCAACTGGGCTCTGGCCGTCAGCTGCCTCTGCTGGGCATCCATGCCACGGATGGAGGATGAACTATTGGTCTGCGTCATGAAGTTGTTGGATTCTATAGCACCCTGCAAGACCTGAATGGCCTTGCGGGTATGGCCATCTTTCCATAACAGTCGAGCGTTCTCAATGACTGCCGCGCCATCGCCAAGTTGAGAGGCATGAAGCACAGCATTAAACGATTGGTGGGTTGAGTTGGCCTTCCTGGCCAATCGAGCGCTCGAAAGCCACAGCGATGAAATGTCCAGATCAGAAAACTTAGGCCTGTGGTTTGTTAGCTTAGAGTACATGCAGAGGAGGAACAGTACATGCCGTGAAAGCTCCATAGCTGCTCTGCGGATGCCCAGCAGATATTGCTTGTCGCTGACATATGCTCCAAGAACCTCGAGGCGACGGTTCAGTACTGTAAGCACTTCTTGGTGTGCTTCACTTTCCGGGGCTTGAGTCCCGGCGATAATTTCCAAGTCGGTGAGCACATGGCATCTGAGTCTCAGGTCATGACAGGCCTGCAGAGACGCAGTCGCTGAGTGAGTCATAGCGGAAGCAATCTTCTCTCTCATGCTCTGCAGCATCTGAGGAAAGGTGTCGCTGTTAGCACCTCTTTGCTGTAACGCATTGAACAGCTTCGCGATGCTAACGTTGAAGTCTTCCAAAGGACTGCCGTGGAATCGACTGGTGTACTTGGACAACGTGTCCCATCTCCGGGTGGCCCAAGCTGCCTCGACGGCGTAGGGAACAATCTTGTTCTCTGTCGAAGAATCCGTCCGCATGCCTTCGACGTAGTTGAGCAGCACATCTATGTTGGTCAGCTCACCTGCTCCCAAAAGCGACTCTGCATTACAACTTACCGTGTTGACCAGACTGTTTCAAGCAGTTGAGGAGATCGACTTGCACATCAATGTTGTCAGGCTCTTCTGCTAACTTGATCTCGTACCAAGTCTGAGCGGCGGTGTATCTGCCCGCTTTCTTGTGACTAAGGATCTGCTGGTTGATGTCCAAAACGTGGAGATGGGCAGAGATGCCTTCCAAACCATCAGGCTCGTCAATCTGTGTATAGATGTCCTGCAGTTGCTCGAGAAGCAGTGTTTTCTGCCTTGGATCGCTCTTCTCAACCTCCATTTGCTGAGCATGTTGTTCAAGGTGGAAGAGCGCACGGGGGTATTCTTTGCAATCCATCGCCCGCTGGGATATGAGCACCGGCGGAATCGTGCTTAGCAGATCCTCAACGCGTGCAATAGCGGGCATATCGTTATCCGTCTTCCGTCTGGCATTTTTCTCTTGAAGCCACCTGCTTGCGTAGTCAAGGACTCGGAAGACGGCCTGGGTTGATTAGCTAAAGTGTCGCTAAAGGGAGAAATGCGACTTACCTCGCAATACAGCTTCATATCTTCTCGTTCAGAGTACGGAGCATCTTCCGCGGGCTGATGCTGAAGAATGCCAACGAGTTCGCCTATGACATTATCGCGCTCCTGACGCGAACTTCGATGACCTATTATGACGTGCAGAACAAGGTAGGGCAGCAAGAATTCCGCAACCGCCAGATCCTTAACTCGAATGGTGCGGCACAACGGTTCGAAGATGAGATCCGCATGCCCGTTCTGCCCCTTGCGTAGGAGATCCATGTTGAACGAGCGCATCCAGTTTCCGTAAGGCTTGCCTGGCCGGAAAATAGGATACTCGACTGCGGCCACGTTCATGGGCGTCAGGAGGTACTTGGAAGTGAGAAACGGCGTGAGGATCATGCGGACGCTCTCCGGCAGGGCTAGCCACTTTCTGTAAATGGTGGCGCCATCCCTCATGCCGGTTTCCTTCATCGCGCACGCCGCTTTGATGTCAACCCTGTCGAGCAGTTCTTGCATGGCGAACGACAAGAAACCCTGGAGTTTGGTGTCCGTCGTGGATAAGAACGCCTTGACCAGGATATGCTCCAGGATGAATAGGACAAAATCAGTCGTCTCGTCTGCGTTGTCAAAGTTGCTCAAGATCACCATCGACTTTTGCTCCCGAGGCGCTTCGACCCTATTAGAGTCTAGACAGCCCACCAAGCCGATGCATTGTGTGCAGAGACTGGCAATGTCAAGCTGCATGGAACTGTACTTCGACGCGCAATCAAGTAAGGCCCGAAGCAAAGTAGAGACAACTGGGTCTGGTTGTTGGCTGATGGTCGAAGTTTGAAGGAACCCTCCGCTTTGCTTGAGATAGGTCTCAAGTTCAGCCAGAGCCTGTAATACCACACCCGAGTTCTCGTGGGATATGCGCTCAGCAAAAAGAGCAAACGCTCTGCTGCTATCCAGTGCGGGGCGAATTGCGCTGAGCTGGGCTTCGACATCCGCCAGCTCTGGCACGTGGGCCAATGATGGGAGTTTGCTAATGTTCTCACTGAGGACTATGTCGAATTGAGTCATCAGTGTTGTGATCAAGCCTTTGGCCGTCTGTCGAGTGTTGTCATTGAACAATGGCCAGTAGTGGCTGATGACGAAGAATGTCGTTTCAAGCAACACCTCAACGTCCTCCGATTCCAGATAGGTGAGCAGAGCTGCCCAGCAAGAAAATGCTGCTTCTCTTAAATCGTCCTGCGCCAACGCTGACAACAGGCAAGCGGATATCTGGACAAGTCAGTTTCAACCCCACGTTCATGTTCTCATTTTGCTTACTTGAGGCCGCGCAATGCGCACATAAGCTTTGCAAAGTCTGATCATCTCCTCCATAGCTCGTACGCATCGCCTCTGTTCCTCGACCGGGGGCGATACAAGGGGCATGTCATTAATGACATCCGCAAGTCTGGCCATGAGGCCGAGAATGTAGGACTGGAGAAACCTTCCAATAGTATTGCCCTTCCTCGGTCGCGACTCCTTGTTTGCAACCATCATCATAGAGCAAAAGGAAGTAAGTGCTTCGATGATCTGTAGCAAGTTAGCAGCTGAGATCCTCGATGACCTGACGTTCTTACCCGTGGTTTTCGGGCTTCATCCGCCTCGCCCGCTGCCTTCAACAACTCGAGGACGATAGTGACAACCTCTGCTTGCATCAGCTCAACCAAGCTAAAGGACTCCAGATGAGACGCCACTTCAACGAGTCTTGACATGACGAATTGCTCGATATTCCGCACATCTTGCACAAGCAATAGCGCAAGAATGGGGCCAGCATTGGCAGTGTCCAGAATAGGGACCCAAATGTCCTTTTCGCCCCGTGCTTCGGCAATCTTTTGGATGACGTCTTTCTTCTTCATCAAGACCAGCCATGGCATCGCATGGGTCTGAACAAGCAAAAGGAAGTCGGAAACAGAAATTTGCAGCAGATCGGCAATCGCACGTGTCATCTGCGGTCGAGATATCATATCCTTAACAGCGAAGTATGCTAGGTTTCTCCAAAAGGGCTCAAACAAGCGGCGGGGTGTTGTCTTCAATGCAGCTGCCAAGCTGATTATCTGGACGTATGTTAGCTTGTCCGAACCCCCCAAACGCCAAGTAACCGTCGTACCTCGTTGAAGGCACAGGCTGCGATCAAACTATTGATACTGCCAAGATACTCCAGTAACTTATGCAGCACGAGATTCAGCTCGTCTCCGGTCACAACCCTGTTTGGTCAGCTTGTTGGTATACAAATCATATCTTCACAGGCAGGATTGCACTTACCGTCCAAGTTGGCTCCAGGCCAGAATCCCGCTTTCATGGAAAATGACCGCGTCCTTTTCCGAGGCAGCTTTAAGCAGACTGAGTGCGTTCTTTCGATTGCGTTCAATTACAGTGGCATCAAGTGTATCGGAGTTGGTATCTTCTAGGAAGAGAGGGAGAGCGCGCCTACAGGGAAAACTGTCAGCATGCTCAAACTCTAAGCTTGTAAGTGACTTACCCCGAAGCAATCCGAAGCTCTCTAATTGAGCTGTGTAAGCTCTGTAGACACCACTGTCCCAGAGGAGAAGTCTCGAGATCAATCAGTTGTGTAATGTCAGCGTGGTTGATGATCCGCCTCATCGCAATCATAGCAACGACTCTTGGTCGCCTCGATTCTTTGAACGAATCGAGGTGGATGAGCTTTGTGAAAATCGACTGTGCTTCGCTTTTCGCTTGAGCCGTAACCACCTTGGGTCTCTTCGTACCTCTGGGTTTCCGATCACAGGAGGCGCATCGGAGCCTCTTATCTTTCTGTAGGATCGTCTCATTTTTCGTCGCAGTCATATCCACAACACAACAGGTGCGGGCGACAAGGTCAATGGCTAAACACTGATCTTCTTCGCTGAGTCCTGGATAGTGGTTTCTGAGAAACATCAGCCAATAAGTCACATCTGATGAGATGGACCAACTCACAGGAAGGTATGCTCTAGAGTCCCATTCTCGGGGATAGGGTCTGCTTGAAGAACTTCATAAAGACGTGCAGTCCATTCATCAAGCTCGCCAGCACCCATCGAGACCTTTCTGCGTTTGGGCGCGGGCTCCCCTTCCTCGGCGGCATGGTTTCCGATGCCAAGATCTTCAACAGCCTGGCAAAGTTCAGGATCAGTGAAGCGTGCTGGTTGTGTATCCGGGTCAAGTGAGTCAGGAACGACAGACGTGGAGGCTTGCTTAAGAACTCGAATAGAACGCTAACAAGGTTAGTCAAGGTTCGAAGGTCACTCCGGTTGCTAACATACCGAGAAATCATGAGCTTCACCCAGCGAAGGCACTTCGGAGCACGCCAATTCGAGCGGGAAGACAATTTTCGGTGCCGCTATTCTGCCAATCTCCCGGTCTACAAGTGACGCATGAGCCAGACGTATGAGAGCCAGGGACAATGTCTTCCTCGCCGTCAGGCTCTTTTCATCAATCCCCAGGATTTCATCTGGATGCGCGGAAAGCTCAGCGCAAAGCAACGCCAGCAACGCGTACGCCTTTTGCGAGGCCAAGGATTTCCGTGCAGGGGAAGGCTTGTTCGGAAGCAAATTTAGAGCGATTTCTAGCAAGTCGGCTCTAGGGCTGGGCGCAACGGCTTGCCAGGTGTTCTGTACAGCACGGATGGAAAGCAAGGAATCGAGCAGCCAAGGCGTCAGTTCTGACAGCGATGATCGCGATACGGAACTCGAAGTTTTAGATATTGAATGGTGTGCCAAGGCTGATATCAACGTCGTAGCTTGGCGCAGGGCCTGCGAGACATGCTGGACGGTGTATGTGGTCTGTTGAACAAAAAGGGTGCCGGGTTTCCCCAGCAAGAGCTCCAGTGCAGCGGCTGAAGGCAATGTGATGTCTATGGAAACGTCCCTTCCAGCCGCACTCGGTGCCATATCTTGCAGATGGTTGAGAAGGGCTACAAAGGTCAGCGACACTGTCGAAACATGCGACCAGATCTAACACTCACCACTGCTGGTCTCGCGCAGGTATAGTGTTATGGACGAGAGCAGCTTCCACATAGACCCCGTGCGGATAACCGCGAGAATCACGAATTGGAAGAATCCCTCAATGGGCGCCGTCAGGTCGAGGCAGCGAGAATGCCCCAGTAGCCTAAGGATCTTGGGGAAGACCCAAATCCAAAGCGGCTCCTCCCCGCGAAACACAAACTGTTTCCCATCTGTAGTATGACTCAGGACGTTTGGCGTCTCCTCGATCGTAACTTTCAGAAAGTTGATGGCCTTGAGTGCCTCGTTTCGCAGGTGGTTCCGGTCGGCAAACGGGTCGTCAAGCTTGATCCCTTCGAGGACGACGCGGGCGTAGACGTAGATAAGCATGTGGTTGTGCTCTGTCCGCTGCTCGGCATCCTTCAGTAGGTCGGGCTTATTCTTGACCTTCTCTATCACGGCAAACAGCCTCTTCAGCTCGGCATTCTCGTCGGATCGCGTGGATTTTGTCGACGCCGAGATGTTCTCAACCAGCTGCGCGGCTAGCGTGGAGGGAGGCGGCGCGTTCGGAGCGGCAGCGGCAGCAGGCCTGCCATGGTGTTCTGCGGCCATGGTGCCTTCTTCATCGTATGACCAGGGATGATCGGTTCGAAAGGGCCAAGGGGCAATCGTTTACTGCTTGAGGGCTCGACGTCGCTAGCACTGCGCCTTGACGACTCTAGGCCTAAAGATTGACGCGCTGGCGGGGTGGTCGCTGTGCAGCGCGGTGCTGTACGCGAGGTCACATGTTCAATTAAAAAAAAGGGGTTATGTAAGCTCAGCGGTCTGTGCAGACTCCAATTGAATCTCCAAATGCCTTTTGACCTCAGGATGACCGTCCATTTTCCTCACCAAAAGGGACTAATTGACGACAGCTTGCGTCAAACTGCGCATTTCCCGCCATCTCTGACTCGGTTTCGGTCATACGATAAAGGTGTTTCCTGCCTGCACTAGCATGGCGTGATTATCAATCAGCAAAGCTATCCCTTGCAATGTTGCGGTCTCTCCTCTTTCCAGGCCTGCATCCCAAAGTTCCCGTGTCAATATGTCGCTGTGCCCCATGCATCTAGTCGTGCAGCTTACGCCCTTTGTATCACAGATCCAGCATCACCAAGGGTGGTTTAGGGGTATTAAAGGTAACGCGGCTGACGCCAGTGTGCTTCATGAAAGCACTTGCGCTCTATGTTGATTTCCTTTCCAAGTCTCTTCTAAGTACTAGTCTTGAGAAACATCACAGGACTCCTTCGTCCAAGTGCTCAATCACTATATTTTTGATTCTATCTGCTCGTCACACCGCACCATGAACATCACTCTCAAAAAAGCAATGCCGGAGGCCTTGTTGGTCCAGAGCGCTCCTCTCCATCCAACCTCCCATATCGAGATGCTCCCTATTAAATCACCAAGAAATGCATCGACACAGAGCTCTTTCAAGCAGCACGGCAACCTTACTCCAGAACAAAATCCAACAGCGGACGCAGAACCCCCACGTGGTTCGCCTGCCCGCAATGTCTCAATAGCCAAAAGTGTTACAGTCATCGTCACCCTCGCCGGCATCAACTTCCTCAACACCATGGGCTCCGGGATCCTTATCGCCGCCCTCCCCCGCATCGCCGAGGATGTCGGCCTCGACGAGAGCCTGATTCTCTGGCCCGCCGCCGTCTATAACCTCGCTGCCGGGTGCTTGCTCCTCATCTTCGGCGCCGTCGCTGACGTTGTCGGCGCCAAGCTCATGTGGCTGACGGGCAGCTACCTCTGTGTTGTCTTCACCATCGCCGTCGGCCTGTCCCAGACGGGAATTCAGATCATTCTGTTCCGAACGTGTGTGGGCATTTCAATCTCCGCGTGCCTGCCGACTGCGATGGCCTTTATTACGAAGACGTTCCCCAAAGGTGGGTGGCGGAACGTTGCGTTTTCGATGAACGGCATTGGGTTTCCATTGGGGTACGCGCTCGGCTTGGTCTTGGGAGGCATCTTCACGGACACCATCGGCTGGCGTTGGGCGTACTACATGATGGCCATCATCAACTTCTGCCTGGCAACGGCAGCGATTTGGTCCCTTCCGTCGGTGTATCAGCCATCAGAGAAGAAGTGGACTCGCCGTCTGGCCGAGGACATTGACTGGATCGGGGCCGTCATCATGAGTACTGCATTGGGTCTCTTGCTGTACGTATTGGCAATGACAACATCCTCTTATACCAAGATTGGTGATCCAGCGAACATTGTTCTCCTGGTTGCGGCGGTCGCTTTGCTAGTTGCGTTCCCCTTTTGGATGAACTTGCAGACCACAAAGGACCGCCCGGCGCTCATTCCTAACCGTTTGTGGCGAAATGCCTCCTTTACGTCCATCTGTGTAAGTCTAACTTGGGCAACACAACGTTCGGAGCCTAACATGTCAATAGGCCGCCATCTTCTTGTGCTGGGCCTCACTCAACGCCATCCAGTACTTCCTCATGCTCTAGTCAGTACTCGTCCATCATAAAGAGTGTAGAAAGAATTCTAACACCATTTATAGCTTCCAAAAAGTCCAAGGCATCTCCGCGCTGCAAAGTTCACTGAGATTCCTTCCCCACGTCATCATGGGCACAGCTGTCAACGTAGCGGCAGCATGGCTCGTCTCTAGAGTCAAGGTCCAGACTCTAGGTGCCGTGTCGGCGGTCATCTCCGCCATCGCTCCGATTCTCATGGCCACGGTCGAGCTCGACGGGTACTACTGGTTCGCGCCCTTCTGGGCCATGCTCCTCTCGCCTGTCAACGCCGACGGTACGTTATACCTCACGGTTGCCATGGGACAATGGAAACACTGACAGAACACAAAACAGCCCTTTTCACCGTGTCGAACCTCATCATCTCCGACGCCTTCCCGGCGGACCTGCAGTCCCTTGCTGGCGGCGTCTTTAGCGAGATCGGGCAGATTGGCAACGCCGTGGGCCTCGCCGTGACGGCGGCCATCGCAGCGTCCGTGACGGAGCACTCGGGCATCGTCGACGACGCCGGGGAGGCACGCATGGCGGGCTACCGCGCCGCATTCTGGACCATCTTCGCCGCCTCGGGGGCGGTGCTCGTCATTGTGCTCTGGGGTCTCAGGAAGGGCGGCACGGTCGGGAAGAAGGATGAGTAAAACAAGGACGATGCTATGTTAGCTTGAGATCCTAGCGAAATAGGGTTTTAGAGGGTAGGACCGCCGCTGCCGCCGGCTGGTTCTGGACGTACGTCTCGGTACGAGATTTAGTCGGCCTGGCATGGTGTGACATGACATCTTTCAAAGGTAATAGCTGTACTAAGAGGGCACTGTTGCCATGTTGGCGTCTCGGCTGGGCAACTATTATCACGCTGTTCTGGTGATTTCATAATTCATGGTCTACCACCTAAGTAATTGGAGTTGTCGACTACAGGTAGCAATATTGCATCATAAGTGGTTGAACAGTGTGGTCGTCTGTAATGAAAACAACGGCCTGTATTCGTCATGGTAGTCAGTGCAGGGCCTCTCGGTCGGTCTGATGTCGACCCAGCAGTAGGGTTTGAGTTTCCAGCGCACTTGGGCGACGCTGAACTCATCCGATGTCTTATGCACGCTTCAGATACACGCGTGGTGATGACCGGACGATGAGTTGTCTCAAAGAGCCAAGAGAAACGGTGCGTGGCACCAAGGCTTGGCCCGATGGTCAGCTTCCATCACCTCGCGCGATGGTGGCGATGTCATCCTGCATCGGCAGAGGTAGAAGCAAGAACTTGTCCAGGCCCTGCGAAACTTCTAGCATCAACGGTCCGACGATATTGTTGTAAAGCCATCGGGTTTCGAGGCCGATCTTGAGTTGAGTTCATTTTCTTCAACAGAGGCCGGGGGAAATTGGCGGCATGATCATCATAACAAAGTCGGGTAAGGGAGGAACCTCTGTCGATTAGTCGGAGAATTTGTGGGAATGTTCTTGTTCTGACAGGACGGTTCTTTTTCAACGATCCTCACACCTACCCGCCGCATACTGCGTATCTCCCGCCTCGCCAGCCCCATCTAAGAGAGTTTGAGAACAAGCCCGATAATGCACAAAATGAATAAATTCCTAAAGGGACGCCCCTAGGGCCATTCCGGGGATCGATCGCCCGGCGGTTCCTGTGGTTTCTTGGCAGCTTGCGTAGCCGCAGTGTCGATCCGGCATTTCCTGTGCCATTCAGGTCATTTTTAATGCTGCTACATACTATGTAGTATTCACCACACACTGCGGGAGACAGTGGTTAGTTGGGGAAAGCCTCTGTGTGTATGAAGCAGTGCCGGCTGTTCGAGACCCTTTTGCAAAGTGGTTTTCTGATAAGTTCCCAGGCGTGTGTCGTGTGAGCGTGTCTCGTGTGTCGTGTGCTCATGTGCCACATCTGTCCCGTTGTTCAAGCCACCATTTCCAAAAAAAAGTTGGTTTTGGGTCGCATCTGTCGATGTACATCAAGTGAAAGAACTCAGGCGTGGCTGCGAAGGAGTCGCTCCTTGGCTACCATTCGTCATCCAGGTTGTACTCCGTCGCACAACTTCACATGCCTGAACCTTGGTGCAATCTGTGGCCTAGTAAACCTTACAGTAAGTAATTGGGCCTCTAGGCCAACTGTTCCAAACCCCTCCAGAAATCTACTTGGTTCTGCACGACAGCATCATCCAAGTCCCACCATCGGGACCTGATCTGGTGCAGAAGCAGTACGATACGAGACAAGACGGCAGAAACGGCTGGATGGAAACCCAAAGAAAACGGACGCCGGGCCACTCCTTGTGGAAGGGCAAGCAGGTTTTGGGGTTCAAAGATAGGGCTGCCCAAGAGAGGTTGATCGTCATAGTGGATTTGACGGGCTACACGTAGCTCCAGTAGGCAGCATGTTGAGGTGCATTATACTGTGTATGGTATGGTTGTCTTGCAACCTCCCACGCAACATATGGTTGAGTCTTGGGTGTGTCTTGGGCCATTTGATGCCGTTCGCCAACCACGCTCGCTGTCTCAAGATTCGAGACAGAGCGATTCGCTGGTGTCTGAGGATTTCCGTTGGCCGTTCAGCGTACGTTTCCAGTGACCAGGAGTCGAGGGATGTCTTCCTCCTGCACTTTGATCGCGGGGATTCGTCCTGAGTTGGCGCCATGGTGGGGTATCAGCAGGGGGCCCGTATCGTCCCGAAGGCTGGGCGGACGGACTTGGAGCTGCACACAGCACCTCATCCTGCCGCTGTCCCGTCATATTCTCGCGGGCTATCGGCGTGGGATCGCGGGATGGTAGAGCTTGGGACCGAGAGCCTGATTGTGGTTGCTATGCAAACTCGCGTGTTAAGCGCCGCTCACTCTCCCTCGTGCAGGGCTTTTGTAATATTGCCCGCATCAGGCTGTCAGTAACTGTATAGTCCAGGCCTTGGGGCACCTGTCTGCGTTTGTCGGTGTGCTGAGGTCAAGGACGCATCGCCGTCTTGTTGCTCTATCCCTGCTCTGTTTCCAGGCGGTTGGCCAGGTGGATTGACCTGAGCAAGCAACCTCCCCGCTACCGCTCCTTGTCGATTCATCGAAAGCGCACAGAAGAGACGAAAAGGTACGTATCGAATACTCTGGAATACATACGCCGGCGGCCCCCACAAAACTGGAGTCCTTCCGCAGACCGGTGTTTCCCCGCCAAGACTTGTAGCAATCATCGACTGGCTGGGAGGAACCGCAACGCGAAGAGGGAAACAAAAACACACATACATAGTACATGGCCAAAGTACCACCAAGGCTGCATTTGCGTGTCTGATTGTTGCTGGTACATACATAGTAGGCTTCCATCGTCTCATTTCCAAGCCCCAGCAGCAGTCACCCGTGCAACCGTGCGCAGAGCCGAATCGAAAGTCGACGACTTACGGCTGGACACATGACGGCGCAAACACCCTACGCAAAGACATCGAAGCTGCCCCTCGCTTGAGCTATTTTGCTCCTCGGCGCTCTCGGGGGCGTCGGCAACCGGTGGAGACGGGAATACCTGCCGTGGGCTCTTGGAGGTCGAGACTCGAAAGTAATTAACGGAAAGACGGCGTTGGGCTGGACGTGGGCTGGGCTGTGCTGCCACCGACAAAGCTACCCGGCCCAGTGTCACTCGCAATCCGACCTAACAGCGACCAGACGAACATGGAAACAAAAGGTTCAAAGTGGGACCTTTTGCCAGAACCCCGCGCTTGCTGACGCCTTCATGCCTTCTCAGGTCCAAGTCTCCATCTCGCCATCTCACATCGTATCTTTCCAACAAGACAGGCACATGCAAAACCTGTTAATCAATACTTTTCTGGGCAGAAATCGAAGCTTGCTTCACTAACGGACACTTTTCGTCATGTTCTCTCTCCTTCGGTCTCGAATTGATTTCCCCCTCTCTGAACTCCATCTCTCAAGTCTACCCCTCCCTCAAGTGAGAGTCCGTCTCTAGAACCTGGCTCCACCTCGACCTCGGAACTTTTGATCCAGGTCATGTTCCTCCTAATCGTATTGACTCCCTGCTGCTTCCAGCGCAGAATCTCGTCCCTTTCCTTCTGTGGCAGGGCAGAGGCGTTGTGCCCATGGCTTATGCATTGTACCTGCCGTTCACTCCCACTTTGGCCCAGCCTGAACCAGAGGTACACTTATCGGGATCCTATTCCTGTCCTTCACCCCAAACCCGCTGTCCATCCATCCAATATTCATCTGTCCCTCCACTCTATCCGCACCCCCAGAATCTCAAATGGGGCCCTTCCCTGGCTAAATTGACAGATGCCCCCGTCGTCGTCAGCCAATGCTGGGCTTCGGCACGTTTGCGCCAGGAACGCGACACCGTGAGAACCGGCGTGAGCCACCTCCCTTCGGTCACTCCAGTCCGTAGAGTCCATGGCCAATCTTGATGCTAGCAAGGTAAACTACTGCTGATGCTGTTTCCCGTCTTCTCCAGGATATTCTTCTCTGGTGCTTGGTCTCATATCCTGTAAGACTCCATCGTCGTCAAGCGTAAACCGACTTTGTGCGAAATATCGCAATGCCTGGTCGAGTGTCGCTGCTTGAGATGTGAATCCGACCTTTTCTTCTCTGGTTTGCCTTGGACCTCCCTATCTTGATCTAGTATAAGGGTACCCAACCTGCATGCCATCCGTCCCCTTCTATTTCGCCCGCTTCCACTGCTTGAACCCTCACCCCTCCCTCCCCCTCTTAAAAAGGAAAACGATACATCTGACCTGCATCCCTTTTTGCCTTGCCCTGCCTCGACACCACTCAACACACACAACAGGAGACATCCTGTACCCTGCTCCCGGCTGGGCCTCTTCTGTTATCGTTCTAGTTCGTCTCTCACGTGTCCCGCAACGCCCATCCCTCCATGATGGACAAGGTTCCGGCTCTGTGAGAACGCTACACAAAGATACATGCACACGAGAGGCTCGAAGCTGCGCTACTGCTGCGCCAAGCTCCAACCTTCCACACACCCACCCCTCCGACACGCACACCACTCACCAAGGGCACCCACTCTTCGGGCAGAGGCATCCCAGTTCCCGCCTGCTCGGACTGGACTGCATCCATCACTGGGTTGCGTTATCCGTGGACGGCGTCCACCTTGTCTCTCTCGCTTCGTGCGTGACCGACTTCTTTATTTCCCTCCCCTGACCTTCTTGTCTTAAGAAGTCGGGCCTTGGAAGGCATCATTCAGATCCTACACGCTCTTTTCCCGTCCTGCTCTGGATCCTCGCCGTCTTGCCGTGCCTAGGATAGAGTTGCCTTCCTACACACAACTGGTCTTGGGATCGCCGCTTGATCTTCCTGCCGCGTCTCCCTTCGAGTTGCGCTTGCGCCGTTTATTTTGAAGGGCTCGGATCTTCCTCCGCAATCAGATGGTCGCTCTTTTCGCTTCCAACTTTCGTATCATACCTTCCACCGGCTACTCCTAAACGTCCAACGCCCCGCTTACGATCTCGCACTCTATCCAACCGAAAAACAATACTCAAAATGGCCGCCGCCGTGACCGAACACACGCGGTTCTTCCCTTCGCACCCCGATGCGCTGACCGCCGATGATTTCGAAACGGCCTCGATCCGTTCAGCCGCGCCGTCTTACTGTGAGTGGAACTGTGACGTGTAGGACGTCGAGAAGTGCTTCTCGTGAGGTGGTCCTGACACCTGATATGCCTGAACTACAACGACAAAAGCTACAGGTCTCTCGACGAGCCAGAACAAGAAAAAGAAGCTAACACACGTCAAACAACAGTCTCAGATGCGCCTTCCTACCATTCGACTGTGCCAAACCCCGAGCCCATTCCTCCCTACTCGCCGCCGGCCAACAATAGCAATGTCAGCCGCGGCACCCATGGATCCACTCAGTATCCGAGCTCCCTGCTTCCTGCCGCCCCGGCCCCGAGCCGCTCTGGCAACTCGACTCCCCAGCCCCACCGAACCACCGGTCTGCCACCGATCCCTCCGGCGGCGGCCATGGCGCCACGACTCGATCAGTTCCGCATCCCGACCTGGTCGACCGTGCACACAAACCCGACCCTCAACAACGTCGCCCGACGACGCATGAACCAGGGTGCTGACCCGGTCGCGCACCTCCGGCGCTTCATGTCTGAGCGCATGGCCGAAGAGGAGGCGGCCCAGCGGGCGAGAGACTTCCGACCGCTCGAGGATCCGTATTTGGTTGGAGAAGAGGCTGCCGCAAGCGCTCGCCGGGAGAGACTTGCGCGTGAGTCTGGCGAGGATATCCTCTGGGATGAGGATCGTCGATGGAACCGGTTCCTCGGTGAGTTTTTTTCTTCTATTCCCTCGTGGAGGAGCCCAAGCACTGACTTGCTTCGTAGCGCAAATGCAGACCTGGGAAGACCGCGAACGCAGCTGGAGGAACTTGCGCCAACCGGCGCCTACGCAACAGCGCAGGAAGCTGACTCGTCGCCTTACCGCGCGTCTTTGGTAGAAGGTTTCCAAGTGGCAGCTGCGCATGTGATATGACTGAGGAACGAAGTATCGTCATGCATCATGAGAAGAAAAAGGAGTACTCGGGTCATATTTTTCCTCCTTATCATTCATCCATCGGCGTCTCGACAAAGAGCATTTGAAGCCGATGATCCCTCCTGGAAAGGAGGTGATTGTCATTACTGGGGGTTTTGGGCAAAGGGCATGACATTTGGTATTTTCTTCCAGACTGAATAGTCTCTGGGCTTCTCTTCTCCGGTCTCACACTGTAGGGTGGATCTTCATCATTTTTTCCCTTGGGCATCGACCTGGTTTAGATGCATTTCTTGGAGCGGAGATCGGGAAAGCCCGTCATCTCGCTATCATTTCATTTTTAGGTATCAAATATTAGGGAAAGCACAGGACCTTGAACTTTGGTTCCGAGTGGGAAAGGATACATGAACCAAATTGAAGAAGAAGTTTCCATACAGGTTTCATTGAGGCTGAAAGGAGTGAATGCCACGGGGCTGATTACCCATGTGAGATGTCTAAGGGGGGTGATGACGGATACACGGCAGCGGTATGGCTTGGCTTTTCTCGGTGCTTGCGCCCGAGATTGCCCTGTTGTGGGAAAGTAGGCGAGCTCGGCGCATAAGACGGTCTTGGTCTTATCGCGGAATGTTGGTGGCTGCCGTGATATGAGGCCTGGGTGCAGAGACTGATGGTCCATGATGCCGAGCCCGACCACGCGTTCCCGACTGCTGCACCTCAGGCACGCCGGGTTGGTCGCAGCCGTTGACCGCCTTGCTGATGTCTCACCTTATCTGTTTCGTTCAAGATTCTGCTTTCCCACCAGCCAGATAGTAGGAAACCCACGGCATAAACAGTACGTATGCACGTTGTTCAATGGTCTGTGAACTCGAAATATTTCGATGAGAGATTACTGTTAGTTTTCGGAGACGCATTACATAGAGGAAGACATGGGGGTTGACGTAGGTTGCTCAGCTTTCTATACCCAAGTATGCGGATGTTAACAATAACGGATTTGAGTCTCGGCTTTCCACTGAAACAAAAAGTAGACTGAATGCGATGTTTAGCCCTTCCTTTCAGTAGAAGACAACGTGAGAGTTTGGCTGTCGTGGGGCCAAGGAGTTGGCTAGATGCCTCGCCCAATAGCTGGTATCGATCACAACTTCCGGTGCAGGTAAGGGGATAAAGCCAACATTTGATTTGGTTCATTTGTTCTGGAAGAGCGGAAACACAGCTTTGAAATCATGGCTCTTGAATGGATACTTGATTATCCTTGCTGAACTCTGTACACACAGCGCGGCCCGAGGCAGTACGAGTGTGGGCCGGAAAAGGCTCAAAGGTTGATCGGTTGGTTTAGAAGGTACTCCTCGCTAGTTCATTTTCACCTCAGACATTGTCGTTTGAAATCTAAGAGAAGCAGAAGCCGAAGAGAGCAACCGATGCGGCAATCAAGGTGCTTGAATTTAACCCTCGCGCGATTTACCCCCGAAAGAAAGCTTGCCATACGTCGTCACGTTTTTAAAGACATATCTTTTCCTGAGCTCAGAAGTCGGTCATAGAGGTTGTCCTGGCCCGGTCCGCTTACCACGACACCGCCATATATGTGGACGTGTAAGTAGTTCAGCCCAAGACGACGGTCAACCACAATTGTTATTCCCAGCCACTTAATGTCAAATATCTGGCAATCCAAAATCAACATCTTGATCTCATTGCCACCTCACCTCGCCGAGCACTAACGCTTGTAGCCCGTCTCACTGCTGTTCCTGTCTCTATTTGAAAGCACGTAAGGTCAACCAAAGGTGTTTACTTTCATACTAAAGTAGAGAAGGATCGTTCCGATTTTGAAGCCATTTTGGGAGCGATCAGGTCTGCCCAGGATGATGCTTCTGGCTGTCAGATAGATGATGCTACTCGAGTGCTAGTGCCGCGATCTCCTATGTACAGAATTGTTTACATTTAGAGCGGCAAGCAGGTCGCACATGAACAAGAGAAACTCTTAAGAACTCTAACCGTTTCGGGATGTTCGTAGTTATATGACAAACCCCTGTTCCTTTCAAAGCGTTGCCTCATGAGTTTGGGCGGCGCCGCTTGGTAACATTGAGGCCTGCGGCTTGCTTGATGGTGTTAGTCTGCGCAAAGACGCTGTGAGGCCCAGCATGAGAAACGGCTCGTACTTCTTCCTCAAAAGGATATCTGGTCTGACGCAGCAGCTGCATTTCATCCCCAGGGTTGTGATAGGGGCGCCAGTACCGGTTGACGAAGGACAAGGCCTGCTGAAGGACGTTGCTGAGTAGACGGTATCTTGGGCAGGTTGTCGAGTGTTGATAAACCAGTCCATGTGTAACCACCTGGAAGGGTTTTCCATCATATGCGCTCTCCAGTCACATAGTGTTCCTCACACCCCTTGTTGCTTGCGACAGAAACCTGACCTGTGGCTTGGTGCTTCATAGGTCCCGTCTCCGCCAATCCACTATGCCGATTCGTATCGAAAACGAGACATCTCAAACTGGCATGAGCAAGCACACAAAGATACTTTTCTAGGTCGCTGAAGCGGGAAAAGCCGCATCGGTCGCATTTCAGAGGGGTCAAAAAAACAAGTTTGCTTTCGATAAATTTCAAGGATACTGGACCCGGATGCCTATCATACCTCCACCGCTCTCATAGCTCTTCTAGCCCCTCACACGTAAAATTCTACACGAGGGTCCTGATGTAACGCCGTGCCATATGCAGGTTTGGACCGGAAACCACCCAAATACACCCTCTCTTTTGATGTTTCTCTTCAGCCCAACGTCCGGCGGCTCCCTGGCTTAATGTACAGTGGTTTCGTTGATGGGCGTGGCTAAGTTGTAATAGTTTGTTGCCATTTCGATTACTCGAGGGATCGAGAGAGTGTTTAACCCTTGGACTTGGTGTTCAGAATAAGGGCAACAATGAGACTGGGATATTGGTCAGCAGACGGATAACAAAGACCGACATGAGTACCATACCCGTAAAGACCCAAAACTTCGCCGAAAATGAGGATCAGGACCATGCCGACAAAGATGCGCGATTGCTCCATGTACGAGCGCACACCCTTGTCACCAACGATACCGATCGTGTAGCCGGCCGCGAGGCCAGTAAGGCCAACGGACAGACCGCAAGCGAGATGCATAAAGCCGCTATTCCGTGAGTCAGCAACATTGTTTTCCTAGTATCGACATCCTCCAGATCGAGGTGACTGACTTGAACAAGCTGTAGTTGCTTCCGGCGCCGGGCGGGGTCAAGTCTTGGGCGATGAGGACAGAGATGACGAGGGAGTAGACGGCAATGATACCGGACATGACGACGGGGATCAGACACTGCGCAAGCGTTAGAGGACCTTGTTTGACCGGAGGGGTACGTCGGGGCAGCATGCCTTCATGATCAGGTCTGGTCTAAATGTTCCGACACCAGCGATACCGATTCCTGACTTTGCGGTACCGTATGCGGCGCCGATGCCTGTTGATTCGAGTCCTATTTAGCACATTGTCCTCTTCGTCGCGTCGGGAGTAGGGTAGCTAGGCTATGTAGTTGAACATACATCCGAAGATCATGGCAGCCGCAATGCCGGCCTGTATTGGAGTAACGTCAGCACGAGGTCGGTCGTCGATGTCATAGCTAGCTTGCTTGCTTCATCGAGAAGCCAGCAAATGCGTCCGGGGGCGAGGAGCTTACCATTCCGATGAACGGCGCGAATTTGGGGGCGAGAACAGAGTCTTCGGCCATGTTGGGCAACGGTGTAGTCGGACTCGATGCAGGGGATTTGTGGTGATGGCCGACGGAAGGGGGGTGGGAGGGATATGCGTGTCGAGGATCCCGCGATATACTGGCGAGTGGCTTCCTGGATCCAGGACCTTGGAGCTTGGTGACGGTGACGAGGTCCAATCAGGAGTGCAACCTGGACAGGCTGAGAAACTCGTGACGCGGCAGAACCATGGGCCGAAGCACCAGCCTCATCTCAACGGCAGTGTGGCTGGTGTTACATCTGTGGGTTAGAGCGTGGTTGGGTCAAGTGGGGCTCTCCAGATGGCCCGTGTAATGGGGGGAGGCCTGCCACTGAGCCAGTGTCAGTCTGGATTCCCTTATCGGTGCATCATCACCTTATCGCGGCGCAGGCGCATTACGGAGTGGAATCGCAGGGTTCCCGCCAATTCTCCTCCCACTCTTTCGCCGTTCAGATGCAAGCTGCAGTTACATCTCATGTGGTTTTGGCCGTTCTTTTCCGCTCTTGCCCAACGGGAGAACGGTACGCGCCTTGGCGCGATGATTGAAATTTGGCTTTGGTTGCGCCTCTCCAACACTAAAGCGTGGGGAATCGGCTCTCTTAGTTGGACAACAACGGCTCGTGAGACGACGAGGTTCGTTAAAGCCTCGCTAACTCGAACGCTTTTCCCGAACCCCGACGGGAGGAGAGGAGATCCAAGTTGCCTCGAAACACGGCGCTTTAGAAACAACCTGGAGGAGGCAGGCGGGCAGACAGGCCGGGACCTCGTTTACCCCCGTGTGCTTTACTGGCGGCTGCACATAAGGGAGGGAGATCCATCTCACCTGGCATGTCACGCTGCCCACCTCACGTACGACAGTTTCCAGTCTAGCTCGCCCCTGTTTCTAGCAAAAAGGTTGTTTTAAAACGAGGCACTGCAGATGATGGGAGTGCTACAAGCAAGTCAGACACTGGTATATTCTTAGAACTCGATGCCTCCAAATCATCTTGGAGGAATGCCCAGGCTAGGCGAATGGGCGCCTTTAATATTGGACGTTGGGAGGAGCAGGACGCCGCGACTAACTTACGGCGGTAGGGGGGACGGTGGATCAGGCCAAGTCCCGACCTTGGAAGTCCTAGCGCCTCGGTGGATCGTCAAACTTGCACCACTTGGGGGTTGGCCGTCTTCTTTTTTGACATTGACTGACTGGTGTTTGATTGACGATCTCTGGTGCGGATGCGCCTGTTGCTCTGGCTTGCAACAGACCAGACCGCCCGCTGTATCGTGGTCGGGCGGGTGTCTGTTTCGTGTGCGGCTCGACTCTGCCGTGCCGTTTTATCCCAGGCTTATCTCACTCTGCGGCCAAGTGAAAGAAGATACCTAAGGGGGGAAAGGCAGGAGGCATTGGACTACCTACATTGCGTTGCACCTTCCGTGGAAGAAACCGCGCATCCGACCTGAGTAAGGCGCCGTCGTATCTGTACCCATCTTACTTGAGTCTCTCGGCTTCGACCGACAACCTACCTAGAGAAGAGAAGAGGTGGTTGGCCCCCTCCCAGCGGTACCTACCTATCCTGCCCATGCCCTGGGCTGACGGTCTGTCTGCCTTCTCCCGTGCCATCCTATCAAATCCCAATCCATCCCCAGCTTTCGGCGCGTGTCCCATCCCAGGTTGCCCACTGCAGCCCAGTTGGCCCAGTCCAGTCCAACTCGGTTCTTGCTGGGGTCCCATCCTAGCCCAATGCCGATGACTTAGCACCGCCAACGACCAGCGGAACCAGCGACACCCTCTTCCACCACCACATCCACCACGAACCACCAGTTTTTGTCCGCAGCATTTCCATCTCCGCCTGCAACCAATTTACTCAGCATTGCTATCGACGCCGCATCCCGCGCTATCCTCTCCCTGACGCTCCTTTCGCAGCACCTCGGGAAAAAAAGGAATCTGTCGGGCTTTGCTTGGCTTCGTCACTTTTCCTCCCATCTGCTTTTTTATTTCCTTTCTTCAACAACTCGCGCCCGGGTCAGGGCCCAGTGTCAGATCTTAGGCCCATAACGTCACCCGGCCCATCCTGGAAAGGAGACGGACAATAGAACGAAGGGGAAACGGAAAGCAACCACGAAAAAAACTCCTTCCTCTACGCCGACCACCGCCTTTACGATTCCCTTAACCATTGTCGGCCCGACCTCGTCTTGCAAACCGTCAATTGTGCCCTTTGTGCGGCGTGGGCGGTTCTGTGTCTCTTCACCATAAGCCGGCGGCCGTTAGGCCTCGCATTGTTAGTACTACACCTCTCTTTCGACTCTCTTGTACCACATTTTTCTCCACCTTGGCACCCTCGCCATCTCTTTCTCCCCTTAAACCAACCCGCCAACACACGATCAAAAGCTGATAAGGGCCCTCGCTGCCAACTTCCAGCTCCATCAATCCAACCCATCATGGCCGAATACCACGGCGACCCGAGAGGCCACTCGTCCAACTACCAGCGCGATGCCGCCTTCTCCAACATTTTCGGCGCCTCTCCCCCGCCGGGACGCTCCCAGACAATGACCTCCTCCTCGATGCCTCCTCAGATGATGCCGCAACAAGGCAGGACGCAGACAATGTCGTCTATGCAGCGACAACCACCCCCGAGAGTGCCTCCGGGCCAATATATGGATCGCGAGCCGGGCTCTCCGAGAGGCGCTCCGGTGCAGCCTAATGGGTACGCGGCACAGCAGCGTTCAGCGTCTGGCGGTTACCAAGTGCCCAATCCTCAAGCACACTACATGCAGCAGCAACAACAGGCTCGCCGCCCATACGGAGGACCCGCCGGTCCCATCCCCCAGCGCGGTGATGCTAGAGTCCCGCCGCCGCCGTCCCAGGGGCAATACGGTCCGCCAAGAACCGCAGCACAGAGATACTACCAAGCAGGAGGAGTCCCAGGGCCGGCTTTGAATAACGATCCCTACCGCTCGCAGTCTCTAGCTTCCGCCCCAAGACCGAACATGTACCAGCCTCCCCCGAGCGCCTACGGCTCCCAGCCGAATCACCAAGCCCCGGCCAACGCTTTCCGCCAACCTCCGTACAACCCGAGTTCGTCTCGAACCACTGCTCAAGGAAGAGTTGTGCCGGAACGCCACGATGATCGGGCCATGTCAATGACCGGATACCCCCCTCAGGACCGCGACATACATCAATACCAAAATTCGCACCAGACGATGAGCGGACGGGTCATTCCGAACAGGAGGGCGCCTGTGGAGTTGCCGGCCACCAATGGCAGCTTCGGGGGAGGCTACACACCGGCGCCAGGGTCTCAGACGAGGACGACCAGCATGGCTTCCTCGACTGGCGACGTAGGCAACCAAAGGACAATGTCGATGGCGTCCACGGTGGCACCCACGATAACACCTTCGGAAAGCGACGCTGCAACACTGGCACATAGGCCCTCCATGAGCAAGTCCATCGACAGTGAACGGCCGCCGACTGGCAAGATTCGGCCTCCCCTCGTATATCCCGCGTTACTGTCAAGGGTTGCCGACTGCTTCCGACAAAAGATCATCACCGGCGACCGGACGAAGAACGAGCTCACTTATAAGAACGCCTTTAGCGGTGCCGAGGCTGTGGATGTCTTGTCGTACATTATTAGAACGACTGACCGAAACCTGGCGCTGTTGCTGGGACGAGCACTCGATGCGCAAAAGTTCTTCCACGACGTAACATACGAACACCGTTTGCGAGATTCGACATCAGAAATGTACCAGTTCCGAGAAACGCTCATGGAAGAACCCGAAGAGAAGCCACCTGTCAACGGTGTCTTCGTCCTCCTTTCCGAATGTTACTCCCCGACATGTACGAGAGACCAACTTTGCTACTCCATTGCCTGCCCCGCAGACTGGAGCAGGTGTCTCGGTTGAACCTGAAGATCCAGCCTGGTTTGAAGAAGGAATCCGACAACGCCGCGAACGAGGACGATGTCGATCAAACCGACGAGCAAAAGTTGTGGATAAATTCCGTGCCGAGAGAAGTGGCCGATAGCGTTGGAGACAGGGAGAAGAAGAGGCAGGAGGTCATCTCGGAGATTTGCTACACAGAGAGAGATTTCGTCAAGGATTTGGAATACCTTCGCGACTTTTGGATTCTGCCCTTGCGGTCCAAGGCTTCTCCTATCCCTGCTAACCGGAGGGAGAAGGTTGTCAAATCGATTTTCAGCAACATCGTGGATCATCCGAGTCTCCACGCAGTGAGCTCACGGTTTGCCAAGTCGTTGACGGAGCGGCAACAGAAGAACCCGGTTGTCGGCAACATCGGTGATATCTTCGCCGAGTGGGTACCTCAGTTCGAGCCATTTATTTGGTATGGTTCCAGGCAATTGGAGGCCAAGTTCGAATTCGAGAACGAGCGCTCTGCCAACCCGTACTTTGCCAAGTTTGTGGACGAGATTGAGCGGAGGAAAGAGTCGCGCAAGCTGGAGCTCAACGGTTACCTCACCAAGCCGACAACCCGTTTGGCTCGTTATCCGCTGTTGCTGGAGAACGTGCTCAAATACACCGAAGATGGCAATTCTGATAAGGAAGACATCCCGAAGGTGCTAAAGTTGATCCGCGACCTGCTGACCAGGGTCAACGCCGAGTCTGGAAAGGCCGAGAACAGATTCAACCTGAGGCGTTTGCACGAGCAACTGCGCTTCAGGCCAAACGAGAGGGTTGATCTGCGGCTGACGGAGGAAGGCAGAGAACTGGTGTTCAAGAGCCAGCTGAAGAAGACGCCACAGGACGCTTCTGAGATCACGGCCTTCCTGTTCGACCACGCGGTTCTTCTGGTGAGAATCAAGCAAGCCGGCAAGGGCGAGGAGATCAAAGCATACAGGCGGCCAATTCCCTTGGAGCTGCTTGCTATTCGGGAGATGGAGGAGGTCATCCCTGGGTCTGGCGCCATGAAGCGATCGTCTTCGAGTCTGATCCCCCAACTGCGGACCAACACGAACGATGGCAAGAAGGGCGACGGCTGGCCAATTACGTTCAGGCACTTGGGCAAAGCCGGGTACGAATTGACGCTTTATGCGTCAAACCAGGCCGCACGTAAGAAGTGGCTCGAGTTCATCGATAGCGCCCAACAACGTTTGAGGGCCCGCGCCGACTTCTTCAACACCAGCGTCATCTCTGCAGGATTCTTTGTCGGTACCAACCAAGTCAACTGTGTTACGCCATATGACGGCGGACGCAAATTGCTGTACGGCACGGACAATGGCATCTACCTCTCCGACCGCAAGAGCAGGGATGCGATGCCTAAGCGTGTCATTGAAACGACAAGCGTTACCCAGCTTGATGTTCTCGAGGAGTATGGCCTCCTCTTGGTGCTGTCCAACAAGGCTCTCTACTCGTATCCTCTTGGAGCTCTCGACCCGAACGAACCGGCTCTTTCCAAGCGACCCAAGAAGATCCAGAGTCACTGCAACTTCTTCAAGACAGGCATCTGCCTGGGCAGGCATCTCGTGTGCTGCGTTAAGTCCTCGGCTCTCTCGACTACAATAAAGGTGTACGAGCCCAACGACGCCATGTCCAAGGGGAAGAAGCAAAAGGGCTTTGGCAAGATGTTCGCTGGGCAGGACGAGCTCAAGCCGTTTAAGGAATTCTACATCCCCACGGAATCGTCGTCCGTACACTTCCTCAAGTCGAAGTTGTGTGTGGCATGTGCCCGTGGTTTCGAGGTGGTATCGCTTGAGACGCTCGAGACCCAGTCGTTGCTTGACCAGGCCGACACGAGTCTTGACTTTGTTGCACGGAAGGAGAACGTCAAGCCGATCCACATTGAGCGACTCAACGGCGAGTTCCTGCTCAACTACTCCGAGTTCTCCTTCTTTGTCAACCGGAACGGTTGGCGCGCGAGACCGGAATGGCGCATCGATTGGGAGGGAACACCACAGAACTTTGCTCTCAGCTACCCATGGATCCTGGCGTTTGAGCAAAACTTCATTGAGCTCAGGAATATCGAGAATGGCGCCGTACACATTGTGCCGCACAAGAATATTCGGATGCTGCACAGCAGTACGCACGAGGTAAAGTCTTGCGGTCTTTTTATGGACTGTCCCCTGCTTACATTCACCAGATCATTTTCGCGTATGAAGACGAAAAGGGCGAGGACGTTGTCGAAGCCATCGACTTTTGGAAGAGCAATAGGAGATCCGAGATTCCTTGATTCGACTCTGCGACGCTATAGCATCTTGCCTGTTTCTCGAGAGAATCCATGTTTGATTAAAGATCGATACCAGAGTGATTTGACTCAACTTCTTTTGCCGCCTTGTCAATGGCAGCACTTATACGGCGATGAGGGCCGCGTACCGCCTGACGCGCGTCAGATCCTGGGGGCAACGATGTGGGAGGGGAGGTCTCTTCTAGAGCAGATGAGGGCAACCCCTTGTTGCCATCGAGGGATGGTTCTGTTTTGCATTCTTGTTTCTATTTGGATGAGAGTTCTCGCCAGGTTGGTACAGAAACCCATTTTTATTCAAGGGTTGGGTCGTGGCAGCGCGAATGGGGGAGACCGGGATGGGTGTGAGGAAGGGGTGGAACAAGCAAGACAGGAGCAGCAGGTGGATGAGAACAATTTGAAGCAAGTTGTTCCCATGCAAAGATGTTGTGGTTTGCGTGAACGTGAGGTGAGAAGAGAAGTGCATAGCGTACGGGGTTGCCTATGCATCGTCGTTCGAGCTTGGGGTTCGAGGTTGCATACTGGTGCGTGGGCGATTGGATTGGGTTCGACTTTTCCCTAATTGCATGAGCGTTCTGAAGAATGAGACTAAGATGATTACCGACGATTCATGTCCTTGTAAACGGCAGTGCGGTGTAGTCGTGTGTGTCGAAGCGTCAAGGTGCCACGCCAAGTGCAAAGTGATCCTCGTCTACCGCCTGATCAAGCCGGAGAGCCATGGCCAGAACCCGTACGGACACTTGGTCAGGGGAAGTAATTTTTTCCCGCGGCGGAATGAAGACTTCTCTCTCTGGCTGCTTTGGCTGGAACTTTGCCCGTCGTGGTAGTTGGCTGTTGGCGATGGGCACCCTTAATATAAATATTTATTCCGAGTCCAGTCATGTCCCAGTGGCTATCACAATGTGCCCGGATGGGAGAGTTGACGTAATCTGAAGAAGTTGATCTTGTGCTACTCTCCCAACTTGTTTCATGGCACTCGGTACTAGCACATGCATATCGCGGGGACGCGTCCTCATTTCACTCTAGCTGGGTTAGGTTTCAGCGTCCGTGGATAAAAGAGGTCGGAAAGCAACCTGTGGAATACTACTTGCTTGCTGGCTCTTAAGCTGCTGGGATGAGGGCTGTCCGAGTACTCAGGGGCGGTAGAATGCCTCCACGGATGAGGCGGGGCTGACTTGAAGTATTTGATCGATTCTTCATGATCCTTCAAGGGCAGAAAAGCCCAGCATTAGAGCAATATGGCATAAGAGAAGGTGACAGGACGATGAAGAGATAGCTTGTACTTTGAGTTCTCGGCAAGGAAAACTATGGTGAACTATGACAGATAGCTAACGACTTGTTTTCCTTCGAGAGTATACTATGGCTTCAAACAGTGACCCAAGAGCTATCTCACGAACAATAAGAGCAAGTTATGAAGACATGAAAATCGAGTTATGCTATAAAACCGTCGCAGCTCATCCGGGTAGCAATCGCCCAAAACCAGTGCCCAAGAAATACTGGTGAAGCCAAATCGCCTCCAAATTTGTAGCGGTTGGCAAACTCTTTTGTTGCCTACTTCTCCCTCGATCTAGGTATGGTTGGATTTGAAAAGTACAAAGCTCATATGTCTATCTCATACATAGGCGCCTGCGTTTTGGTTGATTTCACGAGCGTCGAGGCGAGAAAGACCGGTCCTACTTTCCTTCTCTTTCCACCTTTCGCCATACGCACCTGTCTTCTCATCGCGCTCTTGCGTCTCGCTTCCTTCCAATATTTTCTCACTTACCTTAGTCTTTTAAATACGCCCGTGGCTGACGCTACGCTGATTTCTTTTACCCCCCCCCCCCCCCCCCACACACACACACATCACACAGCAAGCCTTCCTTCCGTCCTTGCAAAGGTTTTATCAGACTCAACTCTTCCTCTCATCCAACTGAGACAACTTTCATATTTTCCATCAAACTTCAACAAGAACTGAACGTAAAGACTCAAATCTAGGCACAAATATCCTGGAAAGTCGATATTATGGCGGAAGAAGATCACCGCTGGCTGCTCTACGGTTGCGAGCTGAGTGACTTCACAATCATCTGCGAAGGTGAGGAGATTCAGACTCACAAACTGATTCTCGCCATGCACTCTGGCTACTTCAAGAGACTCTTCGAGAATGATTCCCAGGTACATACACCCTACAATTGTTCCAATGCAGCTCATTCCGCATTGGTTTTGTCCGTTTCAAAACTGACGTTTACGGCAGGAGAAAAGTGAAGCCTTAGTCGGCTTTGACGATGTCGATACCAAGCTCATGACCCATCTTCTTGACTACTTCTACCGTGGCACCACAGATTGGTACATTTCGGGCTTTAGTTTGGACTACTGCATCCGCTTGTGGCTCCTTGCAGACAGATTTGAAGCCCGGACCGTCAATATCACGATTGAGAAGCATATGATGACCGAATCGGAACTCTACGAGGAAAAGAGCCGCATCGCCACAACTGAGATGCTAGATATGGTGTTCACCCATCCGAACTGCGCGGACTCCGCTTTGGGATACATCACCGGTGAGGCTGCTTGGATCTGCTTCCTTAGCTCAGACTTTTCCGAGGCTGCCACGGCGGTGAAGGATGCATCTTCGCGGTACAATAAGCTGGCGAACGTGATGCTTTTCTGGTCTGCTCAGTACATCCAACTCAATGATAGCAGCAACGGAGCTTCTTCGTGCCCCTACAGCCATGATCATGTTGAACTCAGGGAAGATGTGATCGCCCAGAAGTTCTGGTAGTCCTTGAGAGCTCCACTTACGACTAAGCCGCGGTATTTGTTTCCTTCTCCCCAGCTGACTGAGCCTCGTTGACGTTCCGTAGCAACTCATTACTGCGAGAGCTCCACGCGTTTTATCTTGCTACGCAGACTTATTACTATCGATAGGAAGAGGCGCCACCTCTTCTGACCACAGACACCGACGGCTGGGGCGAATGAAGAATATTCAAATGAGAATCACCGCGGTGTGAATATGGATATGGGGAATTGCTTGGGTTATAATGAGGGCCACGGGTTTTGGGATCTATCAAGGAAGATCGCATTGGGAGAGACGATCAACTTAACTCGATCGTAGCTCACGTTATAGGAAATTCGTATCCTTTGCCTATGACCTCCGATCCAAATGTTGCTATGTTATGAATTGGAATAATGTCTCGAGTCTGAAATCTTCTAGATATACGCAAGGGTGTCTGGTGGAATGAGAAACCACGCACCCATTGATTTCTGGACGCCACCATGAGTCCAAGACGCCAAGCAACACCTTTCAGCCTCTCACATGCACTTCAGGAGCGTAGTATTCGACTGGTAACAGTATTACATTCTAGATATGGTATCGAGCTAAAAAAGCAACGCAAGCGCCACCATGCATCCATAAAAATCATCATCCCGTTCCCCTTAACCCCCCAAGCACTCGTTCCCTCTACTGCTTCTGGCCAGCCAAGTGCCACTCAAAGACCTTTCTGAACCTCTCCTTACCATCGCCCTGGATGGTATCACCGTGACACGGCACAATCGTGTCAAAGTCCCAGGTGTCGATGCGCTGGATGCTCTCGTTGAAGCTGGGCCTGTCCTTGCTGCTCATGACGTACCACTGGAAGCGCTTGACCCACTTGACGTCGCCCTCGGTCGTCTGCAGCCCGCCAAACAGCCTGTTGCCGAAGCCGGACGAGGTGTCCCTCTCGCCCTCGGGCGCCTTGGAGTACTGCTCCGTGGGGGGCAGGTTGAACAGCAGGTCGGCCTGGATGAGCACGCGGTCGGGCTTGTAGAAGAAGACGAGCTCCTTGTTGGCGTGGGCGTCGACGAACTCGTACTCAAAGTCGGCGTCGAACTCGGGGGTGATGGTGGTGGCGCGCTTGTCCTTGCCGCCCTTGAAGGTGACGAAGAACTCGTCGGACGGGTTGACCTTTGGGTCGTTGGTCTGCTTGGCCCGCTTCTGCGGCAGGCCGTCGGGGCCGATGATCTTGGCGGAGGGGAAGGCGGCCTTGTACTCGGAGACGAAGATGTGGTGCTCAATGTCCGGGGCGATGATGTACTCGAGGTTGCCGCCCTTCTCGGCGATCTTGGCCTTGACCTCGTCGGTGAGCGCGACGGGGGAGAAGACGGCGAGGGCGCCGGAGGTCAGGCGGACGAGGGTGCCGCGGCCGCCGATCTTGATGGCGCCGAAGCGGGAGAAGGGG